TTCATCCAGTGTTAGAATCTGATTATTCTGTTTGTCTGCAACTACTTCTCAAGTACCCGCCACCAGATCAGTTACACGGACCTCATACATTCGTCGATGATGCACTCTATCTCCGGGATCACATGAATGCACCCGGAGGCGCAAACCTGATCAAGAAGTATTCAGGAAGACTCCCTAATGTCCAAAAGAGCACCCAATCGACTGAACGTGTTAACTCGCCCCTTCCTGGACTCGATTCAATTCGCAAAAAGGGCTTTGGACTGAGGTCGCCAATCCGCTCACCGTCAAAATTTCTTCAACAACAGGGTGGAGTGGAAAATATGATCCAGGGCGTGCTGGAGAAGAGCGAAAAGCTGGGAATCAACCAGGCGTTACGAGACGCCGTTGGTGAAATAAAACGAAACATGCAAGGCCTAAACGAAGGCCTTTCTTCACCGTATCCGAGAGTCGTTCTGGCTGACGATGGCGCTGCCAAGGCATTGGCTGTTATGCAGAGACGGAACGACCAACTAGCAAGCTTACTCGAGGAGACTGTCATGAGCCTGAGGGCGCTATCCGTGTCCAATCTCGAAGACAAGGCTCGAAGCCTTGACATAATCGAAGTTGCAGCAGCCAAAGTACAATTTGTGCAAATATATCTGCAAGATGCCTCGATGGACATCCCAACCGCAGACTCCCCTACCTCTGAAGAAGCTCAACTCGCGGCCGAGAAAAGAGAGGACAAGGAAACCAAGAAAGCGCCACCACCTGAAAAAGAAAACCAACCTTTATCACCCGTATATGGCACGAATGCGTCCGGCCCGAATCTCTCGAAAGCAGACTCAAAGCTGAGAGATATGAAGAAGTCTGAAGAAGTCCAGGACCCACTCTCTAATGCAGCAGAAGCTACAAGCAATGATGCAAAGAAAGAGGAGGTGCTGAGTGAAGGCCAACCCAAGACTCCAGTGGCTGTCTCTATACCTGCTAGATCGACTATAGCACAGTCTTCATTCTCATGGATGCTAGAACCGGAAGAGTCCGGACCGCCACAAACGCCTCCAATAGGCAAATCACCTACATCTCAACAGAAAAGGCGCAACAACAATGCTAGCCGGGAAAAGAATGCATTCTTGTTCGGAGAAGCACCGGCAGAATTGGATGAAAGAGACCCCCTTAGATCTGGCGACATATTTGGGATGGAGCCTATGCCGACGCCACCAGCAAAGGGGAAATAACGAGATAGTATGATGTATTTCCTTCATGACACGATTTATAAATATTACGAGATAATCTTGATCTATGAAGCTTATGATGAGCCAATTGTTTCTTTTCCTCTCGTAGATAAGTTGAAAGACCGTGTACATTTAATGAAATGATACTGTTACTGAGTGGACCAGATGATCGTATATTATATTGTTGGGAAGCACAAAAGCGGCCGGTGCTACCGCCCCTTAATCGACGAGCCTTGTCTTTTCAGTGAGATAAGCTTTTTTTTTGAATTCAAATCCTATATACCCTAGCTACTCGGCCAAGACTGCTGCTGTGAAACCAAAGTCGCCCACACCCTCAGCCCCCTAACCAATCAAGAAGAGAACAGGATCTCTGCCGCTTTGACGAGATTTTTTGTTATTTTTTTCCTCTTTCTTTCTAAACAGGCGTTTAGAGGTTGGCATTGACGAAGCTAACAAGGGCGCCGAGTCTGCTGTAGACACCAGCGAAGCCGGCCTCGGCACAGCCATTGCCCCAAGAAACGAGACCCTGGAGGACGCCGTTGGCATCAACGATGGGGCCGCCGCTGTCGCCCTGGCAAGAGTCCTTGCCACCCTGGGCCTGAGCGGCGCAGAACATGTTGGTGGTGACAGCAGACCTGCCGTACTCGGACTGGCAGGTGGCACGAGAGACGACGGGGACGGAAACCTTGTTGAGTCTGGCGGGGAGAGACGAGCTGCCCTCGGAGGTGGTGCCCCTGTTGAATCAGTTAGCATTGAGTTTCCATACCGTATTGCCAGGTACTCTGCATTATATATCAGGATATTGGGAAATGCTTACCAGCCAGCGGTGGTGACGATGGAACCAGCAGCAGGGTCAGAGCCGGCAGCGGGAAGGGTGGCGTAGCCGATGGTGGAGCTCTCAGGGATGGAGCTGGCCAACTTCCAGACAGCAACGTCGAAGTCGGTGGTACGGGAGTTGTAGGAGGGGTTCACAATGATCCTGGAGACACCGACTTGGGTACCGCCTGAAGCCCAGGTCTGTAATTGAAGACAAAATTAGTATCAAGACCAATCTGCTTCTAGAGATAGGACAGAAGAGGAGGGGCCAACTTACAAGAGTGCCGGCGCGGACCTTGACCTGCGAAGCAGAGAAGTCGACGGAGCAGTGGGCAGCAGTGATGACGGTGTTGGCGTTGACCAAAACACCACCGCAGAAGTGAGAGCCCTGGGTGGACAGAGAGACGATGTAGGGGAACTCGCCGAGAGCAGCGGCAGTTCCTCCGACGATATCAGCGCCACGGGGCTCGATGGCAGCTCCCAGAGCGAGAGCGGGCAGCATAAGAGCTGAAACAATCTGGGAAACGGGGGCCATTGCGAGTGATGTAATTTTTGTCTTCTGAGGTAGAGAGAAGATGGCTTTGTATGGAATTCAAGTGGTGAGCTGTGGTGATTCTCCAACTTGAATCGAGGGCGAGCCGTCTCCTATATATATTTTTACAGCTCTAAGAATATCCAGGATTTAAGACAGCCACGATAACAAATTACATGCATATAGAGCACAGTCCACGACCGATTTAGCCAGCCCTGCCGAATGCTACGACGTTAGATGGGTTCCCTAAATGCAGACCGAGGGCCAAGTGATGGCACCGCATGAAGCATCTCCTTCCTAAAGGGAGATTATGGCTTGGGTTCGCAAAAGATCCAGGCTGAGAGAAGAGGAGGCCAGAAAGAGAAGGCGACGATGATGGCATTGCACGTCAAGGTACTACTGGTTGGAGACCGACCATGCAACGCCATGCATGGTGTACCAAGAGCCAGACTGGATAGACCTGAATGAGAAATAGACGATTGACCACAAGCAGGACAAGGCCAGGCACATAATGATGAGACTGCTACAAACAAAACTAAACTATTCAATTACACTGACACCAAGCAAATACTATAATAAAAGAACTATCGCCAACTAATAGGAGCACGGCCAAACCACGAAGCCGAAACACCTCCGTCCGGTGTATAAGGTAAGAGAGATAAGCGCCTCAACTCCAATGTCCATTATCACAAGCGATCGGCCGGCTCCGGCAGTGTCGAAGCTCAAACAGCCTGCCATATCCGTCACTTGCTTCCGAGCCCGATCTTGGGTCACAACTGCCATCGTACGCCTTGCGACCTTCTGAATCGAGGCGCCAAGACCCGTCCGAAGTTTGAGGCAAAAGCACATGCATAATGAATGGGAGGTTCACGATAATAAAAAGGCGTCGGAACAAAGCTGGGCGGCGCGGGGTAACTCGACCCGATCTGGCGAGCCAGTACCAAGTACGGGAGGCTTGTAGGCGTGTGCTGTGGGCTGGACCGGTACCGGTGACTCTGCAGAAGAGCATCAATCCAATCCATGTGAATCCTACCTGGTTCGTTTGCGGCTGGAGCTTTGCAGCCTAATACTAATAGAATGAATGGCGTTTGAGAGCTCGAAAGTACCGAGCATTTTGATCGAAGTGGCTGGACGTGGGCACCTAATTAGGCAACTAATAGATATTGAGGTAGATAAGGATGGGCTTCAAGATGCAAAAACAGGCAAACAAAAGGAGATGAAGAGGTTAAAAAGGGAATAAAAAGGAGAGGAGCGAGTTCAGAAGTCCCTTGCATTGCCTTGTTTAGTAAGATATGGCAAGTATTAACCAACCAATTGGATGCTTTAGCACTGCTGTAGTCTAGAGAGGGAGTTCTAAGTTATTACATGTTGATGCACGAAGTCTGAGCTGATATGGAGTTTGTCTGACGCTAAGGCTTTGGGGCTAGTGACATGATGCCATTGAAGCATAATATTAAGATTACGCACCTTTGTTTTTACGGTTGAGAATAGCCCGTAGTAGGTGGGCGAAGAAAAAAAGACTGGACGAAAATAGAAAGCCCGAGAATAAACACGCCTAAGAATAATCCAAACAAAACGCCAAAAACACTACATGTAAATCTTCATCGTGAGCCTCTCAGAACCAATCTTCGGCAAAGAGGCATCTCTCAAAAGCCCATTGACCGAACCCCCTGGCCAGAGCATTGCGCAATCGCGCAGCACGAGAACCAAAACCAAACACAGGGAGCCAATATCCGACGTCAGGGTTGCATCTCCAGTATGGGCCAGCGGCTAGGGCGGGCGCCTGTGCCGGGGACATAACATGGAAACCTGTGCCGGGGGACCATCACAAAGAGGGAAAATGCACGTCTGGGCATACAAAAAAACAAAAAAATAGGTAAATATCGGGCCGCTGTGCCGGGGATCAAGGAACATTGAAGAGAGGAGGCTGGAGCTTGTCCAAGGCGCAAACCGCTTGGCGATGGTCCGTGCCGATCTGCTTCTGGGAATAGTACTGTAACACTGCAGGAATTGGAAGTGAATGGCACCGGTTTTCGGAGCAGAATTGGGTAGGACATTGATATTTTTTCCTGCTTCGTATTTGCGTGTGACTGCGGGCGTTGCATGCAGTCCGGGCCTTTCTGATTGATATCGAGGTAACATTGAACTCTTGTGAAAGATCAAATAATTGGTCATGCGTTACGTCGTGGGACACGATAAACATGAAGCTGGCGTCGTGTTTCCTTATCTACTACCCTTACATGTGATGAGTCTTGCTACAAATTATATGTCTAGATGTTGCTAAGCGCGTCGATGAGTATATACGAGTGTTACCTACTGTATCTCCTAACCTATATACGGATATATGCGTGTATACAATGGCTGTGCATACAGAGTACATGCAGCCAGCAACGAGACGAAGATGGCATCTTGATGCCTTCCTTCCAACTCTCTGCTTGAATCTACCGCTTGAGAGACTTCTCCTTAATCCAAAACGTAGCAGTAAAACACACAAGGCCAAACAAAATTGACGGTACAAAGGACCCAACGATGGCCGTCTGGTAGCTCGAGCGAACCTGTTCAGCCACTAGTGGCGGCAGATGTTTGATGGCGTCTAGACTCTGGCGCACTTTTTCTTCAACCTGGCCGGCATCGTCTCCGATACGGGAAGCTAGTTGTGTCCTCAAAACCTGCTGGAGCACGGCAGAACTGGCACCGACGCCGACGCTGGAGCCTAGTGAGCGGAAGAGATACGAGCAGGCGATGGCAACTGCGGTGTCCTCGGTGGCCGCATTGGCAAGAAGAGCGATGAGAACGGTGGTAATGCCTTGGAGATTAATCCATGTTAGTCTCGGTCTGTATGACAAAATATATACACATACAGATAGCATATGGAGCACAATGTTAAGGTAACATCGATGAAGATGCGTGGGGGCGGGGGCGAAGAGAAGGATAACAAGAAAGGAAATTGAAACTTACCACCTCCGTTGCCAACGGCTGAAAGAACGAATCCAGTATTAGTGCCAATCAGTGAACGGAACCAGACTGAAACAATCAGAGGCACCATTGAGAAGAACAAGATGCCGTAGCTAATCACCGTCGGCCAGTAAAACTTGCCGGTCCTCTTGATAATCCAACCGCCCGCGAGAGACCCCAACACGCCGGCTATGGTTGCAGGAACAAGCATTGAGCCGCTCGCCGTGGCACTTAGTCCTTCGACGGCCTGAAAGTACAGCGGTACAAAGAACATGACGGCCATTTCACCCGCCATGCCGCACATGTTGACGATGTAACAGGGAAGCAAGTCTCGGCTGAGGATGATGTGGCCCGGGGCGAACGGGTGCTTGGCAATTTTCATCTCCACGAACAAGAATAGGGCAAACAGGACGGGCGTAAGACTGAGGGAGACGATGGTGATGCGGTTGGACCATCCAAGGTTTGGACCGGAGTCTAGGCCGGTCAAGAGAGAAACAACGGCGAGAACAAGGGTGAAGGCGCCCAGGAAATCGATCTGGCGAACTTTTGAGGCCCAGTGGTCCTTTGAAGGAGGTTCGAGGTCGAGGATGAAGTATACTGAGACCCAGGCTACCAAGCACATGGGGGCCTGAATCATGAAAGACCTGTTCATATAGCGGTTAGTGAAGGTCCAGATCTTCATGCCACGATCAATCTCACCATCGCCACCCGAGAGAGTCAGCAAAAAGTCCTCCCAATGGGCCTCCAGTGGAAGTTCCAGCAGCATATACCACGTTGATATAGCCCTGCCAGACGCCGCGCTCTTGCAGGGGAACAATATCAGACAGCAGAATCGACACAACTGAACTCATTCCTCCTCCGCCAATACCAGCAATTGCTCGAGCAACACAAAGCTGTGTCATGCTCTGGGCCAAGCCGCATCCCAAGCAGCCAATGCCGAAGACGGCATATGCAAACAAGAGGCACGCCTTGCGACCGAAAATGTCGCTGAGCTTGCCGTAGAGAGGCTGAAAGCTTGTGAGGGTGAGGAAGTATCTTAGGTTTTTTTTATGTTAGAAGCCTTGGCCACTGGCATAGAAGGCGGGAAAGCAAGTTTGTGAGATTCGTGCTTACGCGGTGGCGATCCAGCTTGTGTTGTTCAACGCATTTAGCTCGCTGCCAATTCTGGCATATGTTGCAACTGCAAGGAGCTGGTCGACGGCTACGAGATAGACCTGAGGGAAGACGTCTTGTTAACATGGATTTTCTTTTATTGGCGTTTGGGATGGGGATGATGATTTACTCCAACGCCAATGGCAGGAAGCAAGATGTGCATCTTGTCGGCCATGGGATGCTTGTTCGGTCTGGTGTCCACGTTGCCATCCTCGACATCATTGCCATTGCCATTGCCATTGCCCAAGACGCCATTTTGAGGATGAGGTTGGGAAAGGAGGGGCGATGTCTCCGTTGGAGGAGCAGATGGCTCTTCATCGTTGGAACTTGACCTCATCTTGATAGAAGTTGAGCCAAATTATAACAAACGCCGATCGCGTCGATAACCGTAGCTTCAATCTTCGGGAAGCACGACCTAGTTTTTACTCGGGCAATGAGCAAGCCAGAGACTGCAGCAACTAGATGGCAGCGCGTACTCTGAGAGACACGGACCTCTCTCGTGAGATGCGTATATGGAAGCTGACACGCAACACAAACGGTGAGATGTGTCGATGTACGAGTTGCTAGTGAGCCGCCCCCCACCCAGGCCGTCCTCATTTAGCCAGGGGGCGACATTTATATCAGCGCATTGTCTTGTCAACCCAAGGGCGTTTTCATAAAAATAACGGATCTAGAAAGAACGCAATCTCGAGTACATATGATAGAATCCTTCACAACCTATCGATAGGCCAAATTGTAATACATTGAGTAGATGATGCTGAATAATGCAGTTGCAAGTCGCGTTTAGCATCCGATTTTGGACTTAGATGGCCGTATATTTCCGGGGTTATTATAAATCTCACTGTAGCCATGTTAGCCGAACATGAGCGCGAGAACATCTACTACTATAATTTGATGAATTGACAAATTCATATGGTAATGCCAAGTGTTGGCAATAATGGCTTAAACAATTCATGGTGAAACAGTATTGCAAGCATTGAGTCTGTAAGGCATAGAGAGATGACACTTGCGTGTGGACTAGGTAAACTCCGCATTTGGAGTTTCTGACTAAAACCTGGGGGTGGCTGAATGGCTAAAAGAGTATAAGTACCTGGACATCAATTGATATTGGCTTCCAACTCTGAGCTTATTCTCTTATAAAGGATGTATTAGACAGATAGGCAATAATTTTAGAACATAGTATATACATGTTCACGGTATTTAAATGCGTTTCTCTATCGCATCAATGAAGCATAAATGCTCGAATCCCCACCAACCCCAATTAGCAGCATTTTCAAGTTCTCTTTTGCTTAGAGTCTTCTTCACGGCCATTTGCTGTTGAAGGGGCAACATCCGTAAGTTCGAGCACTGCCTCATTGGGATCCCGAGGCTTGATATTGTCCTCAGTCCATGTGGTTTCGTTTAATGTATACGCTGAACCCATGCTGTGTAAATACTGTATGCCGGTGAGCTGAGTGTTCCCAGCTAAGCCGACCTACCTGAAGTTGCTATATCGACTACGAATCTAGGTAAAGCTGTGCTAAATGCACTTTAACATACATGTGCAATACTGTACATGCGAAGGGCCTGACAAGAAGGTACCGAATGCAATCAGTCGAATAGATCCATGTCAGCTAGCAAAATACGGAGTTGGAGTTGCATCTGCCACGTTTTAGCATCAGCTCTGCCGTGCCATGTGTCGCAAATCCGCCCGTGCGCGCCTGCAGCCTTCCTCCACATGCGGGGAGCCGACAACGTTATTTGTCGGGTTGCCAATGACAGGTCGAATCACTTCGGACGATAAAAACTGGATACATACTTTCAGTTTATTTGTTTCAACGTTTATCTCGCCATGTGAAAGAAAAAAGCCAGTGAGGCTTCCAGTTTCAATATAGTGCTAGCGAGCCGCTGTTGCATTCTGGTGGGTACTTGTCCCGGCCGCCTCGTCGCACGTAATCCCAACGCGATCAAGCCACGTGGATTTGATGATACAGCTCCAAAGAGCACAACACGAAGTATATGCACCGGCTATTGAATTGGAGGCCACAGTCACAGAGACGTCAGTCCGTTCAATGTAGTCTTGTCCAGCCATTTGTTGGTGGCGCAAGCTGGAGAGTGGCGAATGAGAGACACCAGACCGGCAAGTCTCGGCCGGTTTCTCAGCCACCGCGGAACATGGATGCTTGTTCAGCTGAGAGGCGACAATCTGCATTATCTCCCTTCTCACTTGCTTTGCCCTCCTCCTACGTGACGAGAAACCAGCATCACTTTCATGCGCTAACATGCTAATGACGTCGTGGCGCCTCTATGAGCGTCACGAATACGATTGAGCCTAAATGAGATCAAGTTTTGACGTGGCTGTCGTGAGTGGCAGATCATATTAGGTGCAGATGGATTGCCATTGACAACGTCAAGATAACTTGGCCAAGTGTAATAATTGGTGTCAAATGAATGAATAGTTCGATGCCTATGAGCTAGACACTCGAATACTGTAACCCGATAGACGTGGGAGGACTCGTAATACTGTAGATACAATGCAGCATCGCCCTGCCAAGCTGCGTCTCTTGCAGAGGATCGCAGAATCGACCCCTGTCCACCTGCGACGACATCCAATGCATTCCAACAGTCCAATCCAGCCCTGTCATATGCAAGGACAATGCAGAATGGCGTCCCCGCCGAGGCGCCACCAGCCCCATGTCCTGATGCCCGTTTCATCGCCGTTCCCGCATATTGGCTGCCGCCATCCCGCCAAAGTTGTATTAGCCAGGGACTCGCTCGGAATCTAAAACAACCTAGGACGGCCTCCTCGTCTCAGCATTTCTGCTTCTGCTCATGGACTGCCAATTTTTCCCAATGCGCACTCATCGGAGCTGCGCAATACCGGCAAAACACTCCTGCTGCCCGCCGTGAGCCTCACAGGGGCGCTGCGAATCGTCTCAAGCTAGTACAGGCACATGCGGACATCCTGTTGAATTTGGTCTCGACCGCTCTGCCGTTTTGCTGTCGTTGTTTTTCTCGCCGTGTCAGAGTGTTGGGCCACGATGTCGCGGCAATCCGATCTTTCAGTCCCTAAAAGCGGCGTATCCCGCTTCTCCAAGGCGTTGCCTGGAGTCCCCGGATTCGACGGCTTCGACGACGACGACAGCGAGAGCAACGCCGTCAACAGTAACAATAATCGTAATCGAAAGAATAGCGAGTTGAGTCTCCCGGCGAGAACCTCATCGCTCGCGTCGCCGCCGCCGACAAAGAACCTTCCGCTTCCTCCGCTGCCTCCCGCGCCGCCGACCAAGACGCTGCCGACAACGCCGCAGCCGAGTCGGGCCAGTAAAGATAGCCTGAATAAGAATATTAATAGTAATACATCGAGTTACGACAACACGAGCAGCCAAATCAGCATTGCGGCGCCCTCACTTTCGCCTACCAGCTCTGTATCAGTGAGCCTGCAGTCGCCGCCCTTGAGCGGCCGGTCCATGATGTCGATCCCGCGGAAACCCATTGCGAACCTGCAGCTGCCGGCGCCGACGACGCAATTCTTGGCTCAGCCATCGCCGACTTTCTCCCTGTCGAGCATCCTGATGGCGTATATGGAAGATGGCGACGAGTCGCAGCAGAGCAGCGCGGGTGAAAAGGGCGAAAACGGACAGGAAGTCACAGCATCTGGTAGCGAAAAGGTGGACGCTGCGCCTGCCAGAGCTCCAGCCGCCACCGTCACAGGCGGCAGTGGCTCACTGCCTGCTCGCCCCAACGCTGGCTTTGGCCACTCGCAGCGCCCTGCTGAGCGAACTCTTCCTCCACCACCTCCCAAAGACGACAAACCAACGCCCCCAAGACCAGACAGTCCAGAGCTGACCGCTCCATCATCGCCTCGCCCCGAGATCTGGAAACGACGTCCACACATGAGCCAAGCCAGCAGAGAGCTCCCTGGCCTCAAGCTCGACTACAGCCACGGATCAACCGCAGACACACAGCTTCCCCCGGACGCAGCTGAACCGGAGACAACATCAGAAGCAGCGTCCGACACGGCTAAAGCCGCAGCCCAGCGAGCTCCTCCGTTTGCCGGCGGATTACCTGGCCGGAATATTCGCCCTTCGTTGCCGGCCAAGGACCAGCCGCCCCCTGCCACGCAAGCCATGGGGAGCGAAACATCCAAGCTGAAGCAGATCAAAGAAAGACTTGGCTCTCAGCGATCCGAGTCGGTATCCAGCAGTTCTACTGCCAAAGCTGGTTTCCCCGGCGTCCCAGCTGCTAAGCGACCGCCGACACCAGAGTATCAGAAGGAAGAGGTAAAAGTGCCTGCTGTCGAGCCTTTCGTCTCTCCCGTGTCTCCAGCATCATCTCCCGAGGCTCCAAGGGGTGCTTCTCCGGACTTTTCAAAAGGACTGCCGCCAAAGCCTTCCAACGGCAACCTGACTGCAACAGCAAGCTCTCAAAAACCTATATCACGAAAAGCCCTGCCGACAAGTCCTAGCCAGGACTTCACAGCTGTCAAGGATTCCTTTCGCCCGCCGTCTGATGCGAATAGTACCAGTGCATCCAGCCAAGCGGCTGTACCCTCAACATTACCAAAGGCCGGTGCCACACTTACTACAACAACTGCACCAGTGGCTTCTCTTCCCAAAGACGATGCGTCTACCGGCTCACGTGGTTCTGGAGACACAACTGTAGTGCAGCCTCAGCCCCAGCCCCAGCCTGCCGTGATCCGAGCAGATGCTCCCCAAACAGTGAAGCCACAGCGCAGCGAGCCTCAGGCGACGGCAGACCCACGACTTTTACAATCAGAAACACAAGGGCTGTTGTATCGGGGTCGTGATGGCACGCTATATGCTGAGATGAAAACCCAGGGGGAACCTCATCCTAAGGCGTCATATTTTCCCACACAGACGTACCCAAACCTACCTAGAGATGGTATCGTCAAGGCGAGACCCCTCACTGACATGCATTTCAATTGTTTCCAACAACACAGGACCATGGCTCGCCGAAGCAACCGGAATTGTCCACTGACCTGTCAAACTTGCGACCGAGCAGACGTCGAGGATCGCTGGGTATGTGCTTTCTGCCATCTACGGATATGCGACGGTTGCTATCGCAAGCTGGGCAGCTATCAACGGGACCTCCGCCGTTTGGTTGACGTTTTGGCCAGTGCTGGACCTGCAGGATTCACATCTTCCTCTCGCCCTGGCACAGCTATGGGGCTGTAGCCAACGCCATGACGCCGCATATCTCCTAATCTTCACCCCGCCACATACTCTCATGATACCCCTATTCCGCCCGCCCACTTTTTCCTTTCTTCTTCTTCTTCTCCTCCATTATTATTACTTTGTTATGGCATGAAACATTACTGTCATGGGATCTGGAGTACGAATGTCTTCATCAGTGTCTTTTTTTGTTTTCTCAACGCAAACTTGTATCAAAGTACCATAAAAGGAAGCTCTGGTTCGGCCCTCTGTTTTACTTTTGATACCATTTTTCTGCTTACCCGCAAGATTGGGGCGGAAATATTTCACATGTACAGCATTAAAGAGGATTGGTTCAGTCGCTCGTTGGTTCAAAGAGAATGGGAAAGGATAGTTCCAATGGTTTTTAGGGAAATCGACATGCCGGACCACGGTTTGGGCAACTTTGAATTTGTTTACATGAGTCAGGGTATCTCTGGTTTGTTCTCTCAAAGAGAGTGATTGAAAATAGACTACATGTACCTTAGCCATTGAGGCATTACTCAAGGATGATATAATAGTACCGTCTTTGATGCAAATGAAAACACGAGAAATTTTTCATAAGCAATGCTTAATGTGAAAATAATGAATACCCTTGAGATGAAGTTTTGATAATACTTGAATCAGGGGCAAGTCGAGATGGAGCATCAGTTGAATCCAATTGGCGGAGTTGGGGTCTTCAGTATGCGAGCCTGACCCAATTGGGAGTAGCCAGGTACGGCAGTTGGGCCTTTATAGCGCCTGAAGCTCCCTGACATCACCGGCGTAGGGCACTAACAGCCCAGCTCAGGTGAAATGTCACCGTCGGGCAGGCCAGCTTCACCTTCATCCTCGCCAATTCCCAACCTCCAGCATCACCGCCATGTCGTCAATTCCTCGCTCGCGCTCTGTGCGCTCAAACACGGGCATCCCACAGATACCGACCAGATCGTCTAGCACTCGAGATGCGTCGGTGCCCCGAAATACGTCGCCTAGTCGGCTGCCCAGATACGGTGCCCGAGGCGGCGTCTCATCCGTCTCGGTTGCTTCTAGCTCCAGCAGCTCGACGAACAGCTTGAAGAACACGGCCACCAATGCCAATGCCAGAGCTCCTGGTGCACCACCAGTCATGCCTGGGCGTCTGGCGAGATCGATGACGATGGCAACGAAGGAGGTGATGGCGAGGAAGGAAAAGATGGCTACGACCAACAAATATCCACCGTCGACAACTATGACCAGACCGTCCATCCAAACGAGGGGGAGGTCTGCGAGCATCTCAATGGAGGGAAAGCCCAAAGAGCTGGAGCGAAGGTCGACGGGACTTGCATATACAAGAAGCTCGGCCACAAACCTTGCTGGACCAACTACGGTGAAGTCTGCTTCGAGGCCGAGAGAAGCCACTTCGAGGTCGAGAGATCCCATTCGGCGGCCTGCAACACCCACAGCCCAAACGGGTATACCGACGACTACTCGGCGATCAGCAACGCCAACTGCCATGCCTCGATCCAATACTTACTCAGGTGGGCCTGTTACTCCCACCTCAACAACGGCAAAGACGCCTCCCTCGACTAAGACGAGGTCGCCTTCGGTAGGAGCGCTGTCTCGCGCTGCCACATTCACCAATTCTATACGATCTGCGACACGGACCTCCATGACTCGGTCTATAACTCCAACTACCACCCGGTCTGCAAATTCAGCTGCTAGTAGCCGGGCTGCGACGCCGACGGGGCAACCAAAGCTGGAACGCCGAGCTCCCTCTACTGAAAAGGTATCGTCGTTTCGTAAGCCGTCACTGGCGACTATTAGTAGAGTGGTGTCTAGACTTTCGAAGCCTTCCTCTGCCGGTACGCTGCTGTCATCGGATCAGGCATCCCAACTGAAACGACCATCGAATTCTTCTTTACACCGCCCCAACTCACCAAGCAAGACTCTGTCTGCCAAGCCTTCGGCGTCACATCTCGCCCCTCCTTCGCCCTCCAAGTTGCCAGCTAATATTGCTGCGTCGGCTGAAGTTAGTAAGCTTCAAGCAGAGCTCCTACAGCTGTATCTGCTTCACCAGGAGGCTCCAACTGTGGATGCTGAATGGAGGGCGAGTGCCAAGCAGAAGCTGGGGAACCGGTTCCAAAAGCTGAGCGAAGAGAGTAGGGAGGTTGCTGAGCAGGAGAGTATAGCACTGGAAAAGCGGAACGTGCTCGCGCTCCGAAGATGGGGCAGTGGTGGTAGACTGGACGAGAAGATCCAGTCTCTGGAATCCATCATTACGAATGTATGGTCACTGAGCGACCCAGGTGGCCGATATGCTCGTGTGGTGCGACATTTCGAGATTTGGATCGATGGCGTGAGTGAGATGGAGGACGCGAGAAGAAAGGGCGCCATGCTCACCCAAGGAAACGACAACCTGTTCATTGAAGACTTGGATGCCCGATGGAAAGAGGAGCGTGGAGATCTCATCCAGCTTCTAACCGAATGGAGGCAGCAGCTCAGCGATATCGATGACCTGAGTCGAGATGAGTTTTACGAGCCGCCGGAGGAGGATGAGAAATCTAGCTTGGAGAAGATGCTGGACGGATCGCGTATGCTGATTGACGACATGTTGGCGGAGTTGGAGATTATGGAGGAGGTTGAGCACGAGGCGCTTGCGAGGGAAGATGCGTGGATCGAGAAGATGAATAGGAGCGAGGAGGATGACGACTTCCGGGTCTCGCGGGTGAGAGGCGCCTGGAACGAAATGTGAAGGGTGCCATTTCATGGTTAAAGGGGTGCTGACGATTTCCTTACTTTCTCCTTTTCTATTTTCCTTATTTCTTTTTCAGGTCTGGGGGTTTTTTTTTTGCTTTTATGCTATTTCTTTTCTTTTGACAAAAAGCATGGACCTTTGACGACATAACGACTGCGACAAAGGGGGGGATACATCCAACATTGGAACGGACAACAGAACCATCATCATTAGCAGCATTGGCATCAGCATCATTAAATTGGCATCAAGCATTTAGCATCAGCGTCATCACGAGCGATATAGTTCCACTAGACTGATTTTCAACCCGTGTTGCATGTTGAGGGAAAAAATGATAAGTTTCTTTCCGGTGAAAGCATCATGTAATCTAAGTAACAATAAAAAAAAGGGAGAAACAGGCCCAGCGTGCTCCTCGAAGCCGGGGCATAAGATATGATAAAATACAACCGTGAGACAAGCTTTTTTCTTTTCAAAGGGTTCAAAGATACCTCCCAGCGATAGTGATCGATAAAGGGGACACAACGAGAAGAAAAGAAAGAACCAAGTCCATGGAGGAGGCGTTTTGGCTTCGACACATGGGAGGTTGTTTTTTTCTTTTTCGTTTTCTTTTTTTCTTTAATTTTTTTTTTCAAGATGCTGCTTGCCCATCTGGCCATCACGGTTTGTTTTTCGCGTCGTCTCATCATTTGCTTGTGGTCATGCGTCATCATCAATTCGAATTTCGTTCCTCCTCTCCTCTCTCCTATCCTATCCTAGAGTGTCGCCATTTCCATGCTCAGTCTTTCCTCTACAGGTACGCCCTCCGGGGAAAGCTGACGCCCTCAATGGCAGGCTCGTCGACGAACCAGCTGCACCGGTCTCCCGCGGCCTCGTTGACGAGAGCGCAGGGCAAGCCCTCGCCGGCGTCGAAGATCTGCTTCATGATATCCTTCTTGCCGCCGCCGGTGGCGACGAAGGCGACGCGGACGGCGTGTGTGACGACGGGCAGCGTCAGGGTGATTCGCTTGGGGGGCGGCTTGGGCGAGTCCTCGATGGGGGCGACCCAGGCGTCGGCCTCGCGGAGCAGCTCGTGGCCGGGGAAGAGGGAGCAGGTGTGGCCGTCGGGCCCGCAGCCGAGCAGCAGCAGGTCAAAGATGGGCAGGCGGACCGAGTCCCGGGAGGCGAAGCTGGCGACGAGCGTCTGCTCGTACTGGTCGGCGAGCTCCTGGATGTCGCCGAGGTGCTCGACGTTGATTGCGTGCACGGCGGCGGGCTGCTGGTCCGTGGGCAGCTTGTCGAGCAGCTCGGCCTTGACCAGGGCGTAGTTGGAGTCCTCGTGGTCCAGCGGCACCGCGCGCTCGTCGGCGAAGAAGATTTCCCACTTGGTGAAGTCGACCGTGTCTTCGGGGCCGGAGGAGGGAGCCAGCAGGGCCGCGGCGAGCGTCTTGGGCAGCGAGCCTCCAGACACGGCCACCTTGAAGACGCCGTGCCTCTCAATACCGGCGTTTTGGCTCTGGATTACGTATGCGCGCAGAGCCTGTGCGAGGGCATCGGTGCCCGGGAAGGCGTATAGGTTGGGCTGTGTCTTGGGCATGATTGTAGCTGTGGGAAAAAGAAAACGAGGCTTGGAAGCACGGAACTGTTTCGACTTTTGGTCTGATGTAAAGGAGGGCGGTGTGTGGACCGTATATCGGGAAAGGCTCGTTCAGTCTATGTTTGATATTGTGGTGTTCTCGTTTTTTTTTTTTCTCTGCTTGGAGCTGTACAAATCAACTTTAGAGGTCCGGGTGTGGATGGCGGGGTTGCTCTATTTTTCCATTTGGGGGAGTTGAAGGTTGCGCCAAGTTCGAAGGAAACGGAGCTGCGTGCGCGCGGGGTTATGTCAGAGGCGCGTGGGAAGATAAGATAAGGCCGGGCTGAGTTCAGGCGGGCGTTGCCACTACGATCAAGGTTAAAAAACGTATCCAGCGGGTTGGGCAGCTTTCAACGAACTACGAGATGGTTCTAGAAAAGGAGAATTACTCCTTAACTCATGCACGGAGAAGAAAACCGAGCGGGTGTTTTGTTGGAGAAGGGACAAACGCTGGAGGTCCAAAATGGTCATGCAACCGCATCGTTATGTACAATTTGCGCATTGCAAGCACCGATCTGCAGGGATGCCGCGGTCTGCATGCCGCTTGGAACGTCGGAATTGGAGAAGCATCACGCCAACGTCAAGACTCGAGGCCGGAATTCGGCACTGCTTTTAGTGTCGCTGCTACGCGATGCTAGACCGAGCGAGGTAGGTAGCATGTAGATTTTTATGCCGCTCAGCTGGGTAGCGTTGAGGTTTTTGTTTTATTTTAACGATTCTGCCATGTGAGAGGACCGTTTGATCCGGGCGGTTCGTTTGCGCTTCTCGTTAGAGTTAGAGCTGGTGCGATGGATCGCTTGAGCGAGATGGCATCGGATGAACATGGTAGAATCGGGTGTGTTGGCGTTGATATGCGGATGCTATATTTATATTGAGATCAACATGTATGGATGGAAAGGATGGATTTCATGGGTAGTGAGTGGTTGGAGTTGCGCATGAGCTAACAAGTTGAATACGAACTTGCGCTGGGGAGCTACCAAACCTCTGGTTCATAGGCTGAAAGCTGCAGCAGCAGGACTTGGCCTGGCTTGGTGCTGTCGGGTGCTCTTAAAAGCGCTACGGTGCTCAAAACTCGCCAAGACCCGATGCGAGACAGGCCCCCGGCCGCCGCGCATCGAAGCGAAACTTCGCTTGTTAGTTGAAGAAACGACGTGCTTGCTTTTCACATGATTGCCGAGCCAATGTCTCAGATCGGTAGGCAGGCCGTATGCCAGTTGAGGTTTACGCTGCTTTTATAGCGCGCCGTTGTGATGTTGGTCGCCCCCTGTGCAGTGCTGATGCTAGGACGTACATACATGCACCTACATGGGCTATATTGGCGAGCGAACGAGCGAGAGCCGTTGCTAGTATGATTGGGCACGGAGGTGCCTCCGAGCCTCGTACCTGAAAATGCACCCGGAGAGACTGTCCATATTGCTGGATGGTACCTATGCCTTGCAGGTAGGCATTTATGGGAAATAATTATGTAACGCTCTCTGTAAACACATGTATATTCTGTCTCGACCCTCGGCATGTAACCAGGATTGAGTGCATCCTACCGAGTGTCTTAGGTTAGTAGGGATACATCCATGGATCCATCTACCAACTTGACACTTACAGCCACAAAAGAGGCGTGCAGAATAGCCTCGGTGGCGGTCCCAATGCTGCAGCTGGGATTGGAAGACGCTCAAAAGACTATTTGACAACAATGACGTAACGGTGAAGTTGCCAATCACAACAAACTTGTTGGGTTATTCACCATTCACATGGGCGGGTTTGCAAATCGTTCAGCCTCACGAAGAAGCATCTGAGCCATCACTTCATGCCTCCATAAGCGAGTATTGAGATATGACCGTGATGTTAGTGCTGCTGCACGCAATTCCTGATGGGTCTGGCGGGAATATGCTGGTGACCCTTCATGGCCCATGTTATTCCCCGCCGCGGCGTGCCGACGGTTGCCACATTCCCAACGTCCGCCTCTTGGTCTGCTGTGTGTGTATGCCACACTGAGATAGCAGTGCGAGAAAGCTCTCGATAGGGGGCCGGCCTGAATGCCCTCCAAGTCGTCACCAGCACAATCGCCGGCGGGTCTGTCCTGGTGGAGATGGCCAAGCCAGCAGCTTTGGGGCAAAAAAAGCTGGGCACCCCGCCATGTGAACAGCAAGGCAGAAAAACTTGGTGTGCTCCTGTCACCAAGCCAAGGGCGCATGTGAACCCGGCATCTGAAAGAGGGGGCCAGTATCTCTGCATTAGCTTTGTATTAAACGGGGGGTTTTCTCTTCTCTGTGTCTGTCGGTGTCTGTGTGTCGAGAATTGGTTTGGATCAACATCGTATTTGAAGCAGGAGGTATCGCCCCCGACTTGGAACTGTTCCCCAAGCCATCAAGTGCCAAACGGGTCAAAGAACTGTACAACATAACAGCAAAGCCACTACCTAGTAGACTATTGACTAGATTAGTGGATGACAGGCAAACTGCTTGTTGGCTGCTGTACAGTTTAGAGGCGAGTTTTCGCTACGTTACTGCCGGCTCCGGGAGCCTCCAGCCCAAATGCGACTCTAGTGTGGCCAGACCCTGAAATCCCCTTGGCTGCCACAATGTCCCACCCGGAATTCAGGGTCCAGCTGGGTCAGGCGGAAAGCATGCTAAACCACCCTAATCCCACACAGTTGCTTGCCTGCTAGCCCATTCGCTGTATCGTCTAAGGCCTCATTAAATTTTTATTCTGCCTTGTTCCCTTCTCCCACTCCCTGCCGCTCTCCTCCCAACCCTCGACCTCAGCCCAGGTCTTCTTTTGCCTCCCCTCCATCTCCCCCTCCTCTCCATTCCTCAGCCCTCGGCCCTTGTTTATTAACACTTTGACTTGCCCAATTCGCAATCAGGGCCGTTTGCTGCAGGTTGTGGCCATAGTTCGGCGCGGATAGCGAATCATTGGCTCTTGGTCATCCGCCGGCCAGTAGGGGTGCCAGACTGCAAAAAAGGGCTCCAGCGTGTGCCGCCATTCGGGCCTGTCCTGGTCGCGTCCCTTCCCCCAGTTGTTCACCGATTGCAAGGAAAGAGCCCCGTTGAGCTGCCCCTCCCCTTCTTGACAAGTTTGGAGATATCAAATAAGTCCCCTCGTCTCGAATCTTCAGGGCTGTCTTCTTCTGCTTCAACTTCCGCTGCCTGTTTGCCCAATCATATTGCTTGGAGCCCGGCAGAATCAAGCCAGAGCTATTCCACACACCGGCAAGCCATAAACAGGGCAGAGCCACATACCATCCAAGCAGACTCGACCTATAGCCGGCAGTAGCAGCCACTGTTCGGGTCCGAATCGTCTGGACCTGGAGCTGTACGGCGGCATAGTGCGTCACGAGACAGCCTCACTTGAGTGTTGTGAGTCCGGGCCGTGCCTGTTGATTCGCTGCCCTCTGTCTTGTCACTCGCGCAGGCTTACAGGCCCTTATCTCGGCCTTTGCTTGGCCACCCCCTTCTCTGTGTCTCCTGGACACCTTTGGATACAGCGCCCGCCACCTTGCGGGGATATAGACGGCCGCATCCCGTGCCTCCCATCTTGTGCCATAACCCTGGCAAGCTGTTGCATTGGCTGCCCGTCCAAGCGGTCGTGCAAAACCGCAGCTCCAGCCCAGGCCGCCGGCGGCACACATCTGCGGCAATCCCTACGACCCGCCAGACTTGCGTCTTGCTGGCCTTCGGGGCCCTTCTAAAGTTGCCATTGACTTTTGCAGTCCCCCACAGGCCGGACTAGTTCTTTGTCCAACCTTGCTGCGGAGCCAGAGGGGAGAGACTTGTTGCCCTTTAGAAACCCAACGAATTTGACCGCTCGTTGTAATCTTGACGCTTTTGCCTTGAGAGTTTCCGGTCTCTTTCTTATCCCTTGTTTCAGCTCGGCGGGCCTTTCGGCCTTTGTAACCCTGACACGCTGTCATCCAGGTAACGACATTCTTCTACTGTAGCGCTGCTTGAGCGTGTGGCCTGGGTGCTGACGACAATTTGCTGTTGGTTTTTCTTCACAGATTCTGACTTTTTATCAAACGTTTGCCGTATCCTTGCACCCTAGAGTTGTGGTGTAGTAGCCTGCTTGGTTGCTGGTTTCGACGACTGACGGGTACCAATGTCGTCCCCAGATATAGACCAAACCGCCGTCAACGAGACGTTGCTCGAGCGTCGTCAGCTGTTAACCGAGGGGCTGAAAAGCTTGCCCTATGACCTGATTCTCTATCTCGAGCGGGCCGCCATCTATGCAGACCTCGGATACCCCGATCTTGCCGCTGGTGACGCATATCGAGCTCTCCTCCTCACTGATGAGATTGTAAACGACGGTTTTGAATATCACGACCAGGCCCAAGAATCCTTGAGCCGATATATCGGAGAGCCTCTCCCAGAGGCCCTAGTCCAGGGGCAACTTGCCGATGAGTACCCTGACCTGGTCAATGGGACCCACGGAGACGCAGACGTGGCTTCTGGCCAACTGGCACTGCTGGCATCGATAAGAGCATATCAAATACTATCGCTGAGCCTCTTGTTGTGCGGTTGCTTGAGAAGTGCCTCTCAATTCTGTGACCGAGGCCTTGCGGCTGCGCCACAGAATGCAAAACTGCTTCACACCAGGAACCATATTGACACCGTGGCAAGACAGAAGCTGGGCTTGACAGACTTCGAGGCCGATGACTTGCCCGACTTTGGTCTTGTCCGCCGAGAGGTCTATCCTTGGAACGACCATGAGCCAGATCGCTTCTCTCCAGAGTCTTTGCAGTCTTTGAATGACGGCCTGAGGGAGATGGCTCCAAAGTGTGCCGTCCAAGTGGCGACTCTGCCAGTCTTGTTAGAGGGGGAAAGTGAGACGGATAACTACGAGATAATCCCCACTTGCAAACAGCTGGGCGTCTTTGCCCAGGAGGATATTGAGGCCGGCGAGGTTGTGCTTAGGGAGTACACTCTCCTTACGGCTAACAACCGACACAAGGATTCAGTCTGCGATGCCTGCAGTTCCGAGCTTGCCCCGCTTGGTAGCGAGAATCGATCTATTCAGTGCGAAGAGTGCTTCGATACCGTCTTCTGTAGTCAGGAATGTCACGACGAGGCTCAGAGGCGCTACCATCCTGCTGTCTGCGATAAGGACGTGGACTCCATTGCCAAAGATCCCAGTGCATTCGAGGCTGATGAGACGCTACATCTTCTTCTTCTTTCCAGAGTCCTGGCGATAGCTGTCAACGAAGAGATTCATCCGCTGGATGTACAAGAGGTGAAATTCATCTGGGGTGATTTCGTACCTTCTCGAACCAACGAGATCAATATATCGCCCAACGCCGGCCCTCCGCCCGAGTGGACGCTTCCCTTCTCTTTCAAATACAACATTGAGGCGCCGCTGCATATACTGGAGAAGATGGACATTGACATCTACGCCGGGCTGCCGGAATACGATCTGTGGGTGCTCAACACGCTATATGCCAAGTTTCGTGGGACCGCCTCGGCTCGCAAGAACCCGCGAGATGGAAGGCCGGATGTTGCTGCGGTGCATCCATATTGGTGTCTCGCCAACCATGACTGTGATCCAAACGTCACATGGGACTGGAGTGGCCGGATGGTCCTCTCGGCAAGGAAGGAACGTGTCGTGGGCGGCCGGCCCGGAGGCATCAAGAAAGGAGAGGAGATTCTCAATCATTACTGCGACGTGACCCTGCCGGTACAGCAACGACGCGAATGGGCTCGGGGAAGTCTGGGGGGCTGGTGCATGTGCAAGAGGTGCCGCACTGAGGCGTCCGAGAATAAAGCGGCTGAAAATGGGACATCGGCATAAACATGGTTATTCTCCTTCGGCCTGCGTCAAACAACAGCTTTCGGTTCCTACGGCTAGCGTACTCGGTTGCGAGTGTGTCTATTCTCGGTAGCGAGAGACGAGGGTCAAAATCCAGCAGGGGCTCCTGTCCCCGTGATGAGTGCGAAAAGGGTAGGGAAGAGAGAAGTACAGTAGACGCCACGCACACAATGGGTTGATGACGGTTATCAAAGTGGTTCTTGAGGCCCACATGACAAAATTTTTAAACTAACAGAAAAGGAGCAAAAAGAAGATGAGATGCAACAAGGGTGTTTTTTGCCTCGCAAGTAAACGATGGGAGGTCCTTACAGCAAGAAGAAGGAAATATGTCGCGGATCCCCGCTCATACTACGACAGCCGCCCTCCAAAAAGAGCAGAAAGAGAAGAGAAGACGCCTTCTTGTTACTGTAGCATCTGCCCCGTGTTCACTTCTAGTCCATGCCCAACTCGACAGAGTGTGTGGCCTTTTGTGAATGAATCAAGTCAATATGGCCGGCGGTTCCCCCCCTCCCCCCTTTACGCCGGACCCCCAATCGTGTGTATCGAGGGATTTCTGTCTTGAGCATCAAAACCCTTTAGCCCATTCTCACGGGTCGGTCCCGGTGGGAGCCTAACAGTGATTTCTACCTAATGCATGTATGGACCGGGATATCAGCAGCGCAAGGGCTTAAACTCTGTGCTCTGCATACAGCACTGTACGTGTGCGTCTACGTGGTGCGTGTGCAGGGCAGGGGGTCTTTTTTTGCAGCTGCTGTATGACGCAAAGATGTCTCACCTGCCGCCATGTTGCTGGCCACGAAGCACACAAAGCACAAATCACAGAAGGGTGAAGATGATGATGGCAATGAGAAGCACAAGCAAATGTTGCTGCTCGTAGGGCCAATCTAGCTGGGACTGGACCCCCATCTTCTCCCCATTTCGCCTGGGTCTAGGGAGAGGAGTGGGCTGCCGTGCCCTGCATGAGAAGGCCCAGCCTAGCAGAATCTGGCCTCGAGCTATACCATGAAGCTACCCTGTCCTCCTCTGGCCAAGATTGGGGGTTACCGTCAGTCCCGCCGGCGGAAATATGACCACGTCAAGGATGACTTATTGGACGGGGGGGTTTATTGGGAGGGGCGGAGGATGGAATCGTGGAATTAGAATAGCTAGATCGTCAGCCCAGTCTGACGCTGGCCGCTATAAAATTGAGGCTTCACAAAAGAATGACGCAGATGCAGAATATACGAGAAGAAGAAAAAAATATTGTTATCAACGCTGATAAAAAAACATAATTTCTGCAAGAGAATACAAAAGAAGAAAAAGAAGAGGAAAAAAAAAGGGGAAAAGTTAAAAAGAAGAAAAAAGACAAAGATAAAAGGATGAGTAGTACTCCGAAGAAGAAGAAGAAAAATACACCAAGGACAAGAAGATGAGAAAAGCCAGAATATAACATGCGCCGCCCTTTCCGTCCCAACCACCACCGCCCGTCTTTTTTATGTAAATCCTCTAACCGGATGGACGCCCACCAAAGATCATCTACGTATTTTGCCAATGAGGTTCCTCGACATACCCTTCTCCCTTCACCTTTCCCCCTCCTTTTGCTTCGAGCCGTACACTCTACCGCGGTAGAGGCCGCGGCCCTACAATTTGCCTCCGCCCAGCGCCGATGCCCTGCGATCCTTTGTTCTGGCCGTCGCCGCCGGTGTAGCCACTCCACTGGCTGACGTCCCATCGCCCGTCAATCCCTCCGCCAATGCCGTCGACGCCGCTGTCGCCCCGTTTGATGGCCGCCGTCTCCTTCTGGGCCTCCTCCCACTCCTGCTGACGCTGTCTTTCCAGCTCCTTCTCTCGCTCGAGCAGCGACTTGGACGCCCAGCCGGCCGCCTTGGTCTTGTCCTGGCTCTGGAGTCGACGCTGGTCCTCGGCATCGCGTTCCTCCGTTGCGCCGAGCTCTCGAGCGTACGTCTGCTGGGCCACAAACGGCATTGGGGCCGGGTTAGAAGCCAGGAAGCGGTCTGTGCGATTCTGCGGCGCTTCTCTCGGAGGGGATGAGTATTTGGCTGGGTCAGGCAGCGGTCGTCCGCCCGTAGCAGTGTTAGGGGTTGGGAGAGGCCTGGGAGACTTGGGCAGCGGCGAGGAGGCTAATCCCTCTCGCTCGTCCTCTTTCAAGTTATCTTGGTGCTGCTTCCACTTGGTATGGAGGACCTCGCGCTCGCCCTGCGACCAAGACTCATGGCGGTTCAGCTGCGAGGTATTGCCTTGCCCCCGGGGGCTTCGCGGTTCGCCTGGTCGGCCTCTTAGTCGAACTGGTGAATCAGGCACTTTGCCTTCGGCAGCTCGCTCCTGTCGCTCACGCTCATACTCGGCTTCACGCTGCCGTGCCTCATGAACCCGCTCTTTTTGGGCTGATTCGTCAGCTTCGGCCTTCTCAGCGCTAGCCTGCTCGGCTTGGTACTGGCTTAGGAATTGCCCACGCAGCTTGGCAGGGCTGCGGGTTCTGGCACGGCGTCGCTCTTCCTCGACACGAGCCTCAGCTTCAGCTTCTTCCTTTCGGCGCTTATCTTCGGTCAACTTCCACTGCCTCTCCTCTTCCTCCCATTTCTGCTTCTCCTGTAGGACCTTGCGGCGCTCTTCTTCCCTCTGTCTCTCCGTCTCTTCCTGCCATCGTTTCTCCTCCTCGACACGAGCACGTTCTTCGGCTTCCAGCTGGGCTTGGCGCCGGGCCTGGGCTTCTTGTCGCTGGCGTTCTTCTTCCGCTATTTTTCCCTTTCGAATGCGCTCCTTCTCAGCTAAACTTGGTACCTGAGGCGTACTACTAGTGATCTGCCTGCGAGCTCCAAAAGCGACTCCCATGCTGCCCTGACTGGCGCCGCCCATGTAGCCGTACTGTGCAATATTCCAAGCCGGAGCCGTCGAGCCTTCGTGTTCCTTCTTGCTCCAGCTGCTGACCGACTGGCCGCTGGAGCTCGTTGGTCTAACGTCTGATGACCCAACACCCAGCTTTGCTGTTTTGGGTCCGATGGGATTCGGGAAGTTGCTAGGGTTTGCGGCATTCGCGGCTCTGCTGAATGCGCCGATGCATTGCAGCACCTGGGCGGGATCCTTTCGCTCATACAAGTCGACGGTGAGAAATGTGTCGTGCTGATGCAGGTTCAAGGGCGGAGCCTGGCATGCGCGCAAGAAATGCGATATGTTTTCCATCTGAACAAACGGCATGGCTGACTTTTTGAACTTGATGCCGGGGCTGGGAGCGACGAGGTTGATGAGCCTAAGCGGGACAAAGAGGTTAGCACGCGACAATAGTAATAATCCATGGAAAGCGCGGGCGCGGGTGCATCGCATACTTGCAGAGAGCGACGCCATCTTTGAGGCCGTCCAGCAGATCCTTTGACGGCAAAGGCTCCCCCAGCGTCTCTTCGATCCATGCGCGAGCCTCGTCGGCTGCTGCGGGAGTGTATTTCTCCAGGCGCAATCTGCGTAGGTCCTTATCCAAGGACGAGACGGATGCCATTTTGGGGTCTATGGAAGCGCAGTCTCCTATTTGATGTATCCTCCTCTTCTGGTGAGGTCCTTGTCTTATCTCTAGGGAATCTGGGCGCGGAAGTCGGGGGAAAGGCGATTTGTTGTGATCGGATGTCGAGGATGATGTCGTCACCAAGTCAGCGTCAGACGGGGTGAGTAAGCGGCAGGTTCGGAATGTAGTCGCAACAGAGAAACCCAGCGGACTGGAATTTACTGCATAGCAACAGTGAAGAAATTTAGGATGTATTCGGTAACGTATGAGGGTATTTGCTCGCAAACAGCGACCGAGAGGGAGGAGAAGCAAGAATAAGACTATAAAAGTAGAGGGAAGAAGAAGAAAAAAAAGGGTTCAAGTACTTGTTTGGCCCCTTGGGGCGGGTGACGCACGTCAGCTCCCCAGGCGCAGGAGCTGGCGGGGGAGAATCTGGCGCCAAATTACAGTTATTACAAGGCGACCGGGGGCTGAGTTGACGATTCTACGGAACAAAATTGGACACAGGCGGAAGCCTCAGGTACAGGTCAAGGTGCTGGCACTCGGTACCGCGGGACCTATTAATAACAGCACAGGCGGGCAGCCTGTTAATATCAAATGGCAGTAGAGTAGGGGTCTTGTACAGTATGCTCACTAATGACGACATAGGAGGTGACTCGCATTAATCTCCATGGTCCCTCGTTTCGCTAAGCTGTACTTCTAATAGGGCATAATTCCTGTATGGTTCGATTGCAGAGAGATGCATTGCTGATGCATTGCTGCAAAGGAGTCACATGTATGTACCTCGAGCAGTCTAGGTACCTCAAGTTGATTGCAAAGAGAGGGGCAGCGGGTAAGGGTCTGGTACCTTAGAAGTGCTTGGAGCTGCGTGTCGTGGCTGGTGCCGACAAAAGGTGGCGCCGCACAGCCACTTCAACTTCCATCCAAACGGGCGCATTTCAATTCAAATCCTATGACGGCAGAACCTCGCCGGCAAAAGCTCAATCCTCCCAAAAAGACCATCGTCGCCGCATCCTCATGACGTCGAAGTCAATAGGTCCTTTTGCTCAGGCGTGGTACAAGTGGAAGGCCTTGCGCCTTCCTTGGCGGCGGCGCTTTCTCATTGGTATGTTTTTTTGCTTTATCTTGAAGCTCTCTCTCTCTCTTGCTTTACCTTCCTAGTAGTGTCTTGTATTCGCCTCCAATGCCATCAAAACCATATCTATATAGCTGAAAACAAAAACCGCCCACCCACATTCTAACTTTCCTTCCAGGCTTCGATCTCAAAGGCAACACCTTCTGGGAGTTCCGCAACACCCGCGGGACCAAGGAATCCGGCGAGCGCTGGCGCCGCATCGTCTCCTACCCCCGATCAACGCACTACTCCGAGGTCAAGGTCAGCCCGCAATGGCACCAGTGGCTGCGGCACACGCGACGAGAGCCCCCGACGCTGGAGGAGCAGCACGAGGAGGTGGCGCGCCAGGAGAGGATGAAGTACCTCGCCGCCGAGGCGGACGCGCGCTGGGAGGCCAAGCCTAGGGTCATGGAGGCCCCGAGGGAGGAGCAGGAGAAGTTGCCGTTGGCGAAGGAGAGAGCGCCGGCAGATGAGGCGAGCGCGGCATCTCCTCAGACAAAGAAGACGGAAAAGGCGGACGAAAATGATCCTTGGGCTAGGGCAAAGGCTCAGGGACCCGGCGAGAAATGGCAACCTACGGCGTGGAACCCCGCGGCCGCAAAGAGAAATCGATGACCACTTTCTCAACAAGCAACTGCTTAACACAAAGGCAACAAGCAGAAGACCGAAACGAAAAATAGGATAAAGCGATAATGTCAACAAAATGGTATCATCTGTATTATGAATAGGTGTGTATGTATCTATGGATCGATGGGGCGGATAGACGTGTATTATAATGTATCATAATGTATACCCCCAAGAGTTGCCCTTTAAAACGCCTTGCTTCCCAGTTCTGTCCCGACAGACAGTTTTTCTCGCAATCATGAAAACAGCAACGTTCGTCACACGCCATTCTTTCCCAATGGCTTTTCAAAACATAAAACAGACCAAGACTCCACAGCACTACCATGTGCAGAAATCAAAAACGCCAAACAAAGGGAGGGAAACGCACGCTGCAAAGGGACAACTTAACTAGCAGAGATCTTTAGCATCTCCACCAAAGTTCGAATCCTCTCGGTAGATGCGTTCATGACGTTATGAGCGTGCGAATCGCCTGCATCGGCCTTTCGGGGCCCCGTCCTCTTCCTCTGCGCCTTCTTCTCTCTCGCGTCTATACCCTTCTCCACTGCGGCTTTGAAGCTGTCTGTGTATTCCACCATATCGAAGTTCCACAGGAGCTGTATCGCGCTTTCAACCACCAGCGACAACTTGGCATTGTCTTCCAGGCCAACCGTATTGGCGGGGTGGCAGACGTAGCACTCTTCCAGCATGGGCTTTGTCAAACTGCCTTCGGAATGACCTTCCTTGTCCGCCTTGCGGGGGTCCTTGAAGGATGAAGGGAGAAGCCGATGGAAAAGTTCCTTGGTCAAGGTGACGTGCGTTTCAGGCAGCAAAGGGTTCTCTCGCTGGGAGACGAATAACGCGAACATGTCCAAGGGAAGGACCTTGATGCTCGATGCAAAGTCCTCGTAAAGCCTGTCAAGCTCGCGTCTGCTGCTTAGCGTATGCGTAGCTGCAGAAAGCAATCGAAATAACCGCATCCGTAGATGGATGGATTCAACCATGCCTGCGCTGACCCCCGAGCTGACCCCCGAGCTACTAGCTTTTGTGCGCTGTTTTTGGGGGGTTGGAGGTTCAGAGACGCCAGAGGATATTGAGTCGTCTTCATCGAAATAGTCGCCAAATTGGTCGTTGGCCAGGTCGAGGACCGCGTCGCGCTTCCTCTTCTTCCCCCGCTGTCGCGGCCCTTTGTGCTCCCTATCAAATATCTCTTGGAAAGATGACGAAGACACGCTGCCATTGTAAGCAAGCAATGCCTTCATGATGGCCTTGGGACCGGAGTGGCGGCCATCCTTCTGGTCCATGTACATGGTAATCATCGATTCGGCGCGCCACATGGTAGGTTCATCACCCACCTGGCCATTCGCCTCATGGTCCTCCTTATCGCGACGCTCTCTCTCAGCCCAGTCAGCATCCAACACATCCAACATAAACTCCAGCCACGCCTTCCAGTACCGCCATCGGTGGGGCATCAGTGAGCAACAGTGAAACGCCCACCCCACGGTAGACCAAAAGTCTTGGCCTTTGACCCACACACCGCCCTCGTTTGCAATCTTTCCTCGTAGGGAATCATGGCGGCCCTTTGAATCGTCATCAGACATATCGCTGTCGCTACCATGGCCAACATGTCCTGCTCGACTCTTCCATCTCGGTATTGAACGGAACTGGAATGCGGTCCGAAAGTCGGCGTGTAGCGGCCCAACCACTGTGAGAACGTTGCGCAGGTAGCCCAAGGCGAGGGAGGAGACGTCGAGATGCTCGGGTTTGTCGACGCGCGTTGTGTGTAGTGGGTGAACGGCAATGGTGCTGAGGAGGGCGAGATGGCTAGGCGGGGGGATAGCGGCGGGCTTGCTGCTCGGCGATTTTCTTGACACGCCGGAGCCAAGAATGCTATTAAGGAGGTTGATAGCGCAGGTATCTAAAAAGTGGTCGATTGTCAGGCCCTTGTGCATTCAGTCCGCCGATGGAAGCGGATATATATTCGGGTGCATCTGAATGCATGCATACATAGTTGTTCCTCAAGAAAGATCTGGCAGTGCTCCTTCAACTCATGCGGCAGCTCACGCGCCTCTCGATATGGACATGGCTGGCCTTTTACCGGCGTACTCGCGGTCGTTGACTTGGTAGTGAGTTCTGATTCTTCTTCTTTACTCGTGTAGAATGACGTCGGCGACGAGTTGGTGCTGGGTTGCGATCTCCTCGCCATGGTCACGGACCTCAAAAATGAGGATGCATGGAATGCTGTGGTGTTTGAACGGCGGTGGCAGAGGAGGGAGGCAGAAGAGAAAGAGAAGAAAAGAAGATGTTACAAAGGACGAAACAAAGATGAGGCTGAAATGGGGGGGAAACGCGATATCGAGAAAGTTGATTGGAAGCGGGACTGTCTGTTGTTTGGCGAAAAGCAATTCGACGCGGGTCTCGAGCTTTGAGGCTCCGCACAGTACTAATTACGACAATCTGTTCCGATCGCGCACGGTGACTCTTTCTTAGGTCTGATGCGGGATGCGAGGCTAAGTTTAGCTCTGTGTCGATCAATGGAATACCGCGACAAGCCAAGATACTGCATTACATCAGGCAAGGGATAAAATAGCTGCTGTTTGATGAATATGCACATAAACAAGAGGCTAATATGTGGAAAGTATCATATACCAAAAGGTCAGAGGAAGCTGTATTCATCCTCTTAGGTACATAACGACCCTATCCTTGTATCAGCTTTATAGCTGAGTATCTCCAGCGCTTCATGAAGGCACACACTGCGAGTACCAATCGTTACTATATCTACAAGTTCCCTGTGAGCAGCATTTAGGGCCGGCCCATCCATTGCCTCCACACTGGCCATACAAGGGGGAGCAGCTACCAGTCGGTTGCGAGGCGGACGATGTCGTCTTAGACGAGACAGCCGTGGTCGAAGAAGCGGGAGGAGGAGGAGGAGTGCCTCCGTTGATAGCCGCAACATGGTTTTGAACCAAGCATTGCCAGTTGGATGAATTGTACCAGACAGTGTATGGATCACTGTTCGATTGACCGTAGGAAAGGGTGTCTCCCCACTGCCAAAACATATCGCCGCCCATGCCGCGAGTTGCCAAAGAGGTGCTTTGCCAAGGAGCCTCGTTAGTGCAGGGATTGTTCTGTGCACCGTCTAATCACGACGTTAGTTGAGCCCGCCCAGAGAGTGGAATCAGATCACTTACATTCTTCAAACACGCATGGTTTGCCTGCTGCTACACAGGCCGCAGCATGAGTTTGAACCCAAGTAGTTCCCCAAGGGTAGGATGTGCCCCCTATTCGCAGTAACATTAATATTTATAAAGCTTCCATGGCTATTTCATAGAATACTCACAAGAATCCGGGTAAAGGTGGAAAGTGCCAAAGTCGAGTGTCTTGATTTGTACATTCTTGGCAAAGTCGGTGCCCTCTCCATAAGTATACGGATAAGAGCCGTCTCCGGTGCTGAGACCAAGTCCTTCATCTCCAAGCGTCACAAGATGGTTGGAATCGAGTGACTTGACATACTGAGATACGCTTGTGGCCCATGTAACAATGACGCCAGTATCGCACCCGTTGCAGCGAGGTTCGTTCGCCAGCTCCCAAGCAAAGATGGCTGTCGAGTTGACGTAGCGACTGACGACAGCCTGAATATACTTGCGGTACTGAGCTTGGGCTGCCGAATTAGTGAACCAAGTAGTGGCATTGCCGCCAAAGGCATTGACATAAGCGTTTATTCCACCATAATCATTCCAGTTGTTGACAAATGGAATAATAAGCTTGAGGTTATGCGCCTCAGCCGACTTGACTACATTATCAAGGAGCTGCAGTCCGGTGGCTCCTGTATTAATCGTAGATCCGGATGCGGATAACGACTGGTACCAAATGTTTCCAGCGGAAGGCTGCTGGTTGACATCGTTGAAGCCCCAGACACGCACGACCTTGAGTCCAGAGGAAGCAATGTGGCTGAACGTCGTATCAACGTCCGCAGAGTTGCTCAGAAATGAACACCAGTAACAATTGGTGCCTGCAAAGTAGCCTACTTTACCATCAATGTTGAACTGGGTTCCTGATATCGTCACAAAACTAGAGGCACGCGGAACTGGTTGCAGAACTGCTGCCAATGTCGAGGCTGCAGTTGCACCTGCAAGGAGGGAACTCTTCGTGAGCTTCATATTGCAAAGATTGATGCCATATGATGGCCTGGAACTATGAGAAGCTGAGACTACTTACACTGATAAACTGGTCGGGGAAGCAGCTTTATATACTAAACACTCTACATAGGTTCTCTTGTAAGATGTGAGAGAGAGCACCTACATATTAGTAGACATATAGGTTGATATTTCCTTTTAAAGACACGGCATCCCTTCTTCCGAATTTTCCATTCACGGTAAGTTTTCTCCCCCATTAGCCCTTATGGCTAGACCGGATATTAAATGCAATGTTACGCTGTGGATGCAACCTCCAAAAGACCAGCAACTTCTCCGGATATATATTCCATGCAATTCAATTTTCTACCTGCTCTTCCCTGCCAATGAAGACGCTACTTCGGTGGTATTTTTTCTTCTTAGCTTTTAGGCAGAAGTTGCTCTTCATTCGTTCGAGTCTAGATCACTTGCGCACCAATTACTTGATGATCCGAAAAGACAGTGCCAATAGTTAAAAGGGCCATACCGACTTGACGTGGTCTGATGTGGTCATAATGAGGCGAACTATCGAATGCTCCTATGCGGTCTCTCTATTCAACTACCAGCTAATTCAGAGATATGAGGTATCTACGTAATACTGCGAAGCGTAGCTGCTACCAAGAATGTTTCCAATTGCCAAGGCACTGCTTAGTTTCGTGGCAAATGACGCCCTTGTCCCCGACGCCCCGGCTCCCGAGTTTGAATATTCACCAAAGGAGACATGATCGGTCCGCTCGTCACCCGTGTTCCAGATATGCCAGCCGGCACCGTTAATCACATTGCTCATGGAACAAGACTGGTATGCAACTCGGGCATAATCTCCCCACGGCCGACCAAGGTAGTACACCCCGCTGGAGACGCTTTTACCCGGAGCTGCCCCTATGGTGGCCCCATTGAAGACATAATAACTAGACGAGTTCGATGAGCGCCCAGATGCGGAGATATAGCCGATAGAAGCAGGGAGCACTCCGATCGTGCACTTTTGGAACCAGGCAGTGGCTTGCTGGCCAAAGATGAAATCGGTGGCGCCTTCAATGTAGCAACCCGAATAGAGCTGGGCGCCGGTTTCTGCGAGCAACGTATCTTGGAAACCTTTGAAAGAGCAGGCGTAATAGCCTTGATTCTATTAAGCCAAGTCAGACTGCGTTCTTGAAACTGAGATTGATTGAAGTATGAGGTTTGTCATCTTACCCCAGCATTTGCAGATACAGCCAAAGCTTGTGAGCCGCTGCCATGCGAGTTGACAACGTTTACGTTGTATAACTTGAAGTTGGTTGTCTCTACACGCAGTGTTCCGGTTGCATCATCGGTAGCTTCATCTAACAAACTGTGAGATGCAGTTATTGTAACCGTATTGGAGGCGTAGGATGCTGTATTTTGAGTATAGCCATAGATGGTGAGTGGTCCATTGAGCTTATTAATAGTGACTTGCCCATTGTAGGTGCCGGGGTTGATGAAAATTATTTGTTCTGATGTCGTTGATTTGAGGGCATTGACAGCTGCTTGAACCGTTGAGTAATTGCCTGGACCGACAACAAGTGCACCAGCAGGTGGAGAGGTTCTACTGGCTGCAAACGAGCTGACTGTGAAAGCCAGTAAAGCAATAAGAGCTTTCATCTTGAACATGATGAATTTTCAAAGGTATAATCTGTATATATGATAATCTGTGTATATGATATGCTGAAGGCTATGAAAGTTGTCAAGCTTAGATGTAGTCCATCAAGGCATTTTATACTCCACACATGAGCATGTGACAAACTAGAAGCCTCTATGTTCGTGTCATCAACAATAGAAACTCTGCCAGTAATTGAGAAGAGAAATAATTACATGTACTTACATTCTTGATCCGCCCCAATGAGAGATGCGGATACTCAGATCAAGCTTCTAAAATTGTCTGCAACCCTAGTCATGCAGCCTCGGTATTTATTGCCGAGTGGACATGCCCGAGAACAGCCGTGACGGCGTTTGAATGAACTAATACAACACTATATGTTTCGGTTTAAGTGGTTCTTAAGCTCCAACTGAATTCTTGCTAGACGGCACTTCAAAACATAAGACACTGACTGCGGATGGTTATACAAATACTAACCTTGGGAAACTATTATAGGATTCGTAGGGATGATGTGTAGCTACATTTTGGTCAGACCCATAGAGCATAAATCGATAATAATCGTATATAAGATGCACCATGGCCCACGGAACTTTTATGGAAGGAGATGCATGTACTTTCTACCTACCTAATAGGCATTATATGTAGTACCTACATGCCGGTATCCAAGTACTTGTAGCTTCCTTAGCATTGTAGTCTATCAGGCGTTTATAGTTCATGTACCTACTAGATGGCTTTGTGGCAGTATGGAGGCTGGCCAGAAGGTTTTTATCTTGCCCAGTATTAAATTCACAAAGACCAGCTGGAGGGCGGGCTGTAATTCTACACCTGCAACTAATTACAGTGAGGAATATCTACTCGATAATCAACTTTGTTCCCAAACATGCATTACAAGCCACGTCCATCTTTCAAAACAAAACACTGGCGGCGGCTCTACGAATCCCGCATCTCGGATATTAAAGCCCTCAAAGAATCCGCGAACGGCACTGCCTTTGTCATTGTTGATGCCGAGCCATGGGGCAGAGACAACTCAGAGCCGGCCGAGATCGGCCTTTCTCTTCTTCCGCATGTCCATGTGAATCTTGATTGCGAAACTATGGACACACTTCCCAAGACATTAGATGCGGCCAGTAACTTGATGGGGTTGGAAACACACTGGATACGCTTGATCGACAGAGAAAGGCGAGAGAGAGGTCGTGAACAACATCGATACGGGACACAACACTTTGTCTCAGGCGACAAGGTAGAGGATACTATTATAGGCATCATAGAGTCATTCCGGGACAAGACATCGGGCGACGCGCCGCTTATTCTAGCGGGATTTGCAGTCGCTTTTGAGCTGCAGGTGCTGTCAAATATCTACCCAGACCTGTTAAACTATTTCACATCCTGGGTTGATCTCCAAGAAGTGACAAGTGGTATGACTGATGGGATTGAAAGACCTAGCCTGCGTGAAACTTTGATTGCTTGTGGTTTTGAAGGCTACAGGCACTCGCAGGAGTCTCGGATCGCCCGTCAACACAACGCTGCTACGGATACCGTGCGGACAGTGATGCTATTAGTTCGGTGCTTGGGGCTCCCTAGCGATAGAGAGACGCTTGATATTGACCAATCATCTCAAAAGAAACAACAATTTCCTAGAAGACGCTCAAATACTCCTGCAACCCCAAAAGAAAAGAATTATTGGAAAGGTTCACGACCCAGACCGAAAGAATTCTACCCATTCATCACAAAAGTATATCGTACCCCGACCTTTGAAGGGTTCGATGGACGAAACTTGTTCAACCTCTTTTCAAAATACGAGCCAACTGCTGTCGGAATAAGTAATGGCAAGCGATATGGATGGTTGTGTCTACCTAATCTAAAAACTCTGGAGAATTTTGTGCGTTCTGTACATATGTGGGAAGATGAAGACGGGAGCGTGTGGGAGGTTTTCTCGGAATATGATCCTACTGTGGTACCTGCACAGGACTGGGAAGAGCTGAAACTGCAACAAAAGGAGGAGCTACAGGCGGAGATTGATGAGAAGCGAAAGCAAAGACGACTCAAAAAAGAGAGTCAGAGCGATGAGATATGGCCGGTGAGTTTTGAAGATATTCTCTAAAAATAAGTGCCCATATGAGGCGACATATTGTGCAGATAGATATACGTCCAAGAACTTTTATATAGCCAGTTTGGGCTTCCAAATACAATCTTGATAATCTCAGACAGACTTGCTCTTTTACTTAGGGGCATTGCTCGCTCTTAAAGAGTCCTAACAAACATAGGTAGTTCAAACATTTGTGCTAGGTCGTATGCGAATCCTACTACCAGCGTACACCTGACGAGACTGGTAAAACCTGCAGAAAGAACAGCCCTTTTCCCCATAGTGAGTTGCAGACGGTATACAATTTAGGCCATTACTAAGTCCTATAACTGTAAATCTCAAGTAAATCCTAGTTTTGATATCATTTCAATCCATCAAAAAAAAAAAAAATAGCAGTAGTCTTTTAGAGCTGATATCTGGTCTCGCTTCTTTATAACCGGAAAGAGCACATCCACATGCTACTTGGCAGATAATCCGTATCTTTAGTAGGGTTCCTTGAAATTATGGGAATGAGGTTCCACTTATGTACATGGATGATCCTAGCACATGAAAGGTTACCCAGCTTCAGCTCCTTGAGCAGTGCTGTTTCCAATGGTCTGCTCATTTCACCACAATTTCAAAAGACGTAATCAAGTACTGCTCTGAGCTTCTGTGAAGATTATCGTATAACAATATGTTAGGTTTTAGAATTTACGCTATCTTGTTACCACTGAGGAGCATTGACTACGCAATGGTGTAGTGGTGAACAACAACACCATGTTTGCCTCTACCTCGTTTTCCGAGATCACGATGGTAACATGGTGGCGAATATCTCGCAATTTGAGATTACTTATGATGTTATGGCGTTCAATGAGGAGATAAGAGAGTGTCATCTCTATTGGTCGTGGAAGTCGCTCTTTTAGGGTTGACCGCCAGGGTAGCATCAAAACCAGGTTTGTTTCCAGGAAGAATGTAACATTCTGTAACCAATCACAACATATCAAGATAACATCCCAGAGCCTCGTCATGAAGTTTAAGAGTGCGGGGTTTCCTTCGCCTTCGACCTGTGTTCTACTTGTTTACAGCAGTAAACTATATCGCGCTCTAACTTCATCGCCATCATGTTCGTTATGCTCCAGGTTGCTGCTGGAATTGTTGCTTTGATAGGTCTTCTGGTCTATCATCAATATTTTGGAAAGAAGAATGTCTTATTGAGTCTTCCTCCGGGGCCAAAGGGTCTGCCCATCCTTGGTAATATCTTGGATCTTCCACCACCCGAGATTCCTGAGTTCCAGCATTGGCTCAAGTTCAAGGATCTCTATGGCCCAATCAGCTCCATAACAGTACTGGGCCAAACTCTTGTTATCATCCACGACAGGCAGGTAGCGAATGATATTATGAACAAAATGTCGTTGAAGACTTCCAATCGACCGACATCAGTCTTCGCATTCGAGCTGTGTGGGTTTCAGAAGTTCACGTCAGGTAGACAGTATGACGCAGACTTCCGGCTGCAAAGGAAGTTCATGCACCAACAGGCAGGCACAAAAACGATTGCCGCACAATTCAATGGCGTTCAAGATGTTGAGTCGCGGCGCCTTTTGAAACGGACCATGGATGATCCCAAGAATCTTATCAAACACTTTAGGACGTGAGTTTGTGCATGAACTCTTTATAGTGGAAGGAAAATATAGCTAAATCAATGCCCAATTCGACAGCGAGGCGGCCGCCATCATCCTAAAAACCGTATATGGTTATTCCATTGAGCAACACGCGGTCGATCCTTTGACGAAATTGATCGAGACAATGATGACCAACCTTTCACAAGCTTTGAACCCCTCACCAAGACTCGTTGACATGATATCTGCTCTTAAGCATCTACCCGATTGGTTCCCAGGCACGGCATTCAAGGAGATAGCCAGGCAATGGAACAAAGTCAACCATGATGCAGTGAACATTCCCTACTCGTTCGTTAAGCGGCAAATGGCAAACGGCACCAATCGCCCATCATTTGTGTCAGGCCTTATTGAACGATACAGCACAAAAACTGGAATTCTCGACAACGACGACGAGGATGCTATCAAATGGACGGCAGGAATCTTGTACGGTGCAGGATCAGACACGACTGTAGCAGTTCTGACTGCCTTCATATTAGCTATGACCCTATTTCCGGAAGTCCAGAAGAGGGCACAAGAGGAAATTGACAACTTGATTGGCACATCTCCAACTCGACTTCCTCAGTTCGATGATCAGGAACGGCTGAAATATACCTCGGCTATTGTCAAGGAAGCTTTTCGATGGTTCACAATTGTGCCAATCACCACGACTCATGCAACCGCTGAAGATATTACCTATAATGGCTACCGCATTCCCAAGGGAACGCTCCTGCTCCCCTCGGTGTGGTGGATTCACCATGATCCTCAAACATATCCAGATCCATTCCGTTTCTCCCCAGAGAGGTTTCTCGAGCCGCGCAATGAACCTGATCTGAGCGAATTATTTGGTTACGGTCGCAGAATCTGCCCTGGGCGGTATATGGCCGATGACAGCCTCTTCATAACGATGGCTCGGCTGCTAGCTACGTTCAACATCAGCAAGGCGGTAGACGAACAAGGGGTCCTGATGGAGCCCAGAGTAGAACAATTGCCAGGGCTGGTTAGTCATCCGGCGAGTTTCCCCTTTAGTATCACCGTGAGGAGTGAGAAGCATGAAGAACTCATCAAATCAATCGAGGTGGACCATCCTTGGGAGAAGAGCGACGCTGACCTTCTTGAGTCTGAACAAGACTTGACGGCCTACAAATGAGCGAGTCAAATATCTGTGATAAATGAGTCTCTGAAGCATGTTACTTATAGCAGAGAGAAAAGGGCATGAAGAAGTGGCAACTTGATCTGTTCATTAGCCTAGTACACTGGTAGATGCTCGGATATCTTCTAAATTGACCCTAGTATTTTTCAACACGCTCTCCATAATTGGTTTAAATATAAGGACTGTAAGGTAGATTGGAATGATGAGTAGAGAAAAGCAAGTAAGTAATATCTCCAAAAACCCAATTCGCCGTTACAGTCACAGTCATAGCGATAGAGGCATTCGCAGCTGCAGTAGAAGTTTACAATGGTATTCGAGGCCACCAGCCTTCACTCCACGCCACGTTTTGGCATCCCGGACTTCTCATAGACGGCATCCATAATCTCCATAAGCTTAACACTTTCATCCAAATCAACCCACGGTCCATCATATTTGTCTTGGTTTTTGGCCGCTTTGATACGATCGACAAAACCTTCGAGCTGATACCTATACGATGTCCACCAAGATTCACCCCTCTCGCCCCATAAAGGCCCACCTGTATAGCACGACTCAGTTGTTTTCTTGCCGCTCTTGTCGGTTACGATGATCTTATGTCCAATAAACGGCGTGACAAAGGCTGTAAACTCAATCTTGGCCTGTTCTAGCTCCAGCACCGCCAACGGGGTCACACCCCACATCTGTGGTATGAAGCCCAGGAGCTTCGGCGGTACCAGTTTAGAAACAGTGGTACACTTGACTGGCGGCCTGGTGTTGTCGGCGTTGGTGATCGTGATGGTGGTGTCCATATTCTCATCAATTCGCTTGTCGCGCTTACTGAGCTGAGGCTTCGTTGATACGACTTCGAAACTGGTGCCTTTTACATTGTTGGGAGCGGAAGCCCAGTACAAAGATGAGGAGAGGACATAGCAAAGATCCATGGAAGCTCCGCCTCCCAGCTCATAGTTTAATCTGATGTCATTAGTGACCAAAGTTCCAGGAGGTAAAACCATCTTTGAAAAGACGCCTGTGAGGTGGCCATATTTCCCGCTTTCGATAATCTCCTTCACCCGATGAGCGGCAGGGTGAAACCGCCAGTGGTAAGCCTCCAGAGCAATTTTGCCAGTTTCGTTTGCGCAATCCTGAATCTCTTTGGCTTCAGCGGCATTAGACGCAATAGGTTTCTCTATCAGCACATGTTTGCCCGCTCTCAAGGCGTTTAATGCCCACTTATGATGTAGGCCGTTGGGAAGAGGGACATAGACAGCATCGATTTCGGGATCCTTGAGGACCTCTTCATAGGAATCGTACACTTTGACAGCGCCTAATTTGTATTTGGCGACTTGCGCTTCTGCTTTCGCTTTCGATCTGGCAGCGATGGCGGTAATGACGACACCTGGATGGGTCTGAACCGGGTCAAAAAGTGCAGGGAAGTTGATTCCCGCGGCCGACAAGACGCCAAGCTTGATTGCATCTGGACTCTTTTTAAGATTTGCTTTTATTTTGTTGACGCCATTCCACCAGTTCACAACATCGATGATGAGCTTCATACATCATTAGCTTTCCCTGGCGTGGATGTTTCTCGACCAGGATGATTCACCTCCAGCATCGGCATCTTTGAGGTAGCCTAGCTCAAGCTATCCAAAATATAGGTATAGTGTGGTCGAAAATGACACAGAATGTTACATGTATGGTCGCGCTCAGTGGGCTTCAAACTGCGATGAGCATGGGTATCGGAACTCTGACGAGAGCTGGAGATTATGAATTATGTATGGATTTATGTCTAGCTTCAGGCCAGCTGTCGGAGGCGAGACCCTTTATCTAGATTGCAACGTCTTGGAATTGGACGGGCTTCTCGCCAAATCCGACCGTATTGCAGGGGTTTAACACTGTCCCGTACAAGACAGGCGAATGTAGCCTCAGAACGGACCTTCGGTGTAATTCAACGTTCTGCGCCTGATCCGACGAAAACGTAATGCCAGCCCTGAGCCAAATAATCACTTTTCAAGCTGAATACTCGTCTTCTTCATCCTATGCTGACAAGCTTGGTTACCAAGATGATGAGGGATTCGGAGCGGGATTGGGACAGGAATCCGAGTATTTACATGTGTCCGAGAGAATAAATGCACAGTAGACCAGCGACAGCTTCTACCAAAGTCCTGTAGTGTAAATGCGGCATGCTTTATACAAATAAACTGGCGATGCATGTGTCTTAAGAGTAAGCGGGAGTGATCCTATTCTACCGCCGCCAAATCTTCGTGTACTGAGTCTGACAGCCAATGGCTACATCAGCTGATTCAACTTAGATCCAGCAAGGGCGGAGCTCTGTAACGGAGACTCACTTCGTGAAGAATTGAGTCTGAACTGTCTCATATGCTTACACAATGCTCTTGATGCCAGTAGTAGAAAATGGGCCATGGCCGTGTCTCACTGATCAACTGCCCAGTCTGCCACCCAAATACGGTTTTCTGTAGTACCTTTGTAAGAGTCTGCCTGCTTTGTGACTTGCCATAATCCGAAATTGCGTACGGTGTGTTGCACCAGTGCTGCTGTTCATCGGAGCTCTTCTTATAGTCGTCTGGCAGGGGGAGACCAGTTGCTTCGTGAAGTATTACTGTCGAAACTCCCGGCCTATTTGGTGATGAAGACGTTTACTCAGGTTGAAGCTCATCAATATTAAAGCTGTTCTGCCTCTTAGCCAGTGCGCACCAATTCTAAAATACTACCAATTTGGCTGGTGTCAGGTATACATGTAAACCAATCGCCACGTTCGATTCCGGTAGTCTTTCACTGTCATCTCGTCATGATTATATTGAAGAGGGGCGAGGTCTTTTGTATGCTTGTTATTACTTCTTTTCCTTTCTTTGCGTCTACTGAGATAAATCTGGAGCCTAGATAATCTCCCTTGTAATATATCCCTTACAATATTGAACCTAAAAGGTATGTTTCGCCCATCATGCCTCACTATTACGGACAACTCCTCCTTGGAGGTGCATTGGCAGTCCCAGTGTTGTCTGTATTTCATCCAGTATCCTGGTGGAGTACTTGGTCCTTAGTAGGTGCGTATTATCTGCTACCTTTTATTCAGGTGGTATTCGTGGTAGTTATTGATGATAGTTATTGACGATAAACTCCACCAAAGCCTCGCCAGAGGCGTATCTGAGAGCGTATGAGACAGACTTGAACTTGGATAAACTTCCAATCGTCACCACCTTTTTTATCACCTGTTCCATCACACTGTCGCCCAGTCCATTCCGAACAGTATTCCAAGAACTGGCAGCTTTATTGGCGAGGTCCATTGCTGTGTAAGAAAATTGTTCGCGAGTGAGATATTCGCCAGCCAGTCTCGACACTGCGCCGCTAGCCTGATGCTCAAACTGCGAGATGAGCTGCGAGTATATCGACTGAGAGACTGAGGCTGGTACGTTGTAACCCGCGCCGCTACCAGTAGTCGTTTGAACAAGTTCGAATCCTTTGGCAGCAAGGCCAGGGACATCAATAAGGTCGTTGATGTCTCTGCCGCACACATTGATGGCACCTCTCTTAGCCAATTCAGCTTCTTCTGGCAAAGCTCGGCGAGTCATTCCTCTGAATTCCGGAGTTGGCTTCTCCTCCTCATCGGGAATGGTATCTCTCCCAATAATCTTCACCACCCCACACGCCTCGAAATTGGTCTGCACTTGCGTTCCATCGTCCAGAATGGTGTACCCCCTCTGGCAGGTGACAACGTTGTCCAGAAATGCTGCAGATAGGTAATCGATGCTGTGAGTAATGTCGCCAGCATCACGCGACATAATCGCACAGCAATTGCCGTGCTTGGCGCCTATACCGTTCTTGGGCACAGTAACTTTGCCATTACACGAGGTTGAAGCAATGAGCAGAGCAGAGGCAGCTGCCATGCAGTCACTATTGGTCACCGAGGCTCCTCCTGGCTGACAAACATGCTCTTCGGCAGCTGTTGCTGTCCCCGTGAAAAGGGCAGAGAAGACTCCGAAGAGGAGGCTTACTTCGCTGGGCCAACGCATTTTGAGATGATGATAACAAGTGCGAGGAAAGAAATGACTGGAGAGACTGATGTTTAGGAATTTGGGTTCGAGGAAGAGCTACTTTGTAGCTAAAGTAGTTGTATCGCTGAGGAGTCCAGGTCTAACTTCCGGCACTCAACTCATACTTATAGACTCAACTTTCTCATGTAAACCAACAGTAATCCAAATGCTCTAAATGCTGATGCCCAAGGCCGTGAGATCAATACGAAGCAGATAAAGATCCTGTCATTTCTCGGTAAGACTAAATATCTTGACATTTTACTGACGATTAGTGCTTATTTGCGCCCAAAGGCTCGTATAGGTATATCAATATGAAGCATCCATAACACTCTGTGCTCTATGTAATATATGTTATGGTAACAAAGCTTGAACTACTCTTGGAACAGACAAGCTGCTAAAAAATGCGAATCCTACAATGAAGATGAGCTATAATCACTACGAGTCGTGAATATCTGCTAGGTGTACATGACTCCAGAAACTTTTGAGGTACCGTATTGGTGACATGGCTTACACTTGGTATTAAGCTTATGTTGCTCGCCTTAAAGTGGATTTATATCGATTAAGCTGTCTTACATCGGCGCTGTTCGGCCACAAAAGTGGATGAGAAGTAGCCTACGTCTCTTGGAAAAGTGCTCTATATTTGGGAGTCTTCGTGTATTTTGATACAAGCCTGTGGTCAATTAGTGGCTAGGATTGGTGACTAAATAAGAAGAGCAACTTTTTCCGAGAATTAGTCAGAAGTTGGAAGACAGGTTATCGCTGACAGCTGCTCTGTCCGTTCTTGGAAGAACGCAGCGGTAGCTGAAAGATGAATTGGTTTCCCAGCCTGTCCTCACTCCGTGATAATTATAGCAACTGTACATGCATGTAGGTTTCTCACGTTATACTCGTGTTGAAACTCTCAAAAAAAAATATGGCAAGTAGCAGTACGGTAGAACAAATGGCCGATTATTCGGTCTTATTAGCAGCCGACTCAAGATATAATCGCATAAGTACTGCTTCTCAGACTTGAGTCGATGAAACAACGATACCTTGCCAGGACAGCATATACATGGAGAAGCCCATCTGTCAATGCTCTGTACGCAGGGCATATCACGGCTTGCACAGCGTAGGCCAGAACAGGTCAGGTCTCTACGTCAAGGATCGCAACGGGTATATACAATCGAACCGGCCTCCCGAAGCGTTTACAGATAGTTTAGCCGCTGCCGGTCGGACGGACGCGGGCTGACCCGAAGGAGAGAGGGGGAGCTCCGGGGGACACGGCCTTCAACACACCTTATGCCGAAATAAAACCCACACCTCCGGCATCTGCTGACATCTTATTAAACAAAATTTCCGCAACCTAAATGTCGCCGGCGGTTATACCCGTAAATGCAGAAGTTTCTAAGCTCGTCTTACCAGTGGCAAGACTAACTATTGCCAATAACCCCAATCCATCCCTTCCTATATCGGTGGAAGATACATTCTCACCTTCGCTAATCTTCACTTCTGCTGAAGATAGACACATCCTCACATGGCATACGTGGGAAGTTTTTTTTATAGCGTCGTTAAGTTGGTCACTGTTTGGCACTCTGGTTACCTGCCTACGTGTAAGTGGCAATTGATAGAGGGCGCTGTCACTATGTTAGCACTATAGCTGTAGAGAAAGGCTTGCGAGGTAGCGTTTTGCCATATTATTGTGAGCACCTCTTGTTTTCTATTTTTACGATAGCATTTTCTTATATTCTGCCCTTCTTAATTTCGGGGGTAGTATATAGTTCTATAGTCTAAGCTATCTTCATGGTTCTGATGAACGGAGGTGGTGAAAGAGCACATGTACATAAATGAAATGATATCGCAACCAGGACGAAAATGTATCCCCAGCCAAATTACTGAGAATACATTTTTTTCTCGACGTCAGTACTTTGGTTAATTCATATGCTTAGCCTCAATACCGTAGCGGCGATTATCAGCCTTTTATCATAGTCGTTAGAGTAAAGAAACACTTTCGCAAATCCGCTGCACATCAAAATCACAAGATCATGTTATCCTAACCTAGCTACTATTATCTCAATACTTCATGTATTGCTCTTAATCTTCTACAAGCTCGTATCTAAAACTGTAAAACATTCTCAAGTAAGTAATTGCATTATTTACGCTAATTCCACAAAGTAATTTCTCCATATCAAACCCTTCAAATGAACAGTTGTCTTATGAAACTTCAACTATTCTCTTCTTATATAGATCCAATAGTGGATACTCCGAACGCGGCCCTTTGTTCTATCCAAGGGTCCTTTGTCTCTTCCATAGCACCGAATTCCGCCACTTCAGACCAGGATTGACTTGGTCCCATGTCAGGAGTGCATGTAGGAACAGAAAAACCGCCGGTCTTTTCACTATAAACTTGTGTGTATTGCAACAATAAGCTGCGGTATTTATTCCCCCTTGCTACCTGCTTAGGTGGATCTTTCGTATATAGCTGGTTAACATGTCAGCCCTAGCTATAAATCTGCAAGGGATGGAGCAACCAGAGTCTTGTCATAAGCAACCAAACCGCTATTAGATCCGCAATGTCTCACTCCTACCAGTAGCATTGCAAACATAGTCCAGAACGACTAGAAGAACCATGCTATCCCTGTTTTTACTACGTGTCTCTCAGTGGGCTGGCCAACTACCCATAGCATCAAATCGGGGGAAATGGTACTCTATACTCCGTCGTACGTCATCAACTAAGCATACCGAGGTAGTCTTCAGACGTGCGAATACCAAATTAGTTAGAAGTGATAATCATAAATTACTCTTATCCAAGACAAGGATAATGAGGTCTAGCTTTTGGCGTATAGTATACCCTATTTCTCTAAGTACCTGACATGGGGGGTTTAGAATAGGTATAATAAGACAGCATCTGCGACTCAGTTGTCTCGCAGAATATCTTGCCTCACTAACAGCATCAAAGTAGCGACGAAGTCAATTTTACTACTTAAAGGAAAGGAAGCAGAGAAGAGAAATGCGTACCTCGGTTACTATAGCTGCGCTTGCCATGGCGGCTTCTTCTGCTGCCCAGGAAGCAGTTGAGTGCAAGATCGTCGAGTTTCCAGTTTCAGTTACTGCCAACAATGAAGATTTTGGCAATACCATCGACCCAAATAGTGTTTCTTCAATCGATCAATTCCTCAGTCAAGGCCTTAGCACAGGAGCCGTCGGCGTTGTTGGACAGGTTTCAACTTCTGCCAACTTCTCCATCAGCGCCCAGTACTGTGCACCAGCAGGCGCAACTCCTCCCGAAACTCGTCCGATTCAATTGCTGGCCCATGGCAATACATGCGACCGAACCATATGGGATGCTCTGAGCAGACCGGATCTCCAAGCGTCTGGTTACTCGTATCAGAGATTTTTTGCTTCACAAGGATATGCAACCCTAGCGATAGACCTTCCTGGTCATGGCAACTCGACTATTCCTGATCCTAACACGATTGTCCAGCTGCCGATTGAAGCTGCGGTTATCGACGCCATCGCGGCCTCTCTCCGGTCTATCAACAACCCACTCGGGATTTCTTTTCCCAAGGTTGTCTTTACAGGGCATTCTTATGGTTCGATTACCGGTGTCGCAGCAGCCAGATTTGTGCCGACTTTCGCCGATGCCGTTGTTCTGACAGGCTGGTCGGCGTTTGTCCCGTTGCCGAGCCCCATGCTGGCGCTCCAAATGCAGCCGGCTGCTCTCCTTTTTGATCGCTTCAAAGGATATCCATTGGGATACATCACTGCTAGCAATGAAACTGGCCATGAAGAAATTTTCTACGCCGGCGCATACGATCCTACCATCCCGAAGATGAGCTTTGACACACAGGATGTCATGACATGTGGAGAAGGCGGCAGTCTTGGAGAGGGTCTGCAGCCCGCAATTGGATTCACGGGCAAAGTCTTTGCTACTACAGGGAGTGAGGATTTCATGTTCTGTAATCCCAAGAATGGTGATTGCGCGGACCAGCTGGCAAATTCTGCCTTTCTCTTTCCCAATGCGACCTCATTCCAGACGCAAGTCATCGATAACACTGGCCATGATTTCATGTTGCACACATCCAGCACAGAAACCTTTGCGAAAATTCAGCAATTTCTTGAGAGCAATGTCTAATTGTCAAGAGAACCAACATACATGTATATATATAAACTCATAATCCATAGAGATAATTTCCATGACACGAATAGTCCCATCAAGTGAGCCATAAACGCCGCGAGACCGTACTTCGACTTAAAAGAGTGTGACGAGAATTAAAGAGCTAGAACCTCCATCGAAACGGGGTTGCTTCTTATTTTACACTATAGTCCCAAACGGCTAGTACAGAAATCTCTATTGGGCTGAGCTTGATTCGTGATGGCGTCCGGCATATTCTCCGGGATTGGTTGACAACGCCTCGCCTTGTAATGTCAAACTTCGAATCTAACATAATCCATTATACACAGGTAGGAGCTCCACATGTCCCTTCTTGTAGTTACGAAGATGATGTCCATGAACTGAGCAGCAGACTCGACTCCGCATCCATGTCATGGGCCGCGATCCAATAACTACGACATCCACATACATCACTTGCTTGTCACATCAACTCAGGGTCCGTCTTCTTTAGAGCATTAAACTTTTCTTCTGTCTTCCAATCTGTCTATGTACATGCCATTTGTGGTATCGACAATCCATACAATATTGTCTAAATGAGCAATAAAAAAACAAACGCTAAGAGTGGCCAGGCCATTACATCAGACGCGTGAGACCGTGTCCTCCCATCGCTGTGAGAGGCATCATCATATACTCCGCATCCCATGACCCCAATTTTGCTTTTTGCCCTCCTCCATAAAGGAGGGCAAAATTCTATATATGTATATATTAATCAATGCATATCCGTTCTGCATAGGCATTATTCAGAGACCATAAAAAAAACAGTGAGCCAACATATTCTATCGCTTCGAAATGACTATGAAATGTTTGCATAAAAAATCCAGGGGAATCAAGTACTTGCAAATCAAGCATTAGTCGCCGTGATGTTGCCAATACAGGAGGCGTCGAAAGAAAATAAAATAGGGGGTGGTGATCCAATCGAAAGTAAAAGTTGAGGAGAGATGTTGATCCATTAGGTGGAATGGAAAAGTTTAGTTGTCGCGAGCCTTGTGCGAAGCAGCACGGCTGGCACGGCTAGCACGGCTAGCTTCCCTCTGCAGAGCCAAACTCTCTCGCCTCTCCCGCTCGTGCTCCTTGACCTCTGCAACAGCCTGGTCCTCGGTAACGACAACATTCTTGGCTCGTATTCTCGCAAGAACAGCGGCGGCTTCAGCGGCATATTGGCACCTAGCACGGATCTTGTCGCCGTATTTCCAGAAGAGGAATGGGAAAGGAACGCAAGCCAGCGCCAAAAAGGCGGGAATGGAACTCGCCCAGTGGATACCCAAGTTCTGATACATGTAAGTGGTGAAGAGAGGGAAAGCGGCACCAAAGAGAGATCGGAGAACGGAGCTAGCAGCCAGAGCCGAGGCGGCGAAAATAACATCTAAGACAAGCGTTAGCAGCCATCACACAAGGGAAAGAGACAGAGCGCAATATCAACTTACATGCGTCAACAAGGTAGTTCATCAGTGAGAGGAAGACCAAGACGATACCGGCGGCGAAGAAGATGGATCCAATGATGGAGACAATCCAGTGGACGCTGGGGCTGTTGGTCCACGCGAACCAGAACAAGCCAACGGGGATCAGGATGGAGCCAAGGATGGCGGGCGGCAGACGAGCCTCGGGAGCAGCGTTTCCATCGGGAGATCGGGCGGCAGTCTTGATGTATCGGTTGTTGTCGAAAACGGATCCAATGGTGGAAACGGTCATACCAATGGCAATACCAAGGAAGGCGAGACCGCCGATACCAGGGCTCCAGCCACGGCCCTGCTGGAAAACAATGGGGAAAGCGGCGAAGCACATGTAGAGGGTACCGTAGATGATGGCCATGTAGAGAGAGATGAGGAGGACGATGGGCTCCTTGAAAAGGAGCTGCCAGGGCCTCAAAAGGGAAACCTTGAGCTGGTTGCCAATAGTCTTGGGCGGCTGGCCCTCCTCAAGCTTGGAAATGTAAACCTTGCCGGTCTTCTTGCTCAAAGCAGCAGCGCGTTGACGAAGCAAGACGGGGGCATATGTCTCGGGGTAGGCCAGAGTGCTGGCGATCCAGACAACACCGGTGAAGATGGCAATCAATCCCTCAACCCATCGCCAGCCTTTAGACTCGCCAAGGAAACCACCGGCAATCGGACCTACACAGTCACTGTCAGCACGTCACGCGACCTGATTAAACTGGACAGGGGGATATAGTCTTACCAAGAGCTGGACCCAAGAAAGGAGCCATGGCAAAGATACTGAAGGCAATTCCTCGTTGCTTGGCCTGGAACAAATCGGCAATGACACCACCGGCGTTGGTCAGGGGAGAGGATCCAAAGGCACCGGCAAAGAATCGGAGGATGATGAGAGTAGCCATGGAGTTGGCGCCGGCGGCTCCAGCGCTGAAAGCGGCCAGACACATGTAACTGATGAAGAAGGTTTTCTGGCGACCGTAGAGCTCAGAGAGAGGAGCCCAGAGAAGTGGTCCAATAGCAAAGCCCATGACGAACAGTGAAACACCTAGAATGGCGACCTCGGAGGAGATGTTGAACTCGCGGATGATTTCCCTTACACCACCTGAGTAGGCGGAACTGGCGAATGAGACGGAAAGGGTAGCGCTAGCCTGGATTAGAGTAATGGTCCATTTGAACGAGTCCTTGAAGGCCATGGGGTTCCATTTGTCGCCGGGGATAAATTCGACGAGATAGGGAGACTCAGTGGTGCCTTGACCGCCGTAGTTGTACTCCAAGACCTCCTGAGTCACACCAGTCTGATCGAGGAGCACTCTCCAGTGGCTGACCTTTTCAGAGGTGATGGCCTGGTGCTGAGATTCGACATCGTGATCGGGGGTTGTGACAGTGGCCGAGGAGGCAGATGCCGATGAAGAGGAGGGTGGGTGAGGCATCTGTTCCTGTTCCTGTTCCGGCACGGAAGGTTTGTCGTCGGCCATCGGCAAGGAAGGCTTTTCGTCGGCCATGATGGTGGTTGTGGCTATGGTGCGTAGCGATGGTCGCTTAGAGAATGCGGAGTAGATGTGCCAGCCAAAAACCTTAGATTAAATCGCCGACAGTCCAGCTTTTGGGGTGAGGAGAAGCCTGGATCAGAGTCAGGTCATGAAGGGCACCGGGGCCATGTACTTGTATATAATAAGGTGGTATTATACATAGGTAATCATGGGCAGGGGTTGAGCAGTGCTCAGTTACATGTAATACTCACCTCCCTGAAATACAACCTAATCTTGTGGAACTCCGTGAGCGGGAAGCGGTGGGTGTCGTCCGAGCCCTAGCTGAGTCGTCCGGACAAGTGATTCCACAACGGCCTGGTGGTGACAAATGAGAGCCCCTTGACGAGCAAAACAGGCCTAGAACGTTGCTGGGCCTCGGCTGAGCGGCAATGGCGCGAGGCTGCTGAGAGATGAGATTCGAGAGGGCGAGAAGAGAGACGGACAACAAAATAGGATGAGCGAGTCAGGAGACAAGGCTGGTTTGACGACCGGGGATGGGGGGCACCGGCTTTTAAAGAGATCGTTGTCGTGGGTTGGCACGCTTGAGCTTGTGGTTGCAAAAGTCCGAGGATAGAAAGGACGGGATAATTGGATGAATGCTTGCAACAGTAGTGCCGGATGCTTTTCTTATAACCCAGCACGAGGAAGCGGAAGCAGACAAAAGGACTGGCCCGGCCAGGGACTCTGCTCTAGGCCGGACCTGATCTGGCGGGCCAAGCCACCAGAGCTGGGATGGAGCTGCAGACAGCTTGCATGATCAGATCAGCAACAAGAACAAGAAGTGGGAATTGGCAAGGGATTCGGGTTTGAGCAGGATTGCGCCCAGTGGTGGAGATAACAGGCGTTATTTGCGATGAGGAAGAAGGGAAGCGCTCGACGAGGAGTGCAATCTGAGCCCGCAAGCCGGTAGTGCCCAATCAGGTTTAGTCGCTGACAATCGCTAGGCCGCTTGGGGCTGCTTCGGGACCCTCACGCCCTTCTATCTCCATTCTCCGGCCGCTAATTCCCTTGTATCTACGCGTAATAGGAACAGGCACCACTAGAACTGCCCTACAACAGACGAAAAGTCCATGGACTTGGCCAGCGCTTGGATGGCGCCACGGAGCCACGCCGGGTTTTGCTTCGGCCGAATGCAGGATTCACTTCGTTGTGCACTGCATGACGTAAGTACTCTACGGACCTTTGATACTACACTCTTGCAGCTCGATTTGATGGCCGAGTACATCACCGCTACAGTGAAACCCCATCTTTTGCTACAGTTTGCCTTGCCTAGAACAGTCCAGTTTTGCGCCTGGCAATAGGCTATTAGTCTTGAGTCTTTTCAGTAATAATTGCGGTGTTGTCTTTCCTCTAGCTATGATTGATTCCACATGTGCCCGCACGTTAAGACAGACCCGGCAATATTCACGAAATCGGCCCCACGCCGCCGTATCTCGTCTACATACTTCGTATACTCCTGCGAGCAGACGAATCAACCATCGGCCAGTTATGGCCTCCAACTCCTTACCCCATCTCAAATAGGAGATAGGAGGGGCGGAGAATTCCTTCATGTTTATTATAGCTGCCACACGACGCTGCTGTTTTGTAAATACAGTACCAGTTACAAACGCTTCCCCCCCCCTCCCCTTACATGTAGTAGTATTGGTTGTCAAGCAAAAGAGCTGCCTATCAATAACGCCTCTTCTTTTTGATGCACATCACCTTGCAGCTGCATCCTCGCCCAATGCGACGCTGTGTCCAAATCCTTCACAGCTCGTAGCATCCAAACCACAGTTCATGGGTGTCCCATCCCATCCTCCGTGCAACATGGACCCCTCACCGGCTGTCGTCTCCAAAAGCAGGCCAAGGGAGGGAGGCAGCCCGATCGCTTTCTCCAACGAATGACGGAGCGTCTCCTCCCCCGGTCACGGCTCTTGTTCCCAGCAAGGGCAGAATAGAAAGGGAAAATGCCATTTCCCCGCCCTAAATGCCCGCATAGATATGTCAGACGAGCCACGCCACGCCCGAAGTGTCATTCACGGCAATCTTTCTCTCGGGGCTCGGACACAGACGTTGGAAGCTCGTTTCAGATCGTAAGCGCAGCTGTAACGCTGCCAAGCAAGATGAGAAAACGCAAAACAAATCTCGGTCGCCAGGGGGGCGCAAATCTCCGGCATCCAAGTCCCACCAGCACGGCGCCGTGTCCGAAGTCCGTCTGGATTCACGTTCAATTGCCGGCCGCTTACAAACTACCCTCACGCGGGAGTAGAAGAGTCACTGGATGGTTTTCGAGTTGGCAGCCACGAGTACAAGCTAACAGGACTATTACCAAGCACCCGCGCGCAATCCGTCCGTTATTGGTGATGATCTCTTTTTTTAATATATCAAGCTTCCCGTATATCGGCTAAGACAGATGCAGTATTGTCATACCTGTATGGTTGCGGTAAATACTGTGTGTATCATCCTTTACATAGCTAAGACACTCGTACAGAATCCTTTTGGTCGATCCTTTGTGCAAAGCGCCCCAACCTCTGATCCCCGCGGTTCTCTCCATGGGATGAGACTGAGTTACGACTTACAGAAATTGTATGAGTAGCGCATGTTTACTACCTCGGAATTATAACTGTTTTACATCGGGATTACAACATGCATTGTACGGTCCCCCTCGTCGCCGCATCTCCGTCCCAGCGACCAGGTTCCATGATCCATAGCAACCAATATTGAGCATATATCAGCATCTTAAGTGATTCCAAGATCCACCCCGTATGCGCATCTCAAGCAACACGACGGATCCAAGCAACAGTCCGAATCTAAAAAGAAATCTCACGAAGAGACCAATAATCTCGAGCAGATGAGTAATTGCGGAATTCCGAACGGAGACGAAACCAACAGAAAAGCCAGAGTCGTCACCCATTTCAAGGACGTTTGACGGAAACTCCGCGGATTTCTGCACCATCATCACATCCGGCCCCGCTTTCGCCGAGACGCTAGCCCCAGTGGAGTAGCTCAAAACTTTGTTTGGCACGTGGAGATCCTGCGCTGCCATTGAAGGAACAGTGCCTTTTGTGGGGCTAGCGCCGCGCCGTCTCCTTTTTTTTTCTCTTATCGTTTTTTATTCTCTTTTTCCATTTTTTCAAGGCGGGCTTCTCTTCCGCTTCTTTTGTTTCCTTGTTTCCTTTCATTTTGCCCGTCTTAATTTGTTTTCTCTTCCCCTAAATGCGGCTGACTAACGTCTCGGAGCATTTTGTTCTTGGCCATCGCCCATTCGGGCAATAAGCTTCACGGACAAGGGGTCAACCTGTCTTCCTGGCGTGCTTCTGGTAAAATGAAGCGTGGATTTCTTTTTTTATTTGTCTCCTTCCACGGCATTTCGACATGAGGCTGAAAATAGCAGGCGCTTTTGCATTTGCAAGCACAGGGTACCCAGTACAAGCAACTGACCGCATGAAACGATTCATATCTCGATTTGATTATTCAGCTTATTCTTTTTCGATTTATTCCTGTCCTTTTTTTTTCTATTAACACATCATGCGCTAAAGATAAACAATCCACATTCACATCACACGCCCATGCCAACGGAATTCGATCTCGAAAAACGACAAACCCACATACTGTAGACCACAATTAGTCATGCCATGATCGATAGGGGCGCGGCTCGTGGCCTGACTGACAACCAGATGCACCATTTTTTCCTTGATTCGGACAAACAACCCAGCCTCCGTTTCCGTTTTCCAACAGGGGGGGCAAAAAAAACGCACTGACCGAGAGAGAGAGTCCCACGTTTTGCCCGTCCGTGCATTCAATACGTTAAATCTCAGCAGCCCAAGAATCTTCATGTGCCGAGGCTACTCGTATCGTACATCGGTCACGGCGCGCGCCTTTTTTTTTTTCTTGCTAGGCAAAACCCACTTGACGCCTGATAGTAGATCTCTTTGCGGAAGCCGGCCCGACACTATCTCTTTTCGCTCGCCTCTCTACTCTCGGTAACAGCCGAGACAGATAAGAAAAAAAAAAGAAAAAAGAAAGAAATTTCTTTTTTTTTTTTTTTCTTCTCCGTTTGCCATGTGAAACAAGGCGCTCTGCTTGTGATTATGGATCCCCTAAAGTTGTCTGACCGTGGAACCTCCTCGTGTTATCGTAAAAAAAAGAACAGGTGCCACCAAAAAATCGAGATTCTCACAATATTCTATCCACAGCGGGGTACCACACCGGAGCCTTGTCGCTCTCAGGTAATTAAACATGCCCACTAATCCCACGAGTTAAAATACATGCCAAGTTTCGCATGCTCTGTGCCGAGGCAAACAGTCAAGTATTGTGCCTCTTCTTGGCTTCAGCCCAGCCTCGTTTCGCAAAAGCGCGGCATCTTGTGTTATCAGGCAGCAAAAACGTGAAAAGGCACCAGAATTCGTCAATTAGGCCTCATATGACGTGGCAAGCGATTAGTTGTAGAATAGTATGACATGATTCACGTTTGTCTGCTCGTCTGCAGTCCGGGTTTGAAATCCGTGTAGTCGATCCGGCGCCGATTAGGTAACGAGGTGATTGACAACTGTCTGGTGTCATATTGACAGAATCGAATCCAAGTGGCAAACGTCATGTACATGTACTTACAGTAGTTACTCGGTTTCCTGTCAAAGAGATGCTTCTTCTTTGCTCCATATGCCGACACAAGATAGCACACTCCAACTTACAGCTAATACAGAGGCACATAGTCCAGTAAACCGCTTACCCACAATCCTAACCTCGTAGCTCCTATGCTGGATCCAACTATCAAGAAACATACCTGTGCATTGTACGGAGTGACGACGGCAATAGCCTCGGGTCGGACACCGGCCTCGACCAGCTGCTTTGCATGCAGGCGAACCAGCGCTGCCTCCATCTCGTTACTCTTGCTCTTCCCGTGCAGGCTACCCTCTTGGTCCATACTGCCATACCTGAGCCTCGAACATCACAAGTCAAGTTACTCATTTCATGTCTAAACATATCCACAAGCAACAATTCGCCTTCAGGAATACAATTGGCAACCTCGTTCTCTCTGGGACTGGGCAATGATCAGAGGGCCAATCTGCCGTAGCTAGCATGAAGTCGTTCGAGACCCTTCGGAGGCAAGGCGAAACTTGGCTTTGGCAGTATCACCAGGTGCAATGCGCTCAAGGGAATACAGTTTGGTATTATCAGACGCTTTGGGCGCGAAATTACGCATCACTAATGCCTCCCCACTCGTCTTCATCTCCGCCATTACTGTCATCGTCATCCTCACTATCATCTTCCTCGTCTTCTTCCTCTTCTTCGTCTTCATCATCTTCTTCACCTCCCTCTCCTTCATCCACTCCATGGAGCGAAACAGGTCTCCCCGTGGACTTGAGCACCGGCATGCCAACAACGTCCCGTAAAATCCGACCATCGTCGTCGCGGAGATATGGCCCCTCACCACTATCCCCGTCAATAACATCAACAGAAGCCCCTCCCTCATATTGGTCTCCCAAATCCATATCGACCGAATCCCGCACGAATCCGGCAACGAAGAAGCCCATTACCCCATGGCCGTCCCCCTTATACGACCGTATGCAACCCTCCGCGACGGTCTCGTCACCCTCTGCGGCCTCGACCACTCCCCTGACGGGCCAGTCCCGAAGCCCGCTTACTTGATCTTCTCGTCGCAGGATACGCCATCCCTTGGCTTTTGCAATATCCGACGCCAGGGCTCTAATGACAACTCGTTCGTTCTCCTGAGAGTGAACTGAGCATGTCGAGTAAGTAATCTTCTTTGCTCGGGGGAAGCGAAATGCGTGGAGCAGAAGCGTCAGCTGGAACGACGAGAGCGCTTCCAACCGCGCTTCCAGGTCTTTCTCTGACTTCACCACGGTCTCGACTCCATCATCGTCTACCAGCACATTTTGTGCGGGCTCTTCAATTTCGTCGTGTCTCCTTTTCTTTTTGTTCGTGCTAGCCGGGGTTGGTTTCCCCTTTCCACCGCGATTCTCTGTTGGTGGATCTGGGAGATGTAACTCGGGCATTGAGTCTCGCCCAACGATGCCACTGCCTGAACAACTCGGGTCCAGCAGTAAAGCTCCCACATCCTTGTACTTTTCAGACGTAGGGTCCACTTGAAGGAAGTCCTGTCCAAACCCAATCCGCGTGACGCTCTTCGACCCAGCAATCTTGACCATCTTTTCCAGCGTCTGGGCTCTTCTTGAATCCTTCTCAAAAGCGTAGATCGTCTGAGGAGCATCTTCAAACTCCGGGCGGTGCTTGTAAAGAATCGCCGCGAGATGCGTAGTCTTGTTCCCCGGCGCAGAACAAGCATCGATGACATCTCCGTCCTCAGATCGCGGGTCCAACAGATAGGCCGGGAAACACGATGCCTTGTCTTGTAGGATGATTTTCCCAGATGTATAAGCTTCCACCTTTGCAAAGTCCATCCCCGCAGAGATGGCAAGCAGATTCGGCACATGGGGGTCAATGTAGATGTGTCTGCCTGTCTTGGTCACAATGTCTTGAATGCTCTCAGCTCTGCTGTGTTTCGAAAAGGTCGTCTCCAGTTGTTCCTCCACGCTACTTTTGAGGGCATTGACACGCACCCATCTTGGGTAATTAGCCTCTTCTCCCGCAGACGCTCTTTCGACCAGTTCCTTCAAAAAGTCCACCGTCGGCGCCTTTCTTCTTACCCTCGCCCTCGTAAATTCCGAGCTGAGACGAGCCTTGTGTCTCTCAATCGATGCTCTCAGTCCATGGCTCTGCGGCAGTGCGATTCCTCCCTTGGCAAGTAATAAGTCATGTACCAGTAGCAAAGCTAGGGTAGGCGTAAGCTACACATTGAAGAGAGAAGAAAAAAAAGTTAGCACCCACAGACTCACTACTCAACTCAACGTGGATCGATCCAAAAAGATTGTCCAAAAAGTCTCTTTTTCTTTACCTTTCGCTCCAATTTTAGGATTTCTGCATTCTCAATTACTTCTTTCAACACCAGACTCCATTTCGCACTCTCCAAGACCAGGGCATACAGCTGCGCGGGTGGTGATTTGCCCTTCTTCTTGCCAAAAACTCGTGATTTCAAGCTTCCGCTGGCGTCTGCTGATGAGGATAAAATTTCTGCAGCCTCATGATAGAGAGACATTCCTACAGAAAGCCCCTCTTAGAAAGAAGAGAAAAAATTGAGGTTGTAGAAAAGGAAGAGAGAGAGAAAATGAAAGGTAGAAGAGAATAAAGTTGACCTGAGGTTCTGCCATGAGAAATGCAAAATATGGAATTAGCCGTAGTTGAGCCGCCAGCCAACTTCATGCGCCTCACCCGCTTTTAGTCTACCAGCCTTATCCTGACTTCAAACTTCATCATTAACTACGAGTACCTACGGAGTGCTTGGAGTATAATAAAATACAGTTGCAAAATGCCATCTGTGTGCTAGGGCAAGTTGATTTTCGGCTACAGAATACCCGGTCTTTGCACACAACTTCAACTTCTACATTGATCATCTACTGAATCACCAATTTGCTACTTTTTTTGGGTTGAATTGCTCATAAACTTTTATTCAGACTCTATAAGACCCAGTCATTCATAGACCTCGATTGATAAATGCTTTCAAATTCCCTCGCGGGAGGCCCCTAACTGACTTGCCAGATAGTAAACCAAGAATCGTAGAAAATTATGTCATCAAAAATACACGGAAGAATCGAAGTATCCAACAAATCACTCCAAAGGTCAGCAGATATCATACCCGCTGCTGACCCCAACCTATCCAAGATCCCGCTACCATAAACCCACCGGAATCCCATGCAACGCTTCAAACCAAAATACTCCGTAACACTCAGATCATAATCCCCAAGTGCGCCGAAATAGCCAGCAACCCCTTAGTGGCGGAGGCTGCGGTGGCGGTGGACGTGCTCGGCACGCTTGGCGGCCTTCATGGAGACGGCGCCGGTCTTGCTGTAGACGCTGATGGCCCAGCTTCCACCGCAGACCTCCTTGGAGTTACCCTCACAGGCCATGCTGCACTGGCTCTCGGCGAGCTTGGAAGAGCCGACGAGATCGTTGCCACAGTAGCACTGGCCACCGTACTCAGTAGCAGCAATGGAGAATCCCTTGCTGACACAGTTGGCAACGCACTTGTCGTTGGTCATGGGGCCAAGGTTGGGCAGGATATCGCCGGTGAGGACACGGCCGATGTTGTCCTGGTAGCAACCAGCGTAGGTGTATCCACCGACGGTAGCGGCAGCAGAGTTGCCCTTGGAAGGAACGGAAGTGGCGGCAGGAGTGCCAGCAGTGACTGTAATGGTCTCAGTAACGGTGTGGACATTGGCGGCGCTGCACTGGGCGTCGTTACCAGCGCCACCGGCAGCAGGGAGAGAAGAAGCAGGAGGGGCAGATTCGATGGTCTTGGCGGGCTGGCCGGCGTTGACAACGTTGCTGGTGGCGGCAGGCTTGCTGGGGGAGGTGGCGGGCTTGCCGGAGGGAGAGGAGGCGGGCTTACTGGAGGGAGAGGAGGCGGGCTTGCTGGAGGCAGCGGCAGCCTTGCTAGAGGAAGCAGGAGCAGCAGCCTTGCTGGAAGAAGCGGGAGCGGAACCGCCAGCGGGCATAGCAGGGGCAGCACCGTAGCTGAAGCCGCTGAGAGGGTTGTTACCAGGGAGCTTGGTGAGAGTGCCAGTAACCTGCTCGTTAACGAGAGGGGCAATGGTGCAGTCACCGCTGTTCAGGCCGTAGAAGAGACCGGGGCACTGGTCCATACCAGAGTCACCAGCATCGCAAGTGTCAATGATGTGCTGGAGGAGATCCTCGTCCCAACCGGCCATGAAGTCAGCGTGGGCACCGTATCCGGTAACATCACCGTTGGAGAGGACAAAGGGCTGAGTTCCCTGGTTCTCGGTCCAACGGCCCTTGTAGGGCTGAGTGTCAAAGTAGACCTCGAAGAAGATGTGAGGGGTGTGAATCCAGCCAGGAGGGCAGTCCTGCTTGCCGTTACCAGCATCGGTGGGGAACTGCATGTTCTCCTTGTAGTTGGTGAGGCCGGCGGCGGGGTTGTAGCAAGAGGGGAAGTGAAGGTCCATACGGAGAGGAGAGTACATGCCATCGCAAGTAACATCGGGGAAACCAACACCAGCGCCCTGGTTGTTGGGGTCGACCATACCAGCCTTGGAGCCGTCAGAGCCGACGGGGTATGAAGGAGGGTTGTAGCTGGTACGAGGGCAGGTGAACTGCACGTTGTTAATAGGGCCCTTGGAAGGGTCGAGCTGGTCACCACCGCCGGCAGCGGGAACGGTGCGGGACATGGAGTCACCGGCCAGCATCTGAAGACCAGTGGGGAAGGCCTTGATATCATCGTTGGTGGCCTCGAAGAAGTAGTAGACGTTGGTGTAGTAAACGTCGACGTACTCGAAGTTGCCGGTCTTGGGGTCGTGGAAGTAGAGGGTAGGGTACCAGTAGTTGGAGTAGTCACCCTTGACGAGAGCGGTACTGCAGTTGGACTTCACGAGGTCGGCACCAGTGGAGGAGAAGCCGAAGTTGCTGCCACCCAGGATGTTGTGGACGTGTCCAGAGGGAACACCGGGGTTGACAATGGGATCAGCACGAGTGGTGACCAAGCCCTTGTTGGTGAATCGCAGAACAGCGAAAGTTCGGCTGTCCTTGGCGGCGGCGGCAATGCCAGCCATGGCGGCAACGGCCGCGGTGGTGGTGGTGAACTTCATATTGAATGATCCGTGACTTTAGGAAAACGAAACTGTATCAAAATCGAGGAAATGCTTTCGACGAGCTATGCAAGGGTCGCTAGGACGATTGAAAATAGTTGCAGCGGTGATACCTGAGCACCTTGGAAACGAATGAGTGTATATGTACTTGAATCACGAGAGAATGTCGAATGTCTGTCGTGACAAAGGAATGGAATGATACAAGAGCGAAAGAAGAATGCCAAATGTATCGGAAATGCTTAAAAGGAGAGGAAGTGCCCAGCAACTTTGAAGATGTAGGAAAGAAGCGGCCTAGAGAAGAAAGAAGAAAAAACCGAGAGAAGGATCCGGCGGCGATGGAGATGATATAGGAAAAAAGTGAGAGGGGGGAGAGAGTGAGAGGTGAGGGTATCTTGAGGGCGTGGGGACGATTATACGCAGTGGGGCCGAAGGAGTTCCTGTTTCTGGCCCTGCGAACAAGGAACAAGGGCCTGGGCTGCTAAGAATTGAATTGCCATCTCAGGCCAAGCATTGTGGTGGATGCACAGCACTGCGCCTAACCGGGGATTTGCGCCTTCAGAGGCCCTTGTCCCCTGTCGAGCCCCTGGCGCCAGCAGCCGGCATCCCACTGGCAGCGCACCAAGTCGTAAAGCTCAAGATCCTGGACAGTGCTCGTAGAAGCCCGGCGAAGGGGGAGGCCGTTCCAAAACTGGCCAGGCTGGGATCCGTAGGCAATGAGAAATAGATTAAAAGAAATCACGGCCATATTTCGCATAGGGCCTAGCCTGTACGATGGCGAATAAGCAGGCACAGACGCAGGCGCAGGCACAGGGTACAGTTGTTTTTGGCTCTGCTCTGTTTATTCTTTCAAACAGCCCAGACAACCGTGAATGAATCGTATGCTTTGAGGCCCCCGCGCATGGGCGAGGAGAAGATACGAGTAAGCTGGAGGGTGCCAAGTTTGTTCAAGGACAACGAATGTACAGCAGAGGTATCACAAGGACATGCAAGATGGCTGAGACTGGGGGCGAGCGCACAAGCAAAAAGTCCTACGAAGTTACACAAGCTGTACATGGACTGGAACATTCCGCAAGTACAAGGCAGACTTACTCGTACATTGAAACAAAGAAACAAACGGGTTCCTCCAGTCATCACACCATCACATCAAGCCCAGATAGGTAGATGCATTCACTTGTACGAGTGCGTACAGAGTACCCAGTACCTGCTCAGCCCAGTAAGCAGAAGCCAGACACAAAGTGGCAAGTACTAATCCAGACAGACCGAGAAGAGCTGGAGGGCTCCATCATAAACTCCGTCTAATGAGCTAACACGCGGCTCTTACTCTGTACCTGCATAAGGGCTCAGAGCCTCCTCCGTCAGACGTGATTGGGCATTCGGCACAGGCGGGGGCCAGCCAAAGTGTTTCACGTTTCAAGCCCGAAAGAGGGAAAAAATATGCCTCTCCTCGAATGTGAAAAAGTTTATGTGACCAGACTGCATGACATATGCAGATAGTACCAGCATCGTCGAATGGATTACTCGTACGAGGCCATCTCATCCCGCCGGGCGCCTGTGCTTTGTCCCCTTGATAAAATGTCACTCCAGTCTAACAACCTGTCATCCAGGCCCCCAACGCTCGCCAAAACTGTCATCTACTCCAGACTAGCCGTTGCACGTTAAAATTGGCATCTCAGGTGGCAGTTCGGCCGGCGCCTCGCTCGCCCTTTCGCCCAAAACCCAGAAAAAAACTCTCCACTTAGACGCCCACTGGCTCGGAATCGAAATGTCTCTGGTTTTGACGGCCACGTTTCCTGCGTGGCTGGGCGCTAATGTGCAGATCTGAAACACCAATCTTTTCCTGTTTGCTGGACCGGGATCCGAATGCGCCGGGCCATCTGACTGGCCACTCGATTTACCGCCCAGAGCGCTATCGCATGCAGTGTTATCCTACTCGTCCTTTTTTATTTTCCTTGCTTTTTTTTTTGTGTGTGTGTGTGTGTGCAATTATTTTTACTTTTTTGATGGAGGGGTTACTATTGTTATCTTTTGGTTTTGTGTGCTCAGCTGTGTTGTTTGCTGCAGCCAAACTATTGGCGTGGCTGCAGAAAAAGGAAACTCTACGTCAGCCATGTTGGCCTCCTTGCATATGAGGTACCTATCAGAAATCCCATTGTTTTTTGTTTTCAGCTGTTTCTACCAAGCTGACCAGGAAAGAGTTTGCCGTTTGCCGGTTACCCCCCTTTTTGTTTCTGTTTTAATTGTTTCTTCTCTTCCCCTCTTGGACAGCGCTTTTGGTGTCGGCCATGTTTATCAATTCCTACCTAGTCTCAATCTATAGAATGGGGTCTTCCCCCCATACGTGTACAAAAGTAATCACTCATCCGGTCCACAGCTTCCAGAAGTCGAAGATGTCACTCAAGCCAGGTCAACTGATTCTGCTGAAATTACGGATCGATGGAATCGAACAAAAAACGACGGCCCATCGGTGGTGATAACCGAATCCATCCCTGGCCCATAGCGACAACTTACAAGTGGTGGCCTGGACCGAGCCTCTGTGGGCCCTGCGTCACCCATCACATTGCTTCTTTTACCCCGTATGTTCGTTCCGAGCCTGACATTTCGTCCAACTTTAGGGGCGCGGCTAGGGCAGCCTCCAAGAGGAAGAGGAAAGCCAAGAGAAAGCCTCGGCCGTGCTTCCGGCGACGTGGCGCGAGTATAGCCTGGTGCTAGCAGCCATTGTAAAACCTTGGGCAGTCCAGCCGTGCGCGCATGTAGCCATCTGTGATCAAAGTAGACGAGCGCCCCCATGTGGATATCCAAAGGCGAGATGCCCCGAGGCCGACTCCGTACCGGGATGCCCTCGCTGTGGCCAATACGCTCCGTATACAAGGGGTCTATATCGGAAACGCGGAGGCGTGAAATTTTGCGGACTATTGCTGGCACAAATATGTGCTGCCCAACAGTTGTATTTTCATTTTCGTTTTGTTTTTTCTGTTTACTCGTGTTTGCTCACATAGCCATGCTTCTTCCCCTATTTCCCACGCCCCATCTTGTCCAATTCCCTTCCCCGGTCGCTGTCATTCAGTCGCGGCTCTCAAGGCCTCCTGATAAATGCTGGCCAACTGACACGGAGCCCGGAGCAATGGGGCCTGTACTTGACTTGTTTGCCTCTGCTTGATACTGCTAGTTGCATCCACAGCTCCGTACTCTAGCATAGTCTAAACCCCTCCACTCCTTATTCTTTTTTGCCTCTCTGTTTACTGTATTCCATCTCCCGGTCCTGGGCTACTCCTTTTACTGCTGTGCCTGACTCCATCTACACAGAACAAGCTAGCCCCAGTGGAACTTCATACCTTTGAAACGCACTAGCGCTAGTGACCGCAACGCCTTAGCCGATTGGCTGCCCTGGCCGCCTCTTACTGCTTTCGGCCGAATGCCAGGCTCGGGCGCTGCTGACGGGGTACGTATCCCTTGGAGGCTCTCAGGCGATAGTGCCTTGGCGGCAAAAGTTAACGACAAAACTATAAGACGGTGGTCGATTAAGCATACGAGCATAACGGCAACTGTAAAGCGCCAAGCGGATGGAGAAGGTTTGTAGGGTAAGCAATCAACAATCGAGTCTATTCCGCGTCATAGTGTGTCGTCGACGAGATAAACCGCTCGTCGAGCTATGTATATTTGCGGCTTATGCGTGCTGATATACGATTCAGACAGTCCACCCACAAAGTGCTTATTGGTGGGATTTGAGGAGAAATATCCAATCTACTAAGAATTCAGTTTGACCCATTGTTGTAAACCATTAAAAAGCAATATCTACGAGTAATATACTATGAGTGACAAATGCAGGAACAAAAGTCTACCACCCTCCACAAAGACGGAACTCTAATCGATTGCTGATTCGTCCCCTCGCACTCAATGACGGGACCGTCTGTTGTGTACCAGCCAACAGTATCGGAAAGATTGCCGCATTGTCCATCTAGACCCTATCAAACCGAGTTCAAATAAAAAGAGAGGGGTAAACCAACCGAAGCGGTGTACAAGCTAGTATCTGCTGTATCACTCTGCTCCCAACTCAAAGACAGAGCTGGGTTAGCCTTCCATTCCATTCGGGTACTTGATACCCGTACTAAAGCATATACGACCACTATACAGATGGGTACGGTGTTATTATTGGACAGCATTAGTAAGGGTCGGGGGGCTCATGAGTGTTGGCCCCTCCCCAGTCATCTTTTCATTTACTATTCCCTCTTCCCCTGGTCTTGGAATCAGGTGAGAATGTCAACTTCTCATGGCGGATATTGACGAGATATGGGGCCACGCACGAGCTCCCTTGCCGGCCAGCCGCCGGACTTGGCGCCAATAACCCACTGGGTTATTCTTCTGGGGTCTACGGAGAGCAAACGGAGGTTGGCGGTTGTATTAAAAGGCAGATACGACACTCCTCGAACAGCACTGCAACAGAGCAATACCTACCATATTATTGAATCAGACAAAAGGCGAATAGAGTGACCAACTCTCATACGCTCGCAGTCGTGCTATTGATAGCTGAGCTGCTGATGAAACGGCTAGTGATGTTGAAATAAAATGACCAAACTACACGAACCAACACCACAGCCTCCACTACATAATAGGTAGGTCGATGTCGTCTCACCAACAGTGACTCCTCACAATTCCCATCTCTCAAGAACAAAAATGATGCCACTATCGCAAAGAATTGAAGCCTTCGGAACCATCGCGACGTCTTCACACCCTCTGCACCCTCCGCACCCGTTGCATCTCTCTTATGGAATAGGAAGGACGCAGTAACTTCCCGCGAGCATAGCCATTCTTACCCTACTATACCTACCTAGTAACTACCTATTCAATACCGAACCTTTGAAGATACTACTCTACTCCAGCGACTATTCTCTCTTATTTTTCAACCTCTCACCAGCCAGGGGCCATCATCATGGACTCGTAATGCCAATACAAAGCACCCACGCTAACAGCTCACCTAATGACCCATTTGGCTGCAAATCGCGCCAAAATCTACGAATTAGGAATAAGCACGCATTGATCGGCCCTTCCATCGATCTCCATCGATCCTGCCAAATCTGTACGCAAAGTGCCGCTTCTCCCTTATTCTTGTTGTGAAAAGGGAAGGTACCTCGCTAAAAGTTTCCGCTGATACCCTATCTTGGATTTCTTTTTTTGGCATTTCCTTAGTAATACGAGCCCAAAGCAATAGTAGTACTCCGTAGAAGAACCTATCTTCCCAACTTCGATTCTGATGGTTCAAGAGGTAAATGTCAAATGTTTTATTACTGCTTACTTTGATGGCACCTGCTTTCTAAGGACTCGCTTCTTTGGGCTTTGAGTTGCCGGTGATTGAAATGTATCTTTATTCACCGGCGTCACTGTTTACGATGAAAGTTGACTCTAGCCTATACGAATTGTTTTGGATAACACAACCTTGGAAATGATATTATGTTATTTTTGTAACTACATGCCCAGGCGGTAAAGCATTACGATGCAACAGTGGAAAATGGTATTCTAGGGTAGCCGCATGCTATTGGAACTTCTACGTATGGGATTTGGTAACCCATGGTGTGGTGATACTTTGTTTCTGTAGGGTATGCGTTTGCTAATTCGTTACTCCCACGCATCTCGCCGGTGACACACAGGATAGGTGTGTAATATATGATTAAGCTACCTACATTCAAGAAAGGAAAATCTACCGCTATTACAAGCTGCTCCCATGTTCATGCTCCCTAGGAAAGCAAGTAGCAACCTCCAACTTCCCAGTCTCCCCATTCGCATGAAACGAAAGCACCACAGAAGCGCCATAACTCAGCGGATTGCCCTCAAACACCACCAAATCCCTACTCTTCTCCAGCCCTAAAATCGACTCCACGTTCGAAGTCACAAGCCGAACGGTGTCTTCCTGGCTGAGGTGCGCGTATTTGGCCGCCCACCCAGCCTCTGGACCTAGATCGTGGACGCGATAGTCTACCGGCATTGCTATAACATGTGAGTCAGAGGGTGAATTTCTTCAATGACGGGATGGCATGAGGGGCGCTGCTTACCAGTCTCGAAAATGGACAAAGCAAATGTAACACCAGCCTCCTTGAGATAACTGGCTACACTTCTAGTGAGAGGCGGGCCGACTACTGCGTCTTTATCACGGAATACATCAGGGGCGGGCCGATTTTCCGAGAGAATGACGGAAATGTTGGCAGCGGCGAGGTCTTTGGCCACCTAATCAACGATGTCAGTATCTGGCCACTGCCCAGCTTCATAAGTAGATGTTGCTTACATAGGGTGCTTCCTTGCCGCCAAGTATCACGAGGTTGGTTTCGGGAAAGTCTTTCTTGACGAGGACCAGTTGAGACAAGTCATACTAAATGAGCCAGCTGGTGTTAGCAAATCCACTCGCTCTCAATAGGGTTGAATTAGCAACTTCTCACCTTGTTGTTGCTCTGCACAACAAGTGGCAGTTTACCCGCCGCCACTCGCCCGTACAAGGTCTCATTATGTTTCCCTTTCCCATCCTCCAGCATCTTCCGGAGATGACGAATGCCGCTGCTAACCGTGCCCTCCGATTGTTTGGTGGCATCACCAAGAGCCAGATGCAGAGCCACATCACCCTGAACGATCCCTCCGTCCGTAAGGCTCTTCTTACCACTAGTGAGGAACTCTACGCTGACGCCCTGAACGAAACCAGACGCATCTGCCAGCGGGAGCGAGATTGCTCGGGTGACACCGCCGAGACGGGCCCTCGCAAACGACTTCCCGTCAAGCCAAAGTCCGTATTTTGCATAGACCAGGCTCTCAGGATCTCCGATTTTCTGATTCGCCGCTTGGCCGTCGCCAGTGCTGTCCAACATGGCAATCTCGCTCATTCCTAGAGCTCGAGTGACGGCCGTCAATCCTGGCAAGACATGGCCGTTTTGTAGAGATAGGTGGAGAGCCTTCTTTCCCTTTTGCTCGAGCTTGCTTCTTGCTTCTGCGCATGTATCACCCGAACCGAAACACGAAATTTCTCCGTCTTCGACGATGAGCTTGAGAGGTTCATCGTCAGCTTGTGCTAGCGAGGCTGCTAGCTCTGGGTAGTTGTCAACGAAGGCCTTCTGAATACCATCTATGACGAAGCTTTGGCCTGCCTCGTAGGCTTGAGAACACGTTGATTCTCTCTGCTCGTCCGAGATCTCATACCGCATCTGTGGCTTGATAGAGTCATTTTCATCACCAGTACGAGCTGCCGTGAATGTCATGTCCATGCTCTGCTTGACCTGAGATTCATCAAGTTGGGCTTGACCATCGACGAAGACTTGCAAAGGCGTCGCACCTATTGAGAGAGGGTGAGAGTCCCACACCACAATGTCTGCGTCAAAGCCAGGCTTACAGTATCCAACACGGAAATCAAGATCGATTGCCTTTGCTGGAATGGAGGTGATTGACTGAAGCGCCTTTTCCTCCGGGAGCTTGAAGGCATGCCCAATGGCTGCTTGAGAGGCCAAATACTTGGCACTCGTTAGGCCAATGACGTGGTCGGACTTGTAAGCCACAGGAATACCGTTCTTATCGAGAATATGCCCTGCATACAGGCTCGGCGAATATGCCTCGTGCTTGTACAGACTGAACTCTGCAAAAATGGCAACAGTGACGTTGTCTCCCTGCTCCTTGAGCAAGTTTGGCACTTGCCAGGCCTCGGTAGCGTGGTGGAATCCCGAGACTCTGTATCCAAACTCGTGGCTTATCCGAAGCATAGTCTCCAAGTCTTCCGGCTCATAGTTGTGGTTCTGTACAATGACTTGTCCTCGAAGAATGGCGACTGTTGATTCGAGGTCTAGCTGGAATGGAAACTTCCCGTGATGGTGAATAAAGCTTGCCTTGAGGCCGTCATGCCAGTGACGGTTCTCCAGGATGGCAGAGCAGTAGTCGTCCTGTTTTTCTCTCAGCTCCTTGGCCTTTTGCAGATGCTCTCGCAAGTGCCAGGCGTTGCCGAGCCGAGTGTAGCCCCATGTACCCTTTGGGTTTTCGCCAAATGCAAACTTCATGTACCGGCGGCGTTCGCTTACAGGCACTCCTCTCTCAAGGAGCAAATCTTCAACCACGGGCTCGGAGTGTTCTCCCGAGTAGAGAGAGTTCTTTACAGGCACACCCTCACCAGCAATGAGATTTGCCGAGCCGGGAATGATGAGTGAGGATGTGATACCGCCCGATAGAATCAACGTGGCGCCTTCGTCATAGGCCTTCAAGGCATCAATCACACGCACCGCTGGGGTGAATGCTTTAGTTTCCGGGTTCACTTCATTGCCATCATCGGTCGCGTCAGTGCCGGGCCATGTCCCAAGGTAGTGATGCGAATGCATGTCCACCAGACCGGGGGTGACATATCGGCCGTGGACGTTGTATTCGACGACGTTGTCGCCTACAATCGCCTTGTTGTCTGACGTCTTGTGGACGGCTTCAATGAGACCCTTGGAAAAGACAATGTCGACCGCGCCGGGAACAAAAGCCTCACCGTCGAACAGGGTTGCGTTTCTCAACACAGTCGTCCCGATTTGGCCATTGGTCGCCGACCATCGCGGGTTGCTTTGTCGAGAACCAGGCGCAGGCCTGCCAGGGACCTTTCCCAGCCCCTGACACTGCGCCAGCGATTCCTCAAAGCGCTGCAACAGCTTCGACGACGCGCCCCCATCATGGGGCTGCTGGGCTCGATACTGGCGATCGACGGCAAAGCACAGCCATAGCACGGATGCAGCAACCACAACGCTCAAGCCCGTCCTGATGGACAAGATGCTCCGCGCAAACAGCCGGCGATGGCGCGGTCTCCTGGGATAGGCCGGGACCTCGTATGGCGGAGGCTGCGGCGAGGATGAATCTCCGCTTGGAGACGCAGGCCGCAGCAGCCGCCTCTTCTCTGCCGACTCGTCCATGTGATGATATGATAGGCGTGGTGTATGAACCAGATATTACAAGCGTCATGCACGGTTGAGACACGGCCAACGTGAGACAGAAAACAGTGTGGCGGCCGTGTCGAAACAAATAGCCCGCCGAGGTCTTCAATTGCTTATCTCGTTGAATCGATAACAGACGTACATCCAGGGCAATACGTTGTTGTGAGATGTGCGTAAGCTGCCACGCGAATGACGCCAACATGGGTACACGTACCTACATGTACTGCGTTGTACAGTAAGTACATGTAAACAGCGGCACTTCCCCCTCAACACCAGGCTGCTTTCTGCTCCCGTCGCGCACTACTGGGTGCCCTAGCAGGGCCTTTTGGCGGGCGGTACAAAGTTGCGAGCCCATCTACTGCCAAGTTGGCATGGAGTGGCTGTCAGTAGTGCAACTCTCAGGCTGTTCCGCTTTCCGTGGCGTTTGCGGGGGGCGAGAAGCGAGCTGCTGTTCCATTGTTTGCCCTGTTCGTTCCAACGCATGTGGCATGCACTCACTGTGCAGCAAGTAAGCACCAAATGTGCCTTACTTTGTGAGGCTACTGTACAGCTTGAGCTTACCTGTACATCAGGTAAGTAAGGCAGTAGAGCTATTGACGGCTCCGGCTGCAGTACAGCCACTCCAAGCCCCTGGATACTCCGAATTCGACCAAAACAACATCAATCCAACACAGCCGTTACCGAGTACGGTTTTGGATGCAGAATCGACGTGTCGTAGAGCCCTGGGAACTAGCCGCCTGCCCTCCGCCCATGCAGGCGACCAGTCAAGTCACCGCGAACCGCCCTCTCATCTGCTGTTGGTTCCCAATACAGGCAACGCAAAGGTACTACTGTGCCACTGCCCGGCCCGTGCCGACGCTTGGCGGAACTCGGTCCAACCGTTCAATTCTCTGGCAAAAAAAAAAAAAGTACCTGCAGTGCGAAGCGAACCACATGCTCACAGACATTGCCCAGTAAGGCAGTATCTTGCAGCGCATATTACACGGCATGAAGGGCCTTGCAGATTTTCTGTCTGTACATAATCTGTAAAGCACGTCCAGAGCTGCCACGCCGAGTGTGCAGGGTGCATGTACTGTAGCTTTTTTTTATGCATTGCTTCCCAATTCGTGCAGGGAGGAGGCCAGTCTATACTAATCTAATCCTCCTTGTTAGTACGGAGTACACATGCAAATTAGCACAAAGTACGAGTACCTCTTGTTTGATCTTCGCAACCGGGAGCAAGGGTCGCTGGCAATCGCCGTCTTGCGATCCGAAGACGCCCTCTGCCCCCTCATCGAGCCTCTGCTGCCATTGGCGCAGCCCGTACAGCTGAGACGGCTGCCTGTCCCTGTGCTTATCCGATGAGGTGTACACCCCGGAGCAGCCTCCGTGATGCTCTGTATGGCTGGCTGGCTGCTCGTCCTCGTAGTCAGGACCTGGGTAATAACTTCCATCAGCTGCTGCAGAACAGCCGCATGATGCAGGGCGGGGTCGGGGAGAAGAATAAAAAAAAAAATGTTTTGAACGGAAATATGTATCCTCAACGGAATTATAATGGAATGGTGTCTATCAACATCGCTGGGGGACGTCCCGAGGGCCATTATCCTGGCCTCCTGCTGAACCCCTCTGTTCCCAAAACTACATGTAATGTGCTGTGCCAGTGGCCGCAGCCATTGCGAGCCAGAAAAACTCCAACTGGCAGCCAAAAACAGCGCCGTGGTCAAAGCCAAACACCAAGCTAATAAAGAACATGACCATTTGCCCAATCATCCAATGCTTGCCGGGGTGGCCTACCTCCCTTTTTATTCTTTTCCCCCACCGTCTTTCCTTGGCGATACGTAATGAGTGCATTTCTGATGCTCATATGAATTTCTATGCCGGTGTTCCCTTGGTCCTCTGGTGTGTACACTTGTGTTCGAGCCTGATTTAGTTTCGCGTCGGCCGTCTCCTCCTTGGGCCTTGCGATGCATCTCCATCGTCATCGTCATCGTTGTCGGAGCCATCGTCGTTTATTCTAGAGCCTCGTCCTCTATCATTTCCCTTCTTGATTGAAATTATACATCCCTGCTCTTTCAGACGCTTGGCTAGACTGCTGCTGGCCACCATGCCAGGGAATTCTTTGGCGCTGTAAACCTTGAAGGGCTCGCTCTTGATCTCCGCTAGAATGGGAAAGTGCTTAACCGCCCCGGCCCGGCTTGGGTCTATCATCATTAACGTAAATTTTAATCGAAACGAGCCTGGCGTGCGACATGAAAGATCGGAGAAGCAAAAGAAGCAGCCCTCCTGCCCGTTCTCGTCCTGTCCCACGAATGGCGTTGAGACCAGAGAGCCCATCAGACGTCGTTGATGCTGATACTCTTCTGGCATGTAGGAAGAATCCCGCTCCCCTGATTCGTCGAATATGGCGCAGCTCATGACATAGCTCTCGTACCTCAGATAGACTCTGATTTCCTCTTGCGTGAAATTCGGGTTTCGAACCACGAGCTCCACAATCGGAGGCGGATCAATGACTCTTCGATCTCTATCGCCAAACCCGCAAGCTCGTGCCGCGTTCGGCTGTTGACGCATCTTGAGCTCGAAGCTGATGTCGCTCAAGAATTGAGCCCTATTAGCACCCAGCAGATTTGGGACTCGAGCCGCTGGGGGCACTGAAATCTCTGAAGCGTGAGATGGCAGTCGACCTGCAGGCCTTGCTATCTCTTGCTCATATGGCGATTCTGCCATGGGAGTGTCCTGCTCGTGTCTCGCAACATAAAGCGGTGGGCCGCCGCCCTCGGGGTGTTGGTATGGTCGTGGTGGTGGAGTTTGGCGGTTCATGTGGTTCATACTCGGAGGAAACTGTGGCAATCGCGTATCAATCGTGTTATCCGGCCTCCCGGTTGCGTGTGGTGGATATATCTGAGGTGGTTGGCCTTGCCCACTCATATGGCGGGTAGGATAGGGCTGAGGGGGGATGGCGCCGGCAAATGGCATGTGTGAGGGAGACATTAGAGGTGACGAAATTGCAGGGCCGGCGCTGTTGTGAGGATAAGGCTGAGAGTGAAAATATGAATGAGGATCCTGAGGGGATGGCCGGAAAGTGTCTGGTCCGCTGGGCGCTCCAGCGAGTAGGCCTTGCGGAGGTGGCAATCGCTGCATTCCCATGGCGGGGTTGGCGGAATAGCGATCCATGGCGATGTTGTCTGGTGTACGAGGCATATGTTCTACTCTCGTAGAGTTCCTCGGGTCTATCTCGTGTGCGAAGCCAGAAGGTGCTGGAGATGAGTTGTGATGCCTTGACAGGTCGTCTTGGCCGCGCCCTGGAGCCGAAGACATAATCAGTTTTGCCCTAGGACAAGCACACGGGAGGGAAGAAAGGGTGCAATGGGGGTAGACGGGTTCAGGCAAATACGAGTAGGTAGTAGTGCAATGTCGGCAGCTAAAGATGGTAGTCTTGGTAGTAGGTATATTAAGGCCAGGCGGCGCACCCTTGCTCTGGAGCGAGACGCGCAAACGAGCCAATGCCGTCTTGGTCAGAGATCTCCTAGACCCCCATTCCAGGGCTCAATCGGGAGGAGTTCTTGAACCAGGTAGAGGGAACTGGAAGCTGCATGCCTGCAACCAAGATCTTTGCTGGCGTGGGTGGAGGAGATGATGTGTGCGCTGATGCGGGGCGGCAAAGAGGAGTGTGTGTATACAGAAGCTACTGCAGATTCGGGAACCGGGACAAGTGCAATTCGGTATTGGATTGCTTACTTGTACTCGCAGGTCGTCTGAAGCAACTTGGACACAGCCTTGGAGGTTTCACGGCGCGATGGGCGGTAGACGAGCACCGCTCAGTCGAATCACCCGCTCGAGAGAGGCCGGAGCAGAAGCTCAAGTAGGGGGGCGGTAGAGGGAGAAATACACATGCGCATACTTACGATGCAAGCTTTCGATGCGCCTGCCGTCCCTTGTGAGACACAGGACACACCACCCCGGCGATTAGAATAAAAGCGGCTGCCGGTCGTATGGAGCAACTGGCTAGGCAGAGACCTATGGGTAAATGGTTATGTATACTAAGCAGGGTCGCATCTAAGGCCGTCGAGGCAAAGCAAGCAAGTGGACGCTGAGAACAGATAATGGCTAATCATCTGCTCAGCCTGGTGGTGTTAGTACCGGGGGAAGTACGACGTAGGAGAGCAAACAAGCCCCAGCCTTGATGATTGAAAGAGCAAAAAGAGGGTGGGTGTGACGCGAGACGGCAGCTTAGTTGCTCGGCAATGTAGATTCGCTGGTTATTTGGCCAGTTCCAAAGGAAGAACAGAGGCAAACCAAGAATAGGACGGGGTGGGGGAGGAGCGGTAGAAGAGACACGGGAACGCGAGTGAAAGCGTTGGCGTGCCGAGAGCCACGGCGGGCAGGATGAGTAGTAGTAGAGGAGGTAGAGGTAGAGGTAGAGGTGGTAGGCAAAATGCTAGAAAAGCCAAGGAGGGTCAGGCTGGGAGATGAGAGGAAGTGCGATAGCCAGTGTCCGCACTCGGAAGGTTTTTGCCAATGCCTTGTATCGGGTACTCAATCATGTATTCATGTACGGGTATACACGTAGGAGACACTTGATCCCTCTCTGCTTGCGCTACCCGTAATACATGCTCGAGGTAGCACCAGTGCTGTAGGGAACCAACGCATGAGCACTCCACAGGCACGCCGCAGAAACAATAATGAGACCACTGCGCGAGCGGTCCAGCCGGGGGGTTGTCAATTGGCGCTGGCCAGGGGTGCGCGCAAGTTACAACTGACAGATCTTATTTCCTACAGGGCGGAGACATGCCCCATGTCACAGCATGGTTGATGTGGCGGTGGATGAATCCGAATCGCTGGGGCCGCTGCGGCTTACAGTACGGTCTTGCGCATTCATTCCGCTAGTAGGCGAGCTCTGATGTCGTCGTGTGCGGGACGGACCAAGTATGGGCACGACCAGACCAGACCCAAGTGGTGCTGTCAGGCAATGGAGAAGTGGCACCGGGTAGTCGGTGGCCGCCGCAAAGGTTTCTGCTTTTGAAGACGTCTGGTGGCATCAGGAACGGGGTAGCAACTGCGGCCTGCCCATATTCCAGCCCAGCCCAGCCATGGCTGCAACGCTGGACCGACATTGGCACCTCCAGGTCGCAGCTCGAGGCGCGAAACAAGGATGGCTGTTAGTGGCTTTGATCACAAAGGGTCGCCTGATATTACCTGACGGACAGGCCCATCACAAGGGAGACCGGGATATTGGCAATTGCCCTGATGTAGGTGGCTATCCATCTGCACCGTTGTAGGATCAGATCAGATCAGCTCGCCCGCCTCATGCACCTAGAAGATGAAGAAAAGTTGCTCTGAGTCGTCTGGAAATTGGCATCGGCAGGGCGCGTGCCGCCGCACCGCTTGGTGCCGAGCAGGAGAGTTATATCCGTGCTTGGGGCACTGGGACATGAGTCGACGTGGCTGCTGCCAACCAGCAGCACGGAATGATGGGCCTCGATCCATCGAGATCTAGTCCGTCGGGCCTAGCAAGAGGTCGGGTTGGGGCGGAGGCGTGCAAGATGCGCCGCGCCCTACCTTACCTTGCCAACTTGCGCCCTGGTACAACCGTAAGTGTGTGTGAGTGTGTGAGTGAATGAGTACGAGTACTGCAATCGTAGGACTTTCGAGTCATGGGGCGGGCGGCACGGCTGGAGCACTACTCTGTACTCTTTCTCTTTTTTTCGGGGCCAAGATTTGAATGTGAATCCCGAACTCTGTGGTTGGACCACCAGTGTGATGGAGCGTGATAGCCTTTGGCTGGTGCTCCTCCAGCCTGAGTGGTCTGTGCTGCCCTGCCAGCCCAGCTTGGGAGCAAGCTCAAGTACGGAGTATTGAAGCTGGTCAGCCGGCCCGTATGATCGGCGAAACGAGGGCATAGACGACGGCCGCCGAGAGGGTTCGCTCTCCGTTCGAGCACATGTACGAGTAGCGGTACTGCGACCCTGGCCTCAGGCGATCCACGGCAGTGCCTGTAAGGGTACAGTACGAGAGTTGCTCCAGAGTAGCATCTGCGATGCGTTAGCATGCCCAAGGCGCTTCTGGCTATCCTTACACCACTCGCATATCAGCATCACGACGGGGATTTTTTGTTGACGCACGCACATGGTAATTCGCCGTGGTGCAAGTCACTTGTTGAGGAAGCAAAAGCGAGGGGGGGCTGGGCGAATCCTCGAGGTTCTGGAGGAAGATCCTTGCAACTATTGGCGTTTTCTTTGCTTTGTTTTTTACTTTTTGTTTTTTGTTCCTTTTCCCCCCTTCGGGCTCTCGAGGATCATCCGTCACCTGCAGTGCTGGGCCAACCGAATCACGCTTGCCCAGCGGCAATGTTGCTCCTACCAGGCACCTCTAACATAAAGTAATGTACCGTGGAAAAAGAAGGTACTCAACAGGACATGTGCACAATCATTAGCAAGTGCTCCTACCTGTGCCCATCGATGAATACCCTCAGCTGTGCAGAGAGAAAGGGCGAGATCCAATTTGGGCTAATGCTGCTCCTACCGTGCCGTACCTGAGCCTGCTAACCCAGAACATGGCAGCTAATCCTAGGTCCCTACCTACCTAGTAGTAGGTTAGGAAGAAAGGGTCCTGGTGCCGCTAGCAGACTTTGTGTAATTGCAGTACTCGTACATGTATTTGGAGTGCTCCTGAGCATCCTCCTAAGTTCAATTAGTACGGAATACTTGGCGACGGTGTCCCTTGGGTAGTGCTCTTGTAGGAGTACTAAGTCAATACGCGATCCATGCGATGCATGGTATTGATCCTGGGATCCTACACACCAACGGCAGGGTATACCGGATATCGTCCGTACTGTCCTCCGTAGAGCTGGCAGGTTCCGTGCCGCGGCTGTGCCTGCCAATATCCAGCACTTGGGCATCGTTACGGTACAGGGCAGTTGCCAGGAACACAGCACATGCACCTACCTGTCTGTACGAAACTGCTACATGTACACTATGAAGGAGATACTTTCATATAGACTGGTAGCAGCCCTAGGACTCAGCACAGTTCTAGCGGTACCTCTGATATCAACCTCCAACCTACCACAGGCAAATCAATCAATGCCATCATCGCCGATTGATTGACCGTCCGTCTGCTTGCTTGGAGGGGGGATGAACCCGCCTAGTGCCCGCAGTGTACCCACCAGGAAGTACTGGGTACCTTTCAGCCAGATTGCCCGCCACCGGCACTTGCGTCTCGCCATCGGACCAACCTCCGTTCGCTCACCGCCATCTGATTTGACCAAGGGAAAGGGCAGACAGAATAAGGTAAGGCGGGGTCGTGCCGGAGGTGCCTACCTAGACCTTCCTAGGTCCATCCTGCTTATCTAACGCCTCTGCCTCAGGAACCAGCTTCAATACGAAGCATCCAGTCGGAGGGTTCGTGAGAGAACCACTTGGATCGATGCTTTCCCGTGTCTAGACGGCATCACAACGCCAGGCTCTTTGGGAATGGCCAATTTGCTCCGTTACTCCAGGTAAACGCTTCCTGTCCCGTCATGTTCTATTCTGGCCCACTACAAAGCTAGCTACTGGACTAGCTCCCGCGGGTGCTGCTGGCCACGATACAGGCACACGCACGATGCAATCCCAACATGACTCCTGTTCTCGCTTGTCAGCCGCACCCCCCGGACGCTCGTCTGTCTGTCTCGCTGCGGGTGAAGTTGCTCGTACCGGTACGAGTACCAGTGCGAGTGAAGCCAAAGCGATTTGTCAAGTCAAGCGGCTCCAGACCAACGTCCCTGTGCAGGTGAGCAGTCACCTTATCACGCTCTACCACGGCTATGGACCATCCATGGTACTCCGTACATACGAGTACAGTACAAGCGCAACTAGAAAGGTCAAGCGAGGGCGCCTTTTCCTTCAGGCTGCTGCCTTATCCCTCCCACCTACTAGCCAAGCAAGACACTCTCCTACAATGGTCCGACCTGCAAGGCTGGGCCGGACTTGTCTTGGACATCTTGACTTTGCTAGAGACAGCACCCCGTGCCGTTGGTCGGAATGGTCGAAGCTACCAACACGAGTACTACTGCTAGTAGTGGTAGTACGGAGTAGCTTCATGGCAGACTGGCATCCTCTCCGACTTTCTCTCATTAGCGTTCGCGGTTTTTACTCTAGTTGCCAAGAACCGGGCCCGTGGATTTGCTTATCCAGGTTGGCTCGTCATCCCCGTCATTCTCACACATGCACTCTGTACAAGTATGCAGTAGTGCTCCATCCGGATTCGACCTGCAAATGGGAACGTACGACGGCGCACAATACGGCCTCCCCTGGCCATCCGAGATTTGCTGGGTAGCTTCGTTCCGAAAGACTTCGTTGCATCCTCCCGCCTTCCGCTTCCCGCCTTCCGTCTTCCCCGGCGAGGACAAGGCCCTTAGGCTATGAGCCAGGGATTGCCTTGATGTGGAGTTTTCTTAACCGGAGAAGCTTGCCACGACAGTCAACCCCTTCAACTCGAACCATTGACCTCGAATCAGAACGGGTATGAAGAAAATGCTATCAGGTCTCACACCCTCCTCCGAGATGTGAGCCACACGGGCGTGCTGCTGTCTCTTCTCTGTCTCTTCTTCGTGCATTCCGTGAAAATTTTCCCGGTGCCTCCCTGTCTCATCCATGTCTCACCTATGGACGAATGCACTCACACGCACGCACGCACACTCACACACACACACGTGCCTCTGTGTGATAATGATAGCACCATATTACCCCCTTCACACCCTTTAGTTCAAGTTGACAGTCCAAGTGGACCAGCTGAAGCTTAGCATTGATCTTACGGCGGCACTGCCGGTTTGGCATGACGCAAAAGATCATGTAGACATGCCAAAGCATAGATGTCAGTCTTTCTGTCTATGCAGGATTTGTCTGGCGCCGAGTGATGCCATCGATGGACAATGTGGTAGCTTTTTCTTCTAAGTTTAGTATCAAGTCCTTGGCAGGCTATCTTGATACTATATTGATAGCCCTTGTTCTCCTTCTCCCTTCTTCGGTGTGTTGACATGACCCGGATTACGGAGTACTTGCAACAGTAACCGCTACCAGGTAGTTCTGTCTCAGAATGCTTGAAGCCCAAGTCAAGGGTCTTTGTGCTTCCCCTTGTGATCGCCAGTGGCGCCCCCGTCACCTCTTAGCAGCGAAACGTTCGGTGATGATGTCAAGGTACTAAACATGGCCTGGCAGCTCACAGGTCTTAAGAAGTCAGGCTAGGATGCGAAGATGACGGCTTGGTTTAAGACAGTACTAATTGAATCAGGGTGTGTAGAAGAGACGCTTACGGCGCCCGCAAGTTGTTGTTCTTCTTCTATCCTTACCGTCTTTGGATCCAAAGTGCCAGCCTTTTTCACTGTACATGGAGTACGTGGCACGATGAGGAACTAATTCGACCAGCCATTTCTCACCGAGGATTGTCACGAGTCTCAAGTCTGACCTGCATCATTGCATTGCTGGAGTCTCTGTTCAACTGCATGAGGGTATTACAACATGGTTCCGGATTGTGTTGTTATATCCTCTTACTTGACACCCCCATATTGACTCACTAAAAAAAAAAAAAAAAGACTCACCAGCGGGCAATTTTGCATACGAGTGCCAAAATGAGATGTACAGTGGAACGAAAGCACCAATCATGGCCCATGAGAGATGCCGCAACCCGCATTGGAACTGCTGGCTTGTTCATGGGTCCCCCGCCCTGAAGCCCACATTCAAACGTGGCCAAGAGGGAGCAGGCTGTCATGTATTAGACTCATGTTTATGCTCATTGGGTCTTAATCATCTCTGGGTGCCAGACTATTATCTCACAGCAACGTACGAGGCGCCTCACTTGACCAGGCCTGGCTGGCTAGTTTTCCTTGCATGTTAGCGGTTATAGCCTTTGCTTTGTGCCAGTTGTCCGCGCCAGATGATGACCTGTCAACTCGATTGCTACGTTGGACCAAAAAGTATATTAGCCGAGGGCGAAATTGGTGCGGCTGGTGCGGCTGGTTGTCAAGACAATTGTCAATGAATGAGGGTGTCGTGCTACCCGCCCTGACGTAACGGTGCGGCGGCATGGCCGACAGATCAAGTTCTTTGCCAGCCATTTGCTCGTTTTGGGCATTAACCTTTTGCATTTGGCATTTGATGCTCTGGAATAGCGGTGCCTTGTTTGGCAATGGAGCGTATGTCTGTGGAGTTGGCGCAACCGGCTTCGCTGCTGAGAACTGGTGACTGTTGATGGGTGACGCATGGCTAGTTGGCTGATGGAGTTCCCGGAAATAGAAAATAGGAGTTGGCCTGGTTAGATTGCTTGCTGCTGGCGGCGTTGGGCAGCTTTTTTCCGCCGGCGGGCCAAGAGCGAACGCGAGGCCAAAGTTGGAATATACGACAGGGGGGAGTTGTTGTTGGGATAGCCTCCTATTCATGATATATCCACCAACAACATGATGTTTTTTTACTGTAGTTGATTATACGAATAACGAAACCGTTCTTGGCTTTCTCGATACCAAGTTCTTTTTCATTATCTTCTCTTTCATTGTGAAGAATACTTTGCTATCCATCATCTACTTGGAAGGGTGATACTACTGCTGCGTGTCATGCATCACAAAGAGACCTATATGTTCATCTTGGCTCATTTATATATAAAACTTACAGAAACTCGCTATTATATGACAAGAATTCCGCCAACCCATCTTGCTTTGGGCCCATTTCCCAGGATATTCCACCAGCCGGTGCCCTTAAGCCCTCCTCATCCGCCCATAAACGGGGCATTGATATTCCCAGAAATGCCAGTATTCCTCCTAGAAGTGTGTATATAATGGTAGGTATATGCACATATGCAAAATAAGTAACCTTTGAAAGAACCAGAAAAATATGTAATGTCTCACGTCCCAGAAAAAAATGCATTGTAAAGGAGAGGGAAATAAAACGCCATAGTGTGGTGCATTTTATTTGTAATTACGGTCAAGTAGTTGGGAGTGATATAGATGACAAGATCGTTTGTATGTGTAAAAAAATTAGGCGTTGTTCGTCGTAGGTATATAGATCGTTGAAAACATTAAGTTTAAAGTGGAATAAGTCGATTCCAAGCGGTAGGTTTGTTGATATAATAGGGATGATGGCGGCGATAGGGTCGGATCTGATGGGATTTTATATCATCCCAGAGTATGGTGAGAAGCCATCTATGAAATTGAAACGAGAGTGGCAAACGCGGTACATAGGACTGCCAATGTAATGGTATAAATGGCTGGTTGTAGAGCGCGAGCTTCTGATGAGGCTGGCGGAAGAGTGCCATTGACATAATTTGGGCCGCACAAAGTGTTCACTTGGCGGGCTGCGTCCACGTAGACACCAGAAATGGCTTGGCTGCGGTCTGCAGATGCAGAAAAATAAATGTCCATCGTTTGTTGAGTGCACCAGCTGCAAGAGGGGTTTGAGCTGCCAGGTAATGCCAAGCCGTATGGTAAAAAGTAAAGGTAAGCGTCCGAGGGCGTGTTGAGGTTGGTGACTGCGTTGGCAAAGCAATACTGGCTCTCGGTCGGATCCTGGAGACAAGTCGCTGCATACACCGTTTTGTAGGCCAACAGCCCGTGGTATGCTTGCAGGACTAAAGTCTGATTCTGCGCAATCTCGGTCTTGCAATTGTTGCTCTGAGTGAGATTCGTTGCGGCTTGGTCGAGAAACGTAGCACAAGAAAGCGAGTCAGCTCGGCAGGTTGCATCGAGCACTCGGACAATGCTGAGAAGCGACTTTTCGGCTTGAAAGAGGCCTGTCGACGTCTAACATCCTTGTTTTAGCAGATCGAACCATGACTAAGTGATGTCCATTTTCTGTATCCCAAAATGGAGCCACAATAAAAGATACTAAACTCACCTGTAGCATCATGGAGAGCGGGTAGCAGCTCTTGAACGTGGGATTTGCGAGAAGGCCGGATATGAAGTTAGAACAGGAGTCGGTTGAGCCCGAGCTCTGGAAGGCGGAGGCCGGTGTGTTGTCGAATGGCACGGGCAAGGCTGACGATGACGATGACGATGACGAACTGCTGGTTGGCTTCGACAGCGCCGTAGTAGTTGAGGCTGGAGCATGTGCACTCCTTCGTCTCTTCTCGCCTTTCTCAGGAGTCGTGGCATCGTCATTTGCCTCGCGGAGAAGCTGCTCGTGCTCGCCAACACCGCTAGAGAATCCATTAATCATCTCCTCCGAGGAAGGTGGTGATGGAGGCTGGCTAAGATCGATTGATAACGTGGGAACGCGGGTCGAAGCGCGGTGTGGTACGGAGGCAGCAGATGCGAATGTCGTCGCAAGACATACGACAAGGAAAAGTGTGAAGCGCATCTGGTACAATCGCAGTCTGGGCATCTTGGCCTTGGATCGCCCCGTAGAGGCAGCCATTGATGGGTTGAGCATGGTGACAGCCTTGATAAGTGGTTTGATAACAGCCCCCGAAGCAATAATAGCACTTTTCGTCGTCTTAGATCGTGATGCCCTGGATATTCGGTGAAGCTGGCGTCGCAAGTAAGTTGTAGTCGAGGCTTGGCTAAAATTTCGTGACGGATGCCCGGGACACTGTAGTGCTTATCGAGATATCAGGAGCATGACTCGGCTAGGAACAAAGGCAAGGCGCGTATGATCGAGATCGTTCTCGTGATAGATGGTCACAGGCAATTCGGTCCTGGAGAGGCGGTTGGAGGCGACGACGATGCCCGAATCCGCTCTCTCAATGGCTGTAGCGACGCTCCTAGTTTGCTCTCTCTTTGTTCCCCTGAACGAATAACGTCCTCTCCCGCCGAGGACTGTTCTGATCTCTTTGATCCCTCCACCACCCCCCGTCTGATCCGTCTCGCGATGTAAGAGCCGGGGAATCTAATCTCGGGGGGAGAAAATAACGAGAGAGGGGAAACAAGTAAAAAGACGCTTTCCAAGGCGATTGTCGGCACGGCGAGTGACACCAGAGCACCTACCGTGGTAGGCAAAGAGAGGCCAAGGCAAGATTACTACTAGTAAGGTAGGGAAGGAGTTGAAGTTGATACAGGGAAGGTCAACCGAAGGATGAAAAGAGCAAAGATGTGCAAAGAAAAGGCCCGGAGTAGAAGTACTAAACCTTGGTCGCAAGTGCCTACCTAGCATGGAGCAGAGTGGCAGATAGGGAAGGGACGCGGGACTGCTGCAGAGGCCCCAGCTGCGAGGCAAGCGCGAGTTGGTGGTGCGTTTGGCGCTCTTGTTCGAGCAGGAGCCCCGCCATTGACGGTGCGCACAGGACGAATCGGTACAAGCCCCATGCAGCTAGTGGCTGTGGGCACGGGCATTGTGACAAAAGACGGGGAAGGTATGCAGCTGCGATTGGCAAGAAGCACGGAGGCAAGCACGCGGAAAATACTTGGATACTTGAAAGGAAAAAGGCCGCACGAGCCTTGGCCTGCTGGGGACGTGCCATTGGCGAAGCAGCTGAACTTGTTAATCTACAACGGGATGTGCAATTTGGAGGTGTTGATGCGTGCAGAGCCCCGTGATTGGAACTACATGGCCACCTTTGTTGAAATGTTTTTTCTCTCTCTGTTCTTCTTTTTTTAGATTGCATTTTTTTCTTAATTTTTCTCTCAGCAGCCACGAGTACAATGGCCAACGGGAGAGCTAAAGAGGCGCACCATTGCTAGGCGAAGGAGCCTCCCCTGGCCTAGTGGGAGAGCGATGCCGTTGATAGCGCCAGGTGAGTTTAATTGCATCCCACAGCGTAGCGAGCCGGCTGCAAGCCACATGGCGGTACTATTGGATGAATTGTATTTGCTGATGCAAGAGTCACCGAGTTGTATGGGTAGCAGACGAATGTTTATTCATGCAATAATAAGGCTATTAAAGTTCATTCATTAATAAGTTTACTCATATACACAATTCAATAATACACCGAGATACCTGTTGCATCTTTGGCTGTCATCAATCAAGCCTTTCGATATACCTACTTCTGTAGCACTGCAGACTTCCCATTCTTTCAGGTGGCACGTGTAAGGCGAGGTAGGGTAGCACTCAAAACCGGCGGCCCCCCCTGGAAGCTCTAGCTCTAGAATCAGGTCGCTCTGCAAATCAATAGCGCCAATGCAGAAAGCTTGGCTCTTTGCCGTGCCACCGGCTAGCTAGCGACAAACCGGCCGAGTCTCCCGCTAAGCCTCAACCCACCGTTTTTGGTGACGCTGATGGGATCAAGAACTGGTTTGGTTTGGTTTGCGATATTACTTTGCAGATTTTTCCCGTCCTTTTTTCTCTTTTTGTAGACCGGAGGAGGCTAGAAACGACCAATTGCGGTACACGCGCTGCAGCACCGTCCCTAGGTTAGCAGTAAAAGATCCATACCATCCAGTCCAGAACGCAAGTGAGATACGACACGTAACAATGATACTGCAGGCCACGAATTACCACCGGCACCTACCCATCAAACACCGAATCCCGGCCCTTTTTGCGCTCCAAAATCTCCGCCATTGAATAATACTAACTTCAGATTGTTTGACAACGTGCCCAACACAGCAACGGCTTTCTCGCCCTTGTACTCGTAACGCAGCACAAAACGCACACGCGGCTCCCCTGCCAAGGCACCGAAAACCAAAGACCAAGAAATCACCCAACTCTGTCAAATTTAAACCTGGAACTGATCCCCTAAGCTACCTATGTAACAATCCTGTTGCTGCTGCCACTAATCACACCACCCACCGTCTGAGGTCAGCAACATCCATCCAATTTTGTCTCTCCCTCTCTCTTTACCTGTTTCGGTGTACAACGTGGCTTGTTAAGGGTCCAGAACAAAAGAACAATAGATACCAAACAAGAAGAGACACACGGCGCGCACACACCAAAACGCCACCAATTGGTTCCCGCAAGCCTCACTTCTTCATCCCCTTTTGGTTTTCCCCCCACTAAGATTACAGTACTCGTACATACTTTGCATGGCAGTGATGATATTTAGTAGGGATGCTCGTATAATACACAGCTGTTCTTACCATACCACCAATTTATCTCACGACCATTGATTCACATCAATCTCAGAACAGCTACGATCAACATCACCAAAGAACCGGAACACGCACAGCCCCCAGGGTTCATCACCCTCCAATAATTCCCCCATCAGCAACCCCCTGTCTCGCTCGCTCGCTCGCCAAACAATAAAATCCGGAGCAAAAAAATAAAAAGCATTCGTAATGCTCCGGATTCTCGGCAACAAACCTAATCATTAAAAAAACAGACAAATACCTACCTGGTTTCAGCCTGTCCTGCCGGTAACACGGCGTTAGCTTTCCCCCAACTACCGTCACCTGAAATGTAGTTCCAATATAGATACCCGTGTTGCCGTAAGTGTCTGAGTAAAATAGATTCTGGTGCGACGCAATTGTCTAGCTAGCTGCACGCTCCATACCGGGCGGGCGCGCAATCTTCACCGTCGGCACCGGAATAAGACGCGTTAGCTTCGTGCTCTGTATTCAGCTGCGCATGGTTAGCAGGGTCATGATATCACGCACTGCGATGTTGGCGTCAATACTTGAGGACTGCTGTATTCTAAGAGTACAGCGCCACCGCCATGCAATCGAACCTGACACATTAAGCCATCTACTCCTGGCATCAATTGAATAAGCAGCATTCGACATAAAAAGAAGGTAATTCAAAAACGAGCGTAAAAGGTAGGAGTGGCGTGTTTCAATACACAAAATTGGAAAAAATACCATACAAGTCTAGTTTAAAAAAGAATGCTGTGCGTCTGCCCTCCATTCCTCCTCCAGGGCCTTGATGAGAGATTCAATCCAAAAACAAAAAAAGATTATGTCGTTTTTTTTTTCTTTGCATATATGTCCAAAAGTAGCCCCATCCAATGCCTCGCTAACAAAAGTAAATGCCAATAGATGTTACCTAGTATCTAGTCTGCTCTGCGCCAGACTTCTAGATTCGTGATAGAGACCATTCGTTGGAATACTGCTGTTTACGAGCTCGTTCCTAAGCTTTGCAGATTGACCAGCTCAGCGTAGTGCCCATTCTTCCTCATCAGTTCCTGGTGGGTTCCAGACTCAGCAACACGGCCTTGGTCAATCACATAAATAACGTCTGCTTTCTGAATCGTGCTCAGACGGTGCGCAACCGCAATCGTAGTGCGCCCATCAGCAGCCTTATCCAGAGCCTCTTGGACAACAGATTCAGATTCGGAGTCAAGGGCAGACGTGGCTTCATCCAGGAGCAGGATCTTAGGGTTGCGAATCAAGGCCCGGGCAATAGCAATACGCTGCTTCTGGCCGCCAGAGAGCAAGCCGCCCTTGCTGCCAACAAACGTGTTGAAACCATCGGGGAGTGAAATGATAAAGTCATAGATGTTAGCCTCACGGCAGACGTATTCCAGTCGCTCCTCTGAGATATCCTCCTCAGGCGTGCCAATAAGAATGTTTTCTTTGATTGTGCCCGAGTAGAGTGCCGGCTCTTGGCTCACAAGCGAAACGAAGGATCGATAGTTGCTAACATTCAGGCTGCTAATATCCTGGCCATCAACAAAGACACCACCAGACAAGGGGTCGTAGAATCGCTCTAGCAGTGAAATAGTTGTGCTCTTGCCACATCCAGAAGCGCCAACCAAGGCGACGTACTGGCCAGGCTTAATCGTCAGGTTAAGACCTCGGAGGACAGGTTGATCTGGCCGGGTCGGATAACGAAAGTGGACATCACGGAATTCCACTGTGCCATGTATATTGCCCTCTGCTATGCGCTGGCCGTCCTTTGACCAGGCATCAATCTTTGGTGTCCGTTCAAAGAGCTTCTTTAACGCCAGGGCTGAGGCATGGGCTTTGCCCATATCAGGCGCAAGCGAAAAGATACTTCCTGCCGCCTGCGCACTGTAGATGATGCCCATGAAGCAGACGAAGAAGGTGAATAAGTCATACTCTCTGGTGGCGAGCAAAGTACCGCCATACCAGAATCCAAGTCCAAAGCAGAGAAATGATGCACCTTGAGCGGCTCCATAGAGGGCGCTTGATGATAGCACTGACTTCAAACCTTTGCGTCTTTGAGACGCAATGTCTTCACAATACATGTGTATAATATCTTGCTCGCGAGTAAGTGACGCAACGGTGCGAATAGACGAGATGGCCTCGGAGGCATATGCGGCAGACGCCGCGTATGCATCTTTTGCCCTGCTCTGGAACCTAAGTAGCAAGTAAAAGCGGAAGAAGCCACAGGCCAACAAGACTGGTATGGTTGCCGTACAGACAAGTGCTAGCTTCCATCCAAGAGCTAACCCCATTATCATCGAGGAGAAAAGAGTAGATAGCGTCAGCAGGATGGTTCCCAAAGCAGAACCACTAAGACCTCCAATATTGTTGGCTTCAGTTGATAAGAATGCCGTCAAGATACCTGCTGAGTTCTCCTTTCTATCAAAGAAGGAGATATCCTGCCGAAGAAAGGTCCTAAAAGATTGGTCCCTAATGCGATGGATAAGATGCTCAGAGCATGACGCAAACGCAATTCCTTGGCCAGAGTAGCTGATGAGTATGCCAACAGCCAATACGATGAACATGACGGCCCAGAAGTACGCATCATGCCGAATATGATCAATATTGGCATTCGGGAGAAGAGCATTTGTCAATGTGACAATCTCTTTGGAAAAGAAAACTATAATGTTTCGATGAAATGATTAGCAGGCACTCATAACCAGTCATGTGTTGTCATGGGGAAGAAGAGACTTACCAGCAGAGATGGGACTGGCACCACCGCAGAGAATAGAAAAGAAGAGACCGGCCGACATGCGCTTCCATTCATTGCGGTTAAACTTGGCAATGAACGCAATCAGAGCCCAGGTACTATATTTAGCCTCTTTATCTGCAATGCGAGCTCGCAGCGCAATGCTTGAGGCAGACTTTTGCGTCGGCGACCGCACGAGATTGTTCTCACTACCACCCTCGGCACTAAATATTTCACTGTCTTCGATCTTTGATTGCCTCTTGATCAGCGCCTCCTGGTGCTCATCGATAAGTTCCTGTTCTTCGCTGGTAAGGCCTTGGGTCGCGGTGATATCCTGAGCAGTTACCAACTTGTGGTAAGCGGCCCCTTTCTCTACCAGCTCTTCGTGGGTTCCCTGCTCTATAATTCGGCCTTGAGACATGACAACAATGTTATGGGCATCCTTGATAGTTGAGAGCCTATGAGCAATGATGATGGTAGTTCGACCAGCCGAAGCAGCCTCCAGCGCAGCCTGCACGATGCCCTCGGATTTCGTATCCAAGGCTGATGTTGCCTCATCAAGAAGGAGAACTACACGTAGATAGAGCCATATTAGCAATCATTATTCAAACTAAACCGGGATAAAGAAGCGGGTTGGCCTTGAAACGGACTTTTCGGGTCGCTAACGATGGCGCGTGCAATAGCAATACGTTGCTTCTGTCCACCCGAGAGAAGGAAGCCACGGTCGCCGACATTAGTTTCATAGCCCTCCGAGAGAGCAGAAACGAAATCATGCGCATTGGACTTCTTCGCGGCAGCAATGACCAGCTCACGCTGTCTCTCCTCGCTTTCTTTTTCAAACTCAGTCCCAACTAGGCCGTAGCGAATATTCTCGAAAATCGACGTTCCGAACAGCGTAGGCTCTTGGCTAACCAACGAAATCTGGCGACGAAGCCAACGAAGGTTCAGTTTAGAGATGTCGTGTCCATCAAGATACAATGTGCCTCCCACGGGATTGTAGAATCGCTCAATAAGGCCGACGATGGTGCTCTTGCCGGATCCAGACGCTCCAACCAAGGCGGTCGTCTTTCCTGCGGGAATGTTAAGGGTGACATCCTCCATTACAACAGCGCCAGGACGTGAAGGGTATATGTGTTTGACATTCTCTAGTCGAATGTTACCCTGAACCTCGTCAATAGTCTCGCCCTCTTCACTTGCTGAGTTAATTGGTGAAACACGGTCAATAGTATCGAAAATTTTGGATGCAGCGCTAACAGCAGAGATAAAAGCTTGGAAGTTGGGTGCGATGCTAGTCATGTTGAAAGCACCCATTATGACAGTCATCATGACAATCAGAGCTTGATTGAGAGAGAGCTCGCCACGTAAGACAAAAGCACTGCCTTGCCAGAAAGCCAGAGCATAACTCATGTAAAGCAGAAACATGATACCGCCCAGCATGACTCCAACGGCGGATCTAAGCCTGAAGCCAAAATACTCGGCCTTCTTCAGGTGTTCATCATACTGTTTGGACAATCGGTCTTGGGCTCCAAAAGCGACGGCAGTCCGCACGGAGCTGAGGACTTCGTCCGCCAGACCACCACCAAGGGCAGCAGATGTGATGGACTGTGCGCCGTTCTTAAGCATGTAGCTAGAAAACATGGCTCCATTGAGAAGGATAGCAATGATGACGCTCGCAAGAATCAACGTAAGTTTCCAATAGTTGGCAAAGGCAATAACAAAGGCGGTCACAAAGGTCGAAATAGCTCCTATCGTGATTGACACCTTTTCAGAGATTCCATCTTGTATAGTGTTAGTGTCGGAGGTAATACGAGTCACAATTTCTCCAGTGCCGATTTTGTCGAAGAAGCCAATGTTTTGACGCAGACAGCTTTCAAGATAATGCTCTCGGATTCTAGTAGAAATGTTCTCGCCCACGTAGATATATCCCACCGTGGCGATATAAGTGACGACAAATTGGCCGATGGCGAGATACACAAAATAGAGTACATATTTGGAAAGCTGAGAGCTGAGTTCGCCTTTGTCGATCTGGCCTACTGTGAACTCGGAAAACGTCTTTTGGAGGCCACCAAATAGCAGAGTCATGAGGGGTAGAGCGGCGCCGTTGGCAATGGAGCAGACAGATGCAATGATCATGATGAAGATGTCAAGACCAGTAGTGTATCGGTAGAGGGCAGCAACACCATGTTTCAAGTCGGGTGTCAATGCTTGCTTCTTGAGAATTTCAGCTTCATTGTCGGGCAGGTGTCGAAACGGTTCTTCGGGGTCTTCTTTGATTTCTAGTTCCTTGGGAGGCTTTTGCTTCTTTTCCTTTTTGGCCTTGTTTTTCTTCTTTCCGTTTGAGTCGACATCGGGTTCCGCGTTGGCTTCTGGGTCTGACTTCTCATGGTCTGCTTTCTCAAGATCTTTTTCCTCATGATCTAACTTTTCAAGATTTGCTTTCACCACGTCGGCTTTCTCAGGATCTGCTGAATCACAGTCTCCTTCGATATTGTCGATATTTGGTTTCGTAGTGTCTTCTTTCTCTGAATCGGCCTTCACATGGTCTGATTTCTCAAAATCCGATTTTTCAACACCTAATTTTTCGGGGTCTTCCTTTTCTGAACCACCTTCTCCTGCTTTGTCGGCATCTACCTTCATCAGATCTGGTTTCTCAGGCTCCACCAGTCCATGTTCGTCTGTTTTCTCTGACTCTGCATTGTTGGTATCAGTAGAATCAGCCTTTGGAGGAGTGGTTTCTGTGACAGCCGAGTCATTGACAATGTTGGCATCGCCAGGGCCCGTGGAGTGCTTCGAGGTTCCTCCTCCGGCCGGCTTCTCAGGTATTTCAGCAGCCATGATGGCTGATGAGAGTGAGGTCGCCAGAAGGCGATAACCGCCGTGTTGGTTCAGCAGTCAGTCGTCTAGTCGATATCGTTGACGGTCAATTCTTTCGTAAATGATGTTCCTCGAACCAAAGCTATCCGTAGCGCGACACGGGCAAGCCAACGACGATCAGGGCATGTAGAAAACAGAATGGCAATGTAGGATGTAAGGGGAGAGAACCAGCAAGAGACGAGCTGCAGACGACCTAGCCCTCCGTGTACAAGCTGCAAGTATACCTGTAGCCTCGGGATCCTCCATTAGAGGTAAAGTACGGGCAGGTAGTACAGTAATACCTTCAGTGCTGCTGTAAGAAACATCTGTCGGGAGGAAGAGCCGCCGCACAGACACACGCCCCCTCGAGAGAGCACGCGTACCAAGACTTCACTTCCAGTGTAGCTCCTTAACAAAGACAGAGGCACTCAAGAGACGCGCCATGGGCCGAGCTGCCTTGTTGCCCAGCTGCGGTGCTACATTGCTTTGTTTGGCGGGAACTCGAGACTTGGGACTCTCTGGACAGGGATAAAGGAATGGTAAAATTCCAGTCATACAGACTTGCACAGCCCATGCAGTGTGCCGCCCTCCATCCCGCCAGCCTAGCAAATGCGCACTGTGCTTGACTTTGAGGTGGTTGGCCGTTATGGGTATGATGCCACACCCACATTCTCTTTGCTGCTTATTACTTATGTGATTCATCGAAGAGAATGATAGCAAACGAGATGCTGTTTCACACTACGTGGCAGTTTCGCTGTCGAAAGAATCAGAGGATTGTACGTTGATATACCTTCGAGCGCAATTGAAGTGCTTGTACTCCGTACGCAAAGCTACCTCCGGCTTGGCGGCCATTTTGTCTAAGACACTGAGAGCTCTTGAATCCGCTATGGCCTCGACTGCCACTCACAAGGTTGGCTTTGAGACATGCGGAATAGTAGTTGAGACTAAGCATTGGTCAATCTCAGAAGACCACGTCAAGCCCGCCAATTCACATACAATATTGTTCCCACATATTCTACATCCTGTACTTCATCATCAGCGTTGTCCGGTATCCTGACTTTGTGTGCTGTCTGCAGCCACAGATCACAGATCAAGATTATCGTGGAACCAGCCCCGTTGATTGCCGCTCAAGCTAATGACCGGTAGAGATCTTGGCCCGTTTGTCTTGATGCACTTCTAATTCTGCTCCTCCTTGCCTCTCTCATCTCGGATGACCGAGACATGCGACGTGGGTACGGCTCACTGGACCGTTTCCCGCTCTTTTCCTTTATGTTTGCTTTCCCACTTGGGCTACTTTTCAGAAGCTAACCACGCCATGTTACCCTTCATATTTTTTTTTCTTCATGCATGAGCCCACAGCTACTGATGCAGATGAATCTTTCGTAAGGAGCGCCACGTATTGCCTCTTTGAGAAACAAGGACAGTCAGACAAGTGACAGCCGTTGCCTTGGCGCGCTTTTGCTGCCGGGGTTGCCAGACTCAGACCACGACAAAGGACGCCCATGGTGAAAGGATCATGTGTACTGTAGATGTGACATTCTCCATCTTTGTCTATGAGTTCCTTTTCCTCTTTTCAACCATCTTCTCAGAATCAGCTCATTTTCTGCACTTTTTACTGCTGTTTCTTCTGGCCGGCTTCCGGCTTCTCTCCCTTGGTAGATCTGAATTAAGCTTGCCTTAGCGCGTAATACTACGACTAATATCTCCCGCGGCTGACTCGAGCATCCCTTGCCATATTACGGCCGTACCGTGCGTCGCGCACTGGCTGTTGATATCAACTACATGTATGTACAGTCTTGGTCTGTCTCAATCATCTACAATCCCTACTTAGACAGCAAGATGTAATGCTTTAATTCTACGGCAAATAATTGTCTAAGATTGAGATTGGATGAAAGAGAGAGGGAACCATTAGGTACAGATGAGACTAGGTAAATACCACGCAAATATGGCGGCGAGCTGCTTGTAGGCCTCCCGGCTCATCAAAGCCTTATATTGCCCAACCGAATTCAGACCGCACCAGAGCGATTCTTCTCTCGTCATTACCATCTTCATGCCCATCTTGGGTCAGCTTCTACAATGTTCGCCTCAATGTGGTCATTCTTAGGCTGGAAAGAAGAAGAGCCAGTAATACAAAGTTACCCACCCGTTACCATTGTTGGTGCCAGGATCCCAGCCGACGGCACTCCCGCCCACCTCCTCCCGCTTACCACAATAAGTGACTCCTCAGCTCCAGACAGCTTCCTCCTCCACGTTCCTGACCTGCGCTCCTATTGGATGTCGGAACAAGCATGGCGATTACGTGACCTCCATAGATTTCACCTACAGAAAGATGGTTGTGTCCCGCTCTCGCAGCATTGCATGCAAACGGATGACTTCAAAAGCCTTCTTTGTATGTCACAACGCCTTAGTCGCGAGCAGATACTTCATCTCCGGCAACGATATCTTCTTCCTCAGCAGCGCTTCTTTGTACAACAACATAACACTTATCATTACTGTCTGGGGACCTATTACGTCTTCTGTTCTTTTGCAGTCGACGATCTGCCAGTCAACAAATTCGTCCCTCGTTGGATTGAGGAAGATGCTCACTCCCCCTACCGTTATTTTGGAGATGTTTTTGTGGTGAAAATCAGTCCGGATGAGGTTGGGCAGGACGGCCGGGCTGTTTATGAAGACGTAGATCCGCTGTTTCTGGATTTCCTGGTTGATGATGCTGCCTGTTCAAAGACACTCATTCCCTTGCTTCACCGACGAGAGGGACAGAAGATGATTGGAAGTCTCAACATTTTTTAAATACACAGAGGACAGTGAAATTACATGAGGTATTGCGGAGTGTTCATCAAGTCAGTAGTCTGATTGTTATGTAGTGTGCCATAGTTCGGCAGTTTCAATATACAGCTTTAGCTCTCAGTACCTAGATCTACATCTTGTAAGTCTCAAATCCCTTTGGCTCTATTTGATCCTCTCACCTTAGTACCTACCCACTAATATTTTAGGGAGACACACATATTCTATACTATTCACCGCCTAATCTATACTAGGTAAGTAATTGCCGGGCCCTCGCTCAAAGTCTTGTATATCAGAAAAAATTAATGTCAAGTCGCTTGTTACAGGGTAGCTCCTGTACTGTTGGCTCACCGAGCCCAACTCCCAAGGCAGCAGCACCAGCTCGGTCAGGCCACCAATCAGAGGCAGCAGCACAGCAACCTTCCAGCTCACTACCCAATTCATTCATTCTTTCCAACTAAGAGACTCTAGGCACCTTCGCCACCACTTTGCGAACCACTCACAAGCATCAGGACATGTGTCCTCTTTCATAGCGTGAGCTTCTCTCATGCGCATATTCAACCACAAAAGTGTATAGTTGATCCTTTGCCATCAACTCAACCTCTTTCTCTGGCCATTATCCCAGGACAGCTTCCATTTCAGCTACACACGCATTGCGTCATGGAGCTGTGAAGCCCTGAGCTTCTCCTCTGATATACATCCAACCAAATTCACCTACATCAAAGCTCATCACCAAACAATCTCCATCAAAATGCTCCTCGAAACTCTCCTTCTCGCACTCACCCTCCCCTTCCTCTCCCTCGCCGCCCGCCCTAAAAACGCAATCCTCCTCTCCGAAGTCCGCACCCTCACCCTCCGCGGCAATGGCGCAAAAACCGCCTCCCGCCGCGTCGCCCCCGTGCCCCAGCTCAAATGCATCTCCTCAAAGGCCGTCTGCGACCTCTTCCAAATCGACGTCATGCGCTGCACAAACCAGGGCTCCTCATACGGCACCGAAGACATCGAATGGAGCTGCAGCGCTTCCTTACCTGAGGAGTTCAAGCTAGGCAGCACAGATGTCATCTGCGAAGGCTACGCTTCTTCTGATGATCCTTATGTATTGAAGGGCAGCTGTGGCGTCGAGTACAGGTTGATACTCACCGACAAGGGCGAACAGCGGTATCCGGACGTGGCTAATCCGAATGGCCGCTGGTTCAGTGACGGCGAAGGAGGAACGGATCTAGGCGCTTGGGCATTTGCAGTCATCTTCTTCGCGGTCCTCGGCTGGATCATCTACTCAGCATGGCGTAATGGGACCAACCCAGATCAGAGACGTCCAGGAGGAAGAGGTTATGGCGGAGGAGGCGGCGGTGGCGGCGGCGGCGGTTGGGGTCCTGGTTGGGGTCCAGGAAACGATCCACCACCACCTTATCCAGGCACGAAACCTGATGAGACCCAGCAAGGATGGAGACCCGGATTTTGGAGCGGGCTTGCTGGAGGAGCAGCCGCTGGCTACATGGCGGGAAATCGAAACAACCGGCGGGAAGAGAGATATCCCACACGTGGATGGGGTGCTGGGCCTTCTGGGTCACAGCCCTCGTCATTTGGCTCTGGCTCGAGTTCCAGTTCAAACTCGTCCAGATACGAAAGCACAGGTTTCGGTTCGACACGGCGCAGATAAGATGGTCATATGTAATGTCAGGGTTGAGTCTAGTGAGGCACCAAGTGCCAGCATAGTATCTAGTAGTCACGAGATGAAGGAAAAAATAAGGAACAAATAAAATTAACATAAGGGTCAGAATGGCGCCGAGTTTCGGCTTTTCTCTTATCCAACCCGACCTCGCTCCCCATAGAGCTCTCTTGGGCAGTGGGCTAGCATCTGCCTATCATGTTTCATATTATGTACATTGGTGGAAGCATTTCCCATATCCTTCTTGCTCGTTAAAACGTACACTTGTGCCACATTGTCCAACCACGCCTACCCCTATAACCTTTCCCGGAACAAAGGAAAGAGAGAAACAATAAAGAGAAAAAGGAAAACAAACAAGCAAATTGGTAACAAAAACAGCCTCGGCCGCGGATCCAACCGCTAGCAAACACCCTCTTGCGCCAGTTAACACAGTGAAAGAGCTCGTGATAATCCTCTAGTCGTTCCCCCCGTAGATCCAAATGCAAAAAGACCAATGCAGAATAAAACAGTACGGAACGAATGAATACAACTTCTGGACGATACATGACGGTGCTCATCGGTTCATCTCAGAGGGAATGATGCTGGTGGGCTCAGATTTAAAAGTGAACCTGCATGACATCCATCTTGTCAAACGCCCTTGAGCAGCTAGGACACTTCCGCATACGGTTGCTTATGCGGTCATCCACACATTTGTTGCAGAAAAGGTGGCCGCAAGTCTTGAGCGCAGTGTTTTTGAAATTGGTGCGGCAAACCGTACACAAGGCCATAGTCTGTTTAATTCACGAGTCAGAATGAGCAAATCATAGGGGAAAGAAAATAAGAGCAAATTCGCAAATTTTAAACGTACCCGTAGCATGTCCTCTTCCTCTGAAGAGTTGCTCAGCGCCTTATTCTTCCAGCTATCCCGGTCCTTCTGCATATGCTCAATTCGAACCTTGAGCTTCTCCACTTCGACCTCTTGCATTGCGTTTCGCTCTCGGATAACAGCCGTGGATGCGTCCTTGGACTTGACCAAGTTGGTCAAGTCTCCCACTTGCTTCGTGACAGATTCCGACTTTCTCACGGCCTCTAGGCTGTTGGATTCGATCTTTTTGCTTTCGGCGACCAGCGCCGCATTGGCCTGCCTCAAATCCGCCGATTGTTTCTCCAGATTGGACAGCAAAGTTCGGGTCTGAGATTCAAAGTCTTTCAACTGAGCAATCAGTTCGGCTGATTTTCCGCTCTGATGTCTTAGGGTTCGAATCTCGCTGTTTCGAGTGTCGGCATCCTTCCGGGCAGCAAAGTACTTTTGATCGGCTTTGCTCTTCTCAGCAATTAGGATCGCCACCTTCTCCTCCAAGGCAGTGAAATCAAGCACCTTCTTCTGAGCAAGATCCTTCATCTTCTTGTACGCCTTCTCCATAGCCGGTAGCTCTTGGTTAATGGAGTCGAAATCTTGCCTCAGCTTCTTGTATCTTTGCCGCAGGTCCTCCTCTGAAATATCGTCCACGTCCGCCACATCACCAGTTTCTTCACCCCCTGCTGGTTTCAAGCGAGCAAGTTCCAACTCTAGCGCAGATATTCTGTCCTCTTTTGCTGTTACAAGCTCTTTGATGTGCTCCATTGCGATCCGTTCCTGCTCTGCATTCGCCCTGCGCTGCATGTTTTCTGCGAGTATCTCGTCCCGAGCAGACCGCACGCGGGTCAGGTCCTGGTCTCGCGCGGCAATATCGGCTTCATAGTCCTGTGCCACCTGATTCATATCTGCCTCGAGCTGGGTGCGGAATGCCGTTCGCTCTGCTTGGAGCTTTTCCGCCTCCTCGCGCAATTGCTTGTTGGTGGCTTCCAAGGTGTTGATCCGCTTGATGAGGTCCTCGTTTTGACTCTTGAATTGCTTAAACACATCTGTGCGGATGTAATCTTCGTCTGACAGAGTTTCTCGCCGAGATTTCAGGCTTGTGTTTTCCTCTTGCAGGGTTTTGAGCTCTGCGAGAAGCGCCTCCAGTTGCTCCTTTTGTTTCGTCGCAGCCGCCGTGGCCTCTTCATATTTCACCAACAGCTCGTTTGCACTGCCGTTTGGTTCACTGGGTTCTGATCCTCCCTCGGTGGGCGTAGTCGCGGGCCGTGTAGCATTAGCAAATGCCTGCTGCTCTAGCCTCTGAACTTGCGCGCTCTTGGCACGGTCGAGCTTCTTCTCGGCTTTGAAATACCTAAGCGTCGCGGCGTTGAGTTGCTCTGACATTTGTTCCTTGTCTGCGCTCAATCGGTCGAGCTTTAGGAGGTATTCTTTCTGGGCCGCTAGAAGGCTGGCGATTTGGCTTTCTAGCTCAGTTGTCTTGGGTGAAATATTTTCCCTCTGGGCTGCGAGTTGGGTGAGCAGTGATTCGGCCTTGGCTTTGATCGTCTTTCCCCTTTCCTGTAGATGAGCTTGGAAATCATGTAGGTTTTTGAAGCTCACGGCCGTGAGGTATGGAGTATCTAATTCCTCAAGAGTTAGAATTCGAACATATAATGAACGGAATATGCATATATAGCGATAAGGCTTACCCCTAGGCTCCGCAGTCGGTACTTTGGACGTAACCAATAATTCGAGTTCTTCTAAACACTATGCCATTGTTAGTCCAACGGCGAAATAGACATTGTCCTCGGAATTGCATACCTGTCGCCACCAAGCGTCAATAATTCGCAAATGATCGTCATGGTGGACGGATCGTTTGTGTAGCTCTTCTAGACGCGATTCGGCTGTCGACGCCTTACGACTGTACTCCTGCATTTGCCGATATATCGCTCCCTTTGTATATGCCTGATATACCTAGTCAGCGCCATGTGCCCCTTATATATCGCGAGAGTCGGTGTATAGGAATGACGAGGTGGGTAGAATCACGGTGGACGCAGCGCGCGGTAGGGTGAAGGATATGCAGAGCGGATTATTGAAGATATTTTTGTGGAAAGCAAAGAAGCCGCTGACTGCTCTCGCTAAGCAATGAGCAACATCACTAGCTTGGTGAGCACTATCATCCAGCAACGAGGCCCCAACGAGGGCTGCAGCTGACAGGGCGAGCAGGTTGAGTGCGGAAAATGGCAAGGCAAGGCGTTTGTGACAGTGGCGAGACGCAATCCCGCAAGTCGGGGCGCCTCGCGGGTTGGATGGGACGGGGCAGTGGGATCATGCGACACTTACTTCGATCCAGGTATCTTCCTTCATGTCCGTGTTTTCGTCCTTGGCCTTGGACCCATTGATGGCAACCCTCTTGCTGGGAGGAGCCAGGTCTTCGGCGCCGCTGATGGCGGGTCTCTTCCTGTCCTCCATCTTCACGAGCGTGGATGGACGAGGCGAGGCAGAGGGGGTCGTTGCAACAGGCATGAGAAGGCGCGTCAGGGAGGGTCGGCAGGGAGGAGAGGGGAGGGACAGAGGGGAGAGAAGCACAAGCAACGAGGGCTAGAGGGCAGGCGTCGGCTTTGTACTGCTCGCGCGGGCGGTCATGCAAAGGGGCGCGACGGTGAGCGTGAGGATGATGGAGAGACGCAGCCCGGCCAGGAGTTGAAATTTCGAAGTTGCCTCGCAAATCAAAGAGGCACGTCTGCGCGCCAAACAAGCCTAGTGCCGCGCTAGCCTCATCGAGTTTTGCTGCTTATCGTCTGCGTATGCATGAGCCGGCAGAACATCGGATGCGCTTCTGACGCACCCCACTTCTGCAACCAACTTTTCTGGCTTATCCGAGCAATCCTTGGGCGCATCTGCAAAAAAATTGGCCGGCCGTTTGACTGGTGGTGACTAGGTTGCCAAACTTTTTGTCGACTCTGCGCCGCATCAATTTTCCGTCCATACATATCAAATGGATTAACTTCCAACCCCCAAAAGGCAGCGCTTCGTCTTTCCTTCCGCACTCGCACAATCAGCCCGAAATGAGTTCCATGTTTAAAAAGAAGGGCGGCCTTGCCTTCAAGCCAAAGATCCCATCTGCTCGCCCACGCCCCGCGATCCCCGCCACAGATGTTCAAGTCGAGAAAGAGGTCGTCGAGCCGGAGTCAGTAGCGATCGCGGCGGTAGAAAGCCCAAGTTTAGATACAAGAGAGAGTTCCAGCAATGTCGCTAGCACTAGCGAGTCTGAGAATATCGCCTCTCCGGAGTCGTCCAGCATTGCGAAAACAAGCCCGATTGCTACATCTGAGCCGCCGACTCAGGATGTCTCTGGGCTGAAACCTCAAGAAAACACCGAAACGCCTGTCGAACAACAACCAAGCGTGCCAGAGATACCAGAAGTACCCCCTACTGTGGCGGAAGAAGCCGCGACAACAGGTCCGCAGCACTTTGAGCCACCGAATGTCCATAAACAACGAGAGATAACAGATGATAACATTGCGCCGGAACTTCGAGATCCACCACGCCCAACTCAAAACATCCAAGACACGGCGCAATCTTCATTACCCACAACCGAAGAAATCACACCGGTTGCTACTCCAGCACCATCCACCGGCCCGAAAACAAGAAGCAGGAGGAAAGCACCCGACTCGGCGCCAGAAAATGCCAATGGAGACGCAGACGCTGAAGCACCACCAAAGAAACGGCAGCGCAAAGCTGCGGCAAACGAAGATGGCGCCACTGCTCCGAAACCCAGACAGCGCAAATCATCCTCTCGGGATGGAACAGCAACACCCCAAACACGGGCGAGGCGAGCCCGCTCAGTAACGCCAGACGACGCAGAAACCCAGATTGTCGATTTGCAGAACCTGAAAATGACCGACTTGACAAAAGATCTGCATATTGGCAAAAAATTCAGCCGCCACGACGAACTACGGGAGCGAGAGCGACAGTCTAGAATAAAGGCCAAGCTCAAGAAGGTGCTTGGCGACAGCAGCCGCGATGGATCAGAAGCACCAGAGACACCCCAAGACGACCCGTCCATCAAAAGCAAGAGCGCTACGCCCACTGCCATGCCCACGCCGGCAGCGCCACCTGCTTCTGGCCCCCAATTCCGCATCGTCGACGGCCAGATCATCATCGATCAGAGCTCGCTGGTTATGGACAGACACGCTCGCGCCGCGGCTACAAGAGGGGACATGGAAACCGTCGAAGAAAACGACTTCACGCGGCTCATCACAAGCAGCTCCTTCATGAACACCTCCAAGCTGAGAGGACCCAACATCTGGACCGATGAGGAAACCGAGCTGTTCTACCGCGGCCTGCGCATGTTTGGCACGGAATTCGAGATGATCTCCAAGATGTTCCCCAACAAGCAGCGCCGGCACGTCAAGCTCAAGTACAACCGCGAAGAGCGCCACTGCCCGCACCTCATCAACGCAGCCCTAATAGGCGAGAAAACAGTGCGCATCGACATTGACGAGTACAAGGCCTTTACGGGCATTGAGTTCGAGTCCGTCGAGTCCATCGAGGCCGAGCAGCGCAAGATCCAGGAGGACTTTGAGGCCGAGCAGAAGCGCATCGCCGACGAGCAGGCCGAGGTCATGCGCAAGAGGCGCGAGGAGCTGTTCGCCGACGAGGACGGAGAGGACGGGAAGAAGAAGAAGAAGGGCAAGAAGAAGGGGAAACAGACTGTGCAGTACGGGCTGAATGGTGAACCGATTCTTGCAGGGGAAGCTTGATTGATTGACTGATTTCCCCACCTAATCAGTCAACTCTTCGTTGTTATTTAATTCGGAGGTTTCATTTTGTCTTCTTTTTCAAGTTATTTAGCATAGAATCGGCGTTTGGAGAGAGAAACAGACAGACAAAGCTCGGGCAAATCACTAGGGACGGAACGATGATACCCCTCATATTTTCTGAGAAAGGGGGTTTTTGCGATGCTATTCATTCGGCATTCATTCGGACAAAACACTCATCTTTCTTATCAAGAAGCGACAAGAAATGAAAAAAAACATATACTTCAATTTTTTTTTCTCTCCTTTTGCCATTACTGCGTGTGAATCCTAAGCATATCAGTCTTACTATTTACTAAAGGGGAGATAACAGTTGACGGGCTCAAGACACAATTGTTTTGCTTTAACGACGTTTTTTTGTGGTTGCCAAATTCGATTCCAATAACTTTCATCTGACCTGTCAAAGCGTCCCATCTCACTCTGTCCTATCAGTCCTGCCCCGGGTCCATTAAGCCGGCGATTTCATTCCTCTGGCCTGGCCAACCCGCGAACGATACTTGGTTTTCAAAAAGCAATACGATTGCAGCCGTCTGCCATGGGGCCATCCTACGCCTTTATGTTGCCAAGTCGTCATAATAGTCTTCGATTTGTCCCTCCTAGCCTTTCCTTACGTATTATCGTATAAGACCCTTCAATCATTTCTCAGCGCCCAAGCGGGGTTTAGGTTTTTTCCGTTTTCTTAGTTTGAAGGTGGTTCATCGTCCTCTGGCTGATCGAACAGGAAGTTGGCCGCAAGCTCCTCATTCTTGTCGCATGCAAAGTAGGCCTGGATAGCCTGGTCGCGGTCGAATCCAAGTCGACATAACTGAGAAATAGTTAGCTGAAGCCTCAATAATTACCCCAGCTTCAGAGCTTGAGAAAAAGAAACTAACCCGCTCGATAGCATCGCGCTCCTCCTCTGTGACGGAAATGGCTTGGGCACCAGGTGGCAGAGGAACATCATCCTCAGCATCCTCACCGAGCAGCTGTAGAAACTGTTCTGGATTTGAGGCAATCAGCTGGGCCAGCTGTGGGTTCCCTGCACCAAGCTGCTGAAGGATGGGCTCGAGCATTTGGGGTGACTGCTGAACCACTTGACGAAGCTGTTGGAATTGAGGGCTGTTGCGAAGGAAGTCGAGGTTACCCAACTCGGCTTGGGCGGCAGCAGCACCAGGCGACAGGGCACCGCCGGTTTGCCCGGCGGCGGCGCCTCCACCTCTCCGCTGAGCAGCGAGATCAAACAGATTAACAGCGTCGGAATCGTCAAGAGGGGCAGCGGCTGGAGCGGCGGCCTGAGGAGGGGAGACTGCTCGCTGCGTCTGCTGGACGCTCTCTGGGATACCCTTCGGACTACAGTCAGTGGAAACTATCCTCTGGGAAGGATTCAGAAGTGCTACCTACAGTGAGAAGGTACTCGACAGCTCGGTCAGGGTTGTTGAAGGCAGCGCGCATGGCGGCCTCGATCTGGGTTCTCTCGAAACCCATAGCTTCCATGTTTGCGATGGCCTCGGCGCGCTCAGAGCCCATGGCCAGGCCAGAGGGCGTGCCGGTGGAGCGGTTGGGAGTCGGAGTCGCGGGGGGAGCGGCGGCTTGAGTAGAAGACTGGACGGGGGCGGGGGGTGCAGCAGGAGTGCTGGCAACTGGCGGCGCAGGAGTAGCTGGAGGTGCTGCAGCAGCAGCAGGAGCAGCAGCAGGCTTAGGCTGTTTGGCAGAGATTAGGCGATGGACAATCGCAGCAAGGCAATCAGGGTATCGAGGCGTACCTTGTTCACCATGCAGACAACGAATCCTTTCTCCTCGATATTGTAGGACTGGACAGTATCGTCATCTTTCAAGATTTTTCCTATGCCAAGTCAGAACCAGGGCAGTGCGACGAAGCTAAGCTTAAGCCATGTCAAACCTGAGTAGATGAGCTTTTGGCTCTTGGGGTCCCAGCCCTTCTCGGCCGAAATCTTCTCCTTGACGGCGGAGATCTAATCAAAGACATGTCTGTTAGCGAGTGATGGCGATGGAAGCGACCGCATATGGAAATGCCATCGGCAAAGGCGGCGTGGCGAAAGACGTACTTTGTCTGTGGGCTCGACATCGAGGACAAATTTTTGTTGCTTGAGATCCTGGAGAAGAGACAGTCGTCAGCTAAACTGATCAGGAGCCGAAGGGAAAGCCGGCGGTCACGGCGAAGGCTATACGAGGCCCCGCGCATGCTGATCCAGAGCCAGCGACAAGACATACTCTAAATGTGACCTTCATGATGGGCAGATGTGGTGTTGCAGCGAGGAGGCTGCGTCGGCTAGGTGAGAGGTGGAGCGGGATGCCTAGCTGCTGTCGTGCCAGGCGGGCAGAGGCGGATCGATGCGCGAGAGTCGAGCAGAGGGAGAATGACAAGTGCGCCGCAGTGCGTGAGTTGCTATCACAGATGCTGTGCTCTGGCAGAGTGATCTGGATAGGATTTTGATGATATGTCGAGGCAAAGTTGGAGGAGAGGTGGCGCGGGCCGGAAGTTGTTCAGGCTGCCCTGGGCTTTTGGAGAGGGCGGGGTCGCTCTCGCTCTGAGCCTGTGTGATCAATGATTTCCAGTGGTGGAGAGCGGCAGAAGCGCTGGACCACCCCACAGCACAGCACAGCACAGCGCAGCGCAGCGCAGCACAAGGGAATGCCCTCACCTCATCTCGCCTGTACTTGTACTTGCCGCAGAAGGTACCGAGGCCATACATGCAGCTTAGTTTGCCTTTAACGCTGGCCGTTTCTGCGACGCTGATGCTGGAGTCGTGACTCTGCCAGCAAGTATATGTCTACCTGGTACCAGCAGCGGTCTCATGTGCTGTACCCGATGGCCGTCACTGAGCTGGAATTCACTAAGCGCGGGCATGGCAAGAAGTTGAGGTGACATGGCTCTGCTCAGAGTGTGTAGCCTACTAAGGTAGCAGTTTATCTTCAACACTTGCAGCAACTCATGTACCTACATACCATTACAAACAACTGCTAATGTTACCTATTTGCTGCAAATATGTTACAGCCGTTGACTCTCTCCCAATGCTACCTTATGTTACGTATTTCCCCAGTATCCAAATCCATCTGCATGCTGCACTGCAGCCTAGCCTCGCTGATGACATACGCACGCCGCTACTGCCTGCTGCCTGCCTGCCGGATGCACGCATGCATGGTATCGATATCATTATCGTGATAAGCGCAATCATAGGCCATTGATACGTTCAACTTAAGGCAATCGCTGCCCTCTGCAGAAACTTGGCAACTGCACCTCAGCCTTAGACCAGCACATGGTGATTTTCTAGCGCCGCTTAAGCTTTGTACCCAAGTACTCGTATTTCATGTTGATGCCTCAACCTCAACAAAATCTGTAACATCGTCATGTCGCTCCACCATCCAACAACGCTCGCAGAACTCTATATCGGAGCTTTGCGTGTGAAATATGCGCAATATGTTCTAAATATGTTACTACCTTCCCACTCATTTGCCTTTAGCCGTCCAACAGGACTTGACTCCTCCGTGGCTTATTAATTCACTTAACAACATGTAGAATGAGGAATATGGAATATGGGGGCCTGACAAGTGTGTATACAATTCTGATTTTATTTTGCTAAATATCGTATACCAACGAAGTGAAGCGAAAAGAGTTTGAGGTATGTGTAATATATATATCCAACGAAAAAGAGATTTAAAAAGTCATCCAACGCCACGCTCATCTAAAACTTTGGCCAACAACAAATGGTATCATCGCCATGTCCGTCCATGTCCTTCTAACTTATATATTTCCCATTTGTTTTCCGTTTTTCTGGCGTTCTCGGTGAATTTGATAAAGAGTGCGGTTCGTTAATTGTATGAAGAAGAGAATAAGAAATTTTCGCATACGTTAAGTCGTTAAGTTGGACCCTTGTGAGCTCTCATCACAGCTCCCTCCGTAGCCATTCAGGCGCAGGAGGTGCCATTCCCCTGTCGGCAAAGTCCTGCCCGCTGAGATCCAACTCAGACCGATAGGCCTTGAGCGATCTCGAGTCGAAGCTATCATTCCTGGCGAAGGGGTGGGGTGCAATTGGCAAGCTGTCGCTTCGGAAGCGGTTGAGAGAAGCATTGCTCGATCGATGGACAATGACCCGTGCCGCATCTGGAGCTGCCATGACAATGGTGCCAGGAGTCGCGAAAGGATGCGGGTCAGGAGAGTCGGATCGGAACAGAGGGTGGATGTGAGCCTCGCCGCTTGAGCTTGGCAGATCACGAAGCTCACGTCGAATGGACACAGGGCTGTAGCTTCGGCTGCGGCGTCGGGTTTGAATACGAGGCGGCTCGAGTTCAGTAAAGGACTGTGGTGACGGACTCCGGCTGGCCACGGGGCTTGCGGGAATCGTTTCCAGTCCGCGAGGCTTGCTTTGCGTTGGTGTCGAAATCTCCAGCACCGCCTCTCGGTTGTGTACGTCTACCGCGGAGGTGTCCCAGGAATCAAAGGCATCGTCGGCCATGGTGCTCCGGTTGGCAGTTGACTCAATCGACATGGAGCGGCTCCTCTCCTTAGAGGAGCGCATCTTTGACTTGCTCGAGACGGACCGGATTGACTGAGCCACATAAGTCACGGACGATGCAACGGTCTCAGCTATTGACTTGCCGTCAGCCGAATTAGAGCGGCTTCGACTTCCTCGACCATCCAGTTGCGCCATGGGGCTGGGTTGATCCACGATGGGCATCGTCTGGCTGTATCTAATAGCCTTTAGGTTGATCTTGCGCGCGCGTCCCGACTCCTCGTCTTTGCGGGCTGGCCAAGAGATGCCAGCGGCGTCCGTTGAAGCGGGCAAGACCTGGTAAACAGTATATACGAGTTGACTAGAAACAGCCAGTCCAAGAGTGACAGAAGATCCGACGAGGAGGTGTTTATTCGCGCCTCCATCGTGCTTTGTCAAGTATACCAAGCCAACGAGCGACGTTACAGTCGCAATTACACCAGCCGTGATTTCGAGACCAAAGAAAATCCCCCGCCAGAGTTTCGACTGCCCCGGGAATGTAGATAGAACATCAGCTGCAATTAGCCATCCGAGAATGATCAAAATCGCAGCATCGAATATAGCAGCGATAGTCGATGCTATCCTGCCCGGCGATGTCTGGGAAATGCTGACGCTAACTGCGCTTTGCGTGCACATCGTGGCCATCGTCGTGATGAGAGCAAACGCTCCCAATGCCAAAGAAATCATTCGAGCCATTGCGTTTAGAATGAGAGTCGCCAGCCAAAGGAGGAAATTCGAAAGAAGGAGAAAAGGAGTGCTCGTGGAAGAATTCCAGTATGAAGGAGGGGACTGAAACACAGAGGCTTGCGGCAGCCAACTGATTGGTCACCAACGAATGACGATGCAGGCGCCCAGAGGCAGTTAACCGACAGCTTAGCCAGGAATATAAAACGATGAGATGTAAAGATAAAAATAACAATTGATTGCAGCCAACAAAACGATCCCAAGGTGCAAGTTGTGATGCTGCTGGGCTGTTCGGCTCTAGTGCGATTGCCTAGGCCCGGCAGATGGTGGGATTCCGGGGCTTGTGATTTTTGTGATAAGTGACAGTCGAGACAGGTGACAGCAGCCACGGTACAAGTAAACGAAGGTCGGCAGAAAAGCCAGTAATAGTTGGTTTCATTGATTCGATTGGGTCGGGATGGGAAAAGAGTGTTACAATGGCTTGGGAGCAAGCATTCCGAAGGAGAGGGGAAGAGATTGTGAGTCCAACAGGAGGGTGGATTACCTGCAGAGAAAAGAGAAAACAGAAGAAGAGGAGGGAAAAGAAGGAAAGGCAAAAGGCCGTGCCTGGGGATGAGGGGGAAGAGCTACACTAAAAGCTGGCGGAATCTCATGCTGTCGGGGAATATTGACGCGTTCGGGGGTGTCATGGATTATACAAGTACGAAGTAACAAAGTAGGCTTTTGTGCTAAACAAGGTGCGCGGAAGGGCATCCGGGCAGTGTGGACTTGGGAAGCAAAGCGAAAAAAAAAAAGTGAGATTTTTTCTTCGCCGGGTGGATGCAGGGAACAGGGGACGGCACATCTTGGGAAGGGCAACCTTGCATCGTGACAGGGGTTTGTCAAACCTTGGGTTGCTTGGCCTTCAGCCCAGCTTGTTGTTGTTTTTTCCTAGTACTGTACTCGTAGTATAAACAACATGGGCCCGGGAGAAAAGATGGCGGAGCAGCCGGAGAGCCTTGCTCGTGTGCCTGGAACTTGGCCGGACGGCACTTTTTTAGTGCCGGGTACTAACGTTTGGAGCAAGCTTGGTTTTTTGCCATGTGCAAGCTACTCGTACTTGGTACATTGTACATTTTTTGTGCGATTATGTCGGGCCAAAAGTATATTATATGACCATTGCCAATAGATGCAAAACATGCTTTTGTGCTTCGTATGACCAGCGCCGAGATGGTTGTATCATATACGAAAGAGAACACGGCAGTTGCTGGACTCGGACGAGCATGCCCAAAGCAGACACAGGACTCAGCTCGCTATGCCCATGGTTTAAACTATGTGAAAGTCAACTTGATCTTACGGTATCAACCCTTGGTGGGCTTCCAAACCCACATTCACTCATCAAAGTGGAAATGGAAGGGATGAAGAAAGACAAGAGAATACAGTAATAAGTCACAGACGAAGCCATTCGTTTTGAAGGGCCTAGGGTGCGAAACCCCGATACCGCCTGGCCTCTCTCTCTAGGCCGCGCAAAAGACAGTGCAAAGAACCAAAGGAGGTCCACGGCTCTGGGACAACGGCCGCGTTCCATCTTAGCACTTGGACGAATTTGGTCCCGGAGTCATGGAAACTCCTGGCACGGAGTCATCGGGGGGGTCGGATCCATAATTCGGGCAGAGACTCCATCGCAGTGACAGGCACGGGAGGAGAAAACAGTGAAGAACTTTCCAGCTCCATAATTGCACACACTGTCTTTATTTAGTATTTCATGGATGTTATTTGGTTATTTTCCCTTAAAACTGGGCCAAGGTTGTTTTTGTTTGCATGGCCCTATCCCACTTGGTTCGTCGCCCGGCTTCGCAATCCCCCCCGTCTGAGTTAGGGCTCGGTTTGATTCCATGATAGACCCGAGGTTGGCATTTCTCGGGAAAGCTTCTTTCCCTTCCTCTTTGGGCTGTGAAATCATAGGTGCCGTCGGATTATGAATACGGGAATTGGGTAGTACAATGACGAGTGGTCGTATAGAAGCTTTTTCTACTCTTACGGATTACTCTTATAGTGCTAACCTAGAGAATACCCTTCGCATCTGCCGCTGTATACATCATACAGAAGAAGCCCAGGCAACCAGCATCCCGTATCCAAAATTACACAGTACATAAGATTGATAGCTACTTGTCTCGTAATAGAAGAAAGTAGCGATATCATTACCGAAAAGCTCCGAATCGCTGTGATACTCGCACTGTAGCCGCTGGCTTGCAGGACATCCACTCCCTACAGCACGTATATGCAAAACGAGAATGCACAAGCAAGGGAAATCTCGTTGAGCGGCCCATTTTCGCTTCTCTCTTCGTCATGTGCCTAACCATCCATCCCATGTCCGCATCTCACTCTGTCCGTGTCTTCGTCAGCTTTCTCATCTCATCTCAGATTTGTCTCTTCCCCCGTGGCCGAGTGGAAACCGTTGCCGGGCTGCCCTCCCCTGAACAAGAGACAAGAGCCACGTTTTGTAAGGGCGACTGGGAAGACAGATTACTCAGAGACAAAATAGAGCGTCCTCCGTTTCAATGTCTCTCGGGCCCCAAAATCCCCTTGTCAATTTCCATGACAGCAAAGCTTCCCCCCGAGCTGAGACGCGAAACACAGCGCGCAATCAATGGAAACATGGCCCCCGACTAAAGCGCCGCAGTGGCTTGCCGTAGTAGTACCAGGTAGCAAGCAGCATTAGAGCTGGAGCGTGCTTTTTTTCAGCGGTCTCAGTACCTAGCTTCAAAGTGCGCAGGTGGAGAGCCCCCTTTTGGGCTGTTTGCTGTGTGCCCCGAGCATCAAAAACAAGCCTCACGATGACGACGAAGTCTCACCAAAGGGCTGCAGAACATGTTCGTCTCAGCCCCAGAGGGCAATCTCGCCAGAATTCCTCAGCCACGTGCGACAGGATCTGCGACATTGGGCGGTGTTGAAGAAAAAAAGAGCCCTGGAGCCGTCGCTTTTTCTGCAGGGAGAGTGAGAAAAGGTCCCCATCGGTACCTGCATTGGCGGCTCATCTGCACGTAATCATTTCCCTCCTTTTTTTCGTCTTCACTGTTTGCAACGGCTGTTCGCATATATATTAGGAGCAATATACCGGTACAAACAAAGTACCCAGGTCGGAACGCCTGAAAAGGGAAATCAGTGCGATTGATCTTTAACACTTGGACTGAGTGTGTACCCGTATTAGCAATCAATTTGTTCCCAGTACACGATTACATCAAATCCATTGTTCCTGAGCACAGTGCAGTTACTACTTGCACACTCAGGCACCACAACGTGCGGCCCGCCGCGGAATCCAAACTTCACCAGGCACCGGCAAATTCCAAAAAGCTACCGCTTCAGGCAAGGGGCCCTTTTGTCGCTGTACGAGTTTGCGTGCTTGCACTGGGTCTTCTATCTCTTGCGTCCCAAGTGGAGCGGGATCCAAACTGCTGAAGGCCCCTTGCAGCTCAGCTTACCAAGTACTTTGAAGCGATTCCACGGATTGGCCAGTAGAATGCAAACAAAATTGGAGGCGCCTGCAGGCCTGTCCTGTCCCAGCTGAGGAGCCGTGGGCTATTTTCTGCGAATCCTGACTAAATGATGCAAGTATGACAAGTGCTGCATGGACAGTAACGCACATGCGTTTTCTGCATTCCTGTTGATCTTTGTACAATGGCGGTTTGTCTACCTTCTAAAGCAGGTTGATCACATCACATCACTTTATGTCTATTTTTAACAATGATAAGGTATTGCCAAGTTGTCCGTGGCATGACGTCAACTTGCACAGGGTCTCTCCAGAAGCAGCAACGTTCCATTACCAGAAAGAGCACGTCCAATGTAAGATAATCGGACAGCAATCGGAGGCATTGCCTACCATTGAATAAACGACAGGATATTCCTCGCTCAAAGTCCGATTTCGCTCTCTGCACCTACAAGGGAAAGCGAGATTGAATGCTACGCTGATTTATCTAATGAAATGAAATCGAATTGCCAGAAAAGTGACAGCAAAGTACTCCATACGCCGATCTACCTTATTCAAGATGCAATGCTAGGGTAGGTGTCAAAAAAGACCGGGTCGGATTCTAGAAATGTTCTATTCACGGCAACATCGCGATCTACTTCCTTGTTGGTGATTCCAATTCTTATCGCGTGGCCTTCTTCTTCGTTGTCATTCATGGTCCATGCATTTGTGTCACCTGTTCCAGCCCAGCTCAACTTCTTTGTCTCGCATACCAGCGACAAAGTCTGTGCTGGAGTAGCAATGATTTGCTACCTCCTCCATTCCAGCACAAAGGCTGATCAGCTCAAAGATGGCCTTTCGTGGGGTTGTGGCCCCTTCGACACTCATGTGATATCTACAACGTGTCGTGCAAGTGCCGATAAGCTGCCTTACCCATTGGTGACTGTGGCAACCATTCTAATGTATAGGTGCCTTATCATGAAGCACAGACAATGGGAGGGGGATTCTATTTACACGTATCGAAGGATCCAGCTATCAGGTTCCTCTTCTTGGCATCCTAGTGGGCTCCATGAAGAATGTTTGATGAACGGGAATTAGACTGGTATACTACTCTTCATCCCGATAATCTATTACTGTCTATTAACTCTTCCTCTTCGTCAACTTTTGACTGTTTTATCTAGCATAAAGCCCCAAGGGATAATCTCCCTCGCATATATACAACCGTCTCGGTACAAATTAACTACTATATTCATAGGTACAGAAGGTAATATCTACAAGCACAGACCATACTCAACACCCTACACATTACTCGGCTCAACGTTGGCCCTGTGCACCTCTATGCCAAACCGTTGCTATTTGTCTCCCACACAGAGTCACCTGGTCTATCACATGGCCTTTGCACGGACACACAAACGTCTGTGTGTCGATTGCATCCTCGTATACGCGGAACCGTGCGGTCGCGGTATCCAATTCATGCACCCGGTCCTCTCAATCTTGGAGAACCTCCCCTTAACTGTACAGTGAGAGAGCTGGGTTCCAAAGCCGAACCTTGAGGATTCGATTCCTTAGCTTCGATTACAGGAGATTTGACACGGGTCGTTTCCTCGCCTAAACGGATATCGCTATTATTTCCCAAGGAACAATTCTCATTTGCACGCTGCCTGGATTGTTTCAAGGCTGGTTCCCGCTATTTCTGACCATGACCCTACCAGCCCGTCGGATACCGCGTCGATCAGGCTGTCGCACCCCATTTAGGTTCTGAGGAGAGGGAGATTTGTCATGTTCACACTCTGTACGTATCCGAGGCATCTCGGATATCCCACGACATTGACTCGAGGCTTGGCTAATAATCGCTGCATGAGTCGTCGTCCTCGTACTCGTAATTGCCAAGTCTGCCTGATTTTGCGGCTCTAGTACTCCGTCCGAGGGTCAGCCAACTTTGACCACTCCTTGGCCCACCGTTGGGATTCTTCCTTTGACGCCTTGTCATCTCCAGATTCTGCAGCTTTTTCTAGGGCAATCTCCGATAATAGACTGAACATGTCAGCCCTGCCATTGGACGCGGCAGTGAAGAGGTGTCTCTCTGCCGCATCCCTGTCGCTTACGCGAAGCAATTTGCCGAGCTCAATGTCTGCCTCAATAAGCCCTATCTCGGACAGGGACTCGAAGATTGCTCGTGCTTCATCATGCCTGCTCGTCTTGACAAATGCCTTTCCCATGCATAGCTGACAGTAAGGCTTCCATTCGAAGCCTGCTGCCCCCACCTGGAGCGCCCGTTGAAGGGCTCTGATTGCAGCCTCGTAATTCCCCTGCTCATACTGCAATTCGCCCTCCACTGTTAGAGCGTCAGGGTCTCTGGCTGTCGAGACGAGTTGCTTGAATCGAGCTTCGACTTTTCGGAGCTGAGCGACCCGACCGTAGGCTCCTGATCTGGCAAGATGCCGAGCAAGCGACAATATGGAAGGCCGATAGCCGGCTTCGGATGCCGATGCCCAAAGGGCGGTTGCAAATGCATCTGCACTCCGAGGACCTCGGATTTGACGCATGATGCAAGCCGTCTCATGAATCAACTCGACGGGGAAGCCGTTTTCTTTAGCATAGATCAGTGACTAATCAACAACGAGTGATGAATGAAGATAGGGATAAAGATTAGCATACTGCCTGTCAATGTGGTAGACCATGGATCTGAGCCTCGGCTGATGGCCTCGTGAAACTTTTCGGCACATTTATAATACTCTTCTGGAGTATGCAGTTGAAAGGCATCTGGGTTTCTGCTGATAACAGCTTCTAAGGATGACTGCGGAATCTCAGATAATTTGAATACTTCGAGCGGTGATGGTCCAGTTCTTTGCAGCCTGGGGACCGCATAGTGTCGCGATTGTCCAAGTTTGCTAGGTGATGATGTTTGTCGCTGGATAATAGAATTCGTTGTGGAGGCAATTCTTAGTGAGCGTGCTGAAGAGACCAAAGGCCAAATAGCCTTGCAGTAGCGGCAGGTCGACATGATATTAGTCAAAGAGCCGAGTTGAATATAGAAACGCAGCTCTCATGCGTCACAATCCAATGGAGTGCTTGAAGAAGATGAATATCTCGGTTCTTCAAGCTGGCGTAGGCAGGGAGAGTAAATGATGCAGAACTGTCTCTTTGAGTGACTCTGATGAAGTGATGATTCAATTATCCAAAGAATTTGCGTGAAATCAGATTCTCATCGACCTTATCGACTTCGAATTTGCGTTATAGTTTCATGAGCCTGAGAATCGATGATAGTGATAATGTGGCTCGGACGATAAGTGAGAGGTTGCTTTTTGGGCGCATTCGCTCAAGCGGACGGCCAATCAGACGCGCTAACTCAGGACCCCACCGAAATTTTTTTGAGCTCGAACCTCAAACCATCGCAATCGATTAAGACGAAAAGTGAGTTCCAAGAACAAACAAAATCTCAAAAAAATATTTTATAAGGAGAAACGAACTTCTTATTCAATTTTATCGTCAATCGAGGAGGAATTGAAGTAACTCGTCAAGGAATTCTGGATATACGACGCGTCGGAAGCAGATATCAAACTCTGTGTGAAAATTTCACACAGCTGAATCTCATCGCCCAACATGGTTGTTCAGACCAGGAGAAGAAAGGCCCTGCAAGAGGCAGAGGAGCCAACAAAGTCAAGCCCCGCGCGCAAGATGCCGGTGAGGGAGAAGGAGGATGATGCGGATGTGCCAGCAAAGGCCACACCAGCAAAGGCAACGCCAGCAAAGCGTACACCAGCAAAGAAGACCACGCCGGCCAAGGAGACACCAGCCAAGGAGACTCCGGTCAAGGGCACTCTCATGGTTTTTGATGACGAAGATGAATCCGAATTTCAAACTCCAGTTGGCAAAGAAGATGAATCTGAATATAAAACTCCTACAGAGTCAAATAGCGCCCCCAAAGCAGCAGAGGTGGAAGACGAGGAAGAGGATAGCGACGATGAGGCACCCGAGGCTGTGTCCACCACCAAGGCCGCTGAGGACATCAAGAAGTCTGCTCAAGCCGCCCAGAAGGCTGCTCAGGAGTATGTTTCCCTAATGCCACCTTTGATATGTTCTTCCTTAGACTAATTATTTGACCAGGCAAGCCGCCTCACTAAAGCGCAAGCGTCAGCAGCGCGATGAGCTCCTCAAGAAACAAGCCGAGGAGCGCAAGAAGGCCGAAGAAGCCAAGCCGCAAAACGACCAGCCCGAAGCCAGGCAAACCAAATCTGACGCCAGAGCAAGGAAGCGAACAGAAAAGTCCCAGATCCCAACTGTCCTGCCCGCGGAGTTCCTGACAGACTCTTCGAGTGAAGATGAGGCCGATGATTCCACTGAGGTCGCCGCAGGACCCAAGAGGCGAAAGGTGGCGGGCGTCGAGAAGAGACTGACGCGCCTGGATGCCGGGCCCAAGGACGAAGTGGTCAAGTCGACGGTGTATCGGGTGGCCAAGAAGACGGACGAGAGGATGGCGCCGAAGCTGAAGAAGCACACGAAGTCTTCCAAGGAGCTGCTCTTGAAGCGAAACAGGCCTGCGGCTGCGAAAGCTGGAACTGGATTCTTTAAGAGGAAATGAAGTTTTAGGGCGGCAGCGGTCTACGTCGACTACCTTACATATGATGATACCCAAACCGTCATAACTACTACTTCTTCCCCGAGAGCGTTTGCTCAGAAGGATAATACATATATCGCATACCAGCCTCACCGACAACTTGAGGATGATTTGTCAACAGTATAAGCGGCAATTCAGACTCTAGGCGGCTCATACAATATCGTGGGTAAAGCACACGGGCGAAAACATCAATTCGGGAGGGAGAGCTTCTCCATAGACAACCAAGCGACAATTTTACAAAGTATTACTAAAAATGGCCATGGATTTGTTCTGTAAATATCTAGGTTCTATAGAATGGGAGTTTAATGTACATCTTTTGTGTTCCTGAGTCTCTCAACTGTACATGGGCTACTTGCATCTTTATTCGTGCATCTCTTTCCAGTAAATGGAAATTACTAGGCACCCAGTATCAAGATTTGAAGTGAGGCAATACCCTAAATGGCATTCTCAACGTTGATGCTTGTATAGATGAACGACTTGTAAACTTGGTTGAGAGTGTCTCATCCAAGTGTTGATCCATCATCTACTGATCATTCACATATGACAAGTCAATCATATCGGCACTCATACATGCCCAAACGGAGATAAACTTATCGTTCCTTTTCTCCCCCTTTTTTTTTCTTCCTTGTAGGTTTCTCCAGAATATCACATATAACAAAACGACCACAAAAAAGAAAAAAAATCCCCTTAATATACTTGTAACACAAACCTTGTTCATCTCACATTTCACCATCCACAGCGTCATTCAGCATCATCCTCTAAAAGGCTCTCTTCTTTTCTCCCCCTTCTCTATTTCCCTTTTCTCTCCCGATCAAAGGGTTACAGTCACACCTTTTTAAGAATGCAACGCTACAGGCGCTTGTGACGATATACGAGTACGTGCAGCATGCGTCTAAGCTAAGCGCCTCCGGATGCAACGCAAATACCTGCCGGCATGCCGCCTTGGGTAGCTAGATGTGGCATACTCGTATGTGCACTGCATTGCGATAACAGGTCATTTGGTCATTTGACTTAAGATCTCACCCAAATAGTGGCTACTTGGTGTTGACTGAATCCTTGTCCTCAGCTGGCAAAGGGACAACTCTGATGCCGTGTTTGTTGGGCCGCGGCGAGCTGATAATGATGATGATAGTGATGACGATCACGAAACGTGAGAGAAACAATGATCCTTGCATGTGAAACGCGGTGACTTCACTTCTCTACCCCAATCACCCGGGTGACTCCAGCTCTCATTGGTCTCGGCATATCATAGCGAGATTCTTGCAAAAAGAGGCGTCCGGCAACCGAAGCGGAATGTTCTCTCCGTCACGCTAAAGAGTCTATTTATACAGCAAAGGATCAGGCCAATTTACTTGATGTTCGCTTATATGCAGTACTCAGCCAACATGCGTGTGAAAGACCGTTCGAGAATCCAACCTGATATCGGATGTTCGGAAAGCGCTGCCGCAAAAGACATATCACATAGACCAAAGCCAATCTTTTTTTACAGAATTCACCATAGATCATGCTTACCCCTACCACTACTATAATTCTTGGCAGCTCAAGTCCAGCTTTGAAACGTCAGTATTGGTCAGGTAGGACTTGGCGTTTGGAAAATTTAGTGATCAACGACATAATTAGAAGGCAACCGGTTGAATGAGAGAATCATTGGTTCCGAATTGTAGGAAGCGCAGGAAGCGCAGATGGTAGTGCCCTTGCGAGGATCATCCCAGCTTTAAACGCATCATGCATGAAGTTTCGGGCCAATGGGAACCGTACGTCGCCATTCTGCTTTGACAGCAGCTTCCCAGTGCGATTGTATATTGCCACTCGCTGATATGGCTGCTTTTTTGGTCATTTATGACAGTATATCGGCAGTCGGAAGTCTCTCCTTGGATAAACCAAGCCAATAGTCAGAGAGCACGGCATGATTCATTCCCGAGAGGTAAGTCGAGCACCAACAATGTACTCTTATACCAAAGGCGTGCTTCATCTCATTCGTCGCCAGAAGACTTGGCCTGACCATGGAGGATATCTTTATCCGATGGCTCTCCTGGTAGTCCCCATAATGACCTTAAGAGATATTCCAATGGCAAATTGGAGCTCTTTTAAGTAGGTGGCTGTACCAATAGTATCGAGTAGTCAACATCCATTCAGTAGGCTGAGGCGAAGGGGCTTGCTTGAGACAGAGATGGCGCAAGGACATCTGAGCTTGGCTAGTACGTGCTAGGTAGTTGATCGACAGCGTAGCATGTCTGCCAATCAGGACGTGATCCAGGTGCCCGGTGGACTTCAGCTTCTCAATTGTCCCAATTTCTTTCTAATATCAGCCTCAAGTCTCAGTTGGCAGCCCAGATGGAGTAGAGTATGCCACCAGTGGCTTGAAACAACTGGAGCCGGACGGATACACGGGCGCGGCGTGGCTTGAAGCTTGTGACTGAAACTCTTCGGCCAGGCGGACCAGTCCGAGCCCTCTTTTTCCACTCGTCCCGCAGGCAGTTATTTGCACGGGATTGCATTCCACAGACAGAAACTGGGTTGATTTCCCGTATTAGCGAGTCATGTTCTGCACGGGTGACACATCATTCTGCTGCCATGAGATCAAGTGGGGGATGGGAGGTTTGATAGACAGACAACCAACACCTAGTGCCTCCCGGGGAGATGCATATTGCCCCGTGCGGCAGTTGAGAGCATCCACCAGCCATGTGCCGTCGGCCGTTGGAGGCGTTGCGACCGATGCCGCGCCAATAGTCGCAGTATAGCTCCTTTCGGTGACGGTAGCATCGCCGCACAGGTCGGACATATCTCTAGACGAGCTTCTATGCGGCTCTCGCGCGGAGTAGGCTCTGTAGATGGCAATCCATGCCGGTCGTTTCTGTCGGGCAGTTTGCAAATCCCCTAGCGCCTCGTTTGGCCTGTGCATCTTGGAATCGACACCAGTACAGCATCTGATGGCGGTTACCCTGGATAAGCAAGAATCCAAGCAGCGAGATGCTCGCATGTATGACATGTGAGGTACGAAGTAAATATCGAGCGTTGTGTCACATCGTCGGAGGTAAAGGCATCGATCAGCTCCGCTGTGCTTTCGAGTCAACCGTGCGGCTCCAGTGCTTTAAGTCAATGGCCGTTCAGGTGACTATTGATATGGCTCTTCCGCAGACCTACGGATATAGGATTCTGCCTTGCAGCTCCGACCTGCAGCGCCAATGGGAACAAGACTCGGTGCTGCAACCTAACGGTGACAGAGCAAGACCGGCCAACTTGGACAATAAGCGGCTGGCTACCCCGTCGGATTTGCTATCCTCGAAATACCTCCAACCACCCAGTCGTAGCAGGGCATCGCATGTACTCGGTCCAAATAGAGGCTAGAATATGCAAATCTCTGCACGTCGTAAAGTGCAGACAGGTGCCTTGCAGAAACCATGGTTCGACAAGCGACCCCTTGCTCAGTAGCCCTGGTCCCACGACCAATGCGACCTTGTTTCTCCTTTCCGGCGAATGGCATTGCATGAAACGTGCCAGGGCCAGTTGAATCATTGACTTCGGCTTGTTCCCTCCCAGTTCCCCCGGCGCCAGAGTGATTTGGAAAAAGGAAATGGGAACAAGGCACAGGAGGAAGGGAGACGACACGAAAGCCATGTGGCAAAGTGCCGTGGACTAATTAATTAATCGTTTGAGAATGACGCCAGCCACCGTGATTCAGATCCGTCCGTGGAATGATGGCCACTTCCCCCGCAGTTGCAAATTGGCTGTTGCATGCTGCCTTGCACGTCTCCTGCGTGTACGGAATATTCATATGTGCAACAGGAGAGTCTGCTACCGCTCTTCCAGCTGCAACAAGTCGTGCTAGTCGTATAGAATTTACGGCATACGCATACTAATACCCAGCAGTGGCTTGATAAGAGAGAGGGCGCAGCCAAGCTGAGAGTTGGCAATGGACGCCTCTCGGCGGCTGGAGCGCCGGGGAAGCATCCCAAAGCCGCTTCGCGCGCGCTGCCCGAGAATCGATTCGTCTCCCGTCTGCGATGCTGCTAATGCTGCTTCTGAAGAAGTCTCCGGCCCCCAACGCCGAGCTGCAGACTGGCTGGCTCATTAGCATGGCGGGGATATATCCGTATGGCGTAGCGTATTTGGACGAGGACGTACAGTAGCTCCAGCGACTTCTAGACGCCAGGAAGCCCGGCCTATGATGCTATGCCGTATCCAGCTGCGCTTCAGGTGTCTCTTTGCTTCAAAATGTTTCTAGTCTTTTTCGCCATCGCTGCACGTGTATGCAGAGATCCAGCACTACTGGTATTGGCTGCCATGGTCTAGGGACGAAGTGGACGAGTGAGAAAAAAGCCACCATGCCCAGGCTTCTCGTAACCACGATTCCTGTGAAATTGGCGGATCCAGGGCGGTGGGATGAATAATCTCAGGTCGCAGATTGCCCATGCTCCTTTCGTCTCCTCGTGCAGTCGATTCCATATAGCCGGCTGTGGAGGACAAACAAGCAAGCTGGACATTGCCCAACCCTAGCCTCCCACCACTATGGAACTCGCACCTTGGGACGAACCCAGCAACCATAACATGCCTGCCTGTGTACAGGTAGTGCTCGTAGTACGACTAGGTTCCTGGAGACTCCAAGATGCAACTTTGCTGGGACATGTGTGATAACCCCCCACCGTGCATATTGGCTGCATGCATCAGTTTGATGAGCACTTCGTACTGACAGGCTGAGCTTAGGCCTCGTCTGATGGCAGCCCAGGTAACCTACTAGCTGAGCCTCGTCCTTTTCCCGGGCCAATTCCTGGTTCGCAAAGAACCAAAATTGTCCTTTTCATGCGCCTACGAAGAGGAGGCAGAGCCAGAGGCAAAGACATGACAGCAGCTGCAGAGGGGCGCCAGTTTAATGACAAGGCCGTTATCGTTCATGACTCAGCGTCCTTGATGCAATTCGACCGGTTGAAAACGAGCCAAAGCTAGCGAAACGGTCGGCTTCGAGTACTGCGTACTATGTGCTTGGCGACTACGAAATACTCGATTTGGAGAAAAGTTGCGTCCCTTTGCATCTCGCTGCCTGGAAAAAGGCGCAGACGATAGCGATTAAGCATGTGAGACATGCAGCCCCGAGACTCTGGGCCCTTGGACACGATCTCAGGACTTTGCCCGAGGACTGGGTCGGGAAGGAGGTTAATCCAAGTAGAGAGTCCTTGTCTTCTGGCTAAAAGAGGTACCCCTGTGCTCCCACGCGTCAGTAGGTCGATGCTTACTTGTCCGGAGTACTGGCATCAAGTTACCCGACGTCGATGTACCATTCGTACGCCGAAAGGTCTGTACAGTATGCCCATACTAGCCACTGCCACCGCTCTGGAGTGAAAGATTGTCCTGGTTAGGTGGCTAGTAGGGGCCGTCAGAACAGGTTCGGGCGCTGTCATCCATGTCATGGCCAGCTTGTCGGCCCCGAAGATGGTTGGGAGCTTTGCACCGCGGGCCGCCTCAGTGGGTGGCGCTCCGCAATCCTTGTGCTTTGGTGAATGCAGAAAACATGCATGTCCCAATAAATTGCCTGCTGGACCGGCTCTCGTCGTCCCATAGGCCACCGATCTTGGCATATCCACCAGCAGCCACGCGAGGCTAATATAGCGGTTTGAGACGCGAGTTTGAAGCTATGCCGGAAGGCATTCCGTAAGGCTTGGGCGGGCTCATCGTGGAGTAGGCCTGCGATATTTTCTTCTGCAACGGCGGCGCCGGCATACAAATTCGTGATCGCGGCAATGGAGAGATGGAATGAAAAGCGGAGGAGGGAGGAGAGGCAGTAAAGAGACGATGCAACCTGAACGGGTACGAGACAGTCCCGTGACGTGCACCAAACAATTTCAAACAAAGTCCCTTAACACTCTGCCGGCGAGTAAACGTATCAATATGGTTAGTGCTGTAGTACTGAAGCACTTTTCGTGAGCACGAAACAAGTACCAGGTAGACTAGAGGGTACCGAATCGGATGCCATTGATTGACTTGATGCTACCCAGTGCTCGTACCGCAAGAGAGCCTCCATCATGCTGCATTAATTATTGCTCCATTCTCGTAAATCGGTGCTCTGACAATGGACGAGAGACATGCCTCGGCAGCCTATTTTGCTCTGGGCTACTCTTCTCCCCGCAGAGGAGGGCTCACGGCCTTTTGGTGCTTTGATATCTTTGCCTTGCTTTGGACTTTGGTAAACCAGTGGATACAGCACACCTCCGGCTTTAGCTCAATGGCACTCTCTTCAACGCACGTCCTGTTCTGCAGCTACCAACTAGCAACTCCGATAAGTCCACATAAAGCTTCCAACCTGTTGATGGGTACTACGAGTCCTAATGGGAATTCAGCTTCTGGTTAGGCGTACTCCGTACTCGTCTTCGAGCTTGCCCACCCGCTAGCATTTTCGTCTCGCGTCTAGAAGCAACAAGATTAGCAACGGCTGGAACCAAGGTTGTGGTTGGCGGCCACGCCACTTTCTTCAGAGTCCCTCCCACTGGCATGCTCGTACATACTAGCATGAAGCCACAGGAAGCCAAAATCTTCGACAGGACGTGCATGAATTAGCGTTGATGACGGAAAAGACCCAGCACAGCATGGCACCAAGTCGGGCAGGCCCTGAAGAAAGTGCCCACTGGCTTCTGCTTCTTCGAATTTGGCACAAACGGCGCTCTCTCCACCACCACGCAGACCTTGGCCGATTCGGGACACGATGACAGGGGATCGCATTGAATGCTCTGGCAGGGGTCCCAGCAGCGGAGCAGAACCCGGCCAAGGCGAACGGCAGGGCCATGCGCCTTGTCTGGGATGCCCTTCCTTTCCATTCTCTGCAGCCTCCGTCATGCAAGACAGGGCAATCAGGCCATCCATCTCTGCTCGTGGACATGTGCTTCCGCCGGCAGCAGCAGTAGCATCGTGTCTATGCGCTGGAGATTCCCGCCGGCAGTCTCTGCGATTCGGAGCCCGTGTGCGTGTCTGTGCCTTTGCCAGTCTGTGCTCGTACCCGTTATTGCACATAGCTATTCCACTCTGACTCTATCTTGACCTCTTAATGACACCGACAGCATCTGACTCCTCTCTCTTCGTGGGTTGTCGTGTGGAGGTGCATGTACGTTTAATCTCGCTCGGACCGTGTTGGCCCGGGATCTACAGCACCCGAATCTCCCCAATACAGGTTGCAGGCTTGAAAAAAAAAGAGAGAAAAAGAAACGAGTCGAAAAGAACCCTTGCGTGTGCGGGCCAATGTTCGATTGCAAAGGCTACATGGACCTTACCTATCCCATCGGCTTTTGTTGGTGCCAAGTGAAGTGAGGATGAGCTCACCACTGCGGGAACCAAGGCCAACAGATCAAGGTACTATTGAAGGTACCTTGTTCCTCCATGCAGGTACCTCGTCACTCGTCAAGTTTTCAGGGAACCTACTGCAGTAAGCTCCTCCCACCAATTACGCAGCGGGTGAACCAGCGGCCTGGGATGCGGCACTAGGACGTGCTGGTGCAAATTGGATGGGATTGCAGCAAACTTGAATTGGATCCAGCATTGAGTCTACAGAACCGTAACCTGGCATGTACGAGTATTGGCAATCTGAAGTACCCACAAGTTCCCAGCTGCTCGTGGTTCTCATACCCACCTGTCTGCTGTCTGTCAGTAACCTCAATGGCTGTCCCAGGCCAGAGGTAATATTCCGTGCATGTAATGCCTGCTTAGCCTGAGCTGGAGGCCATTGTGATCACCAACAGACCCAGCCTGCTGTAACGCAGGAACAGGCTTCATCAGTCCGGGGTCGTTGCTGGCATGAACAACCTAAGAAGAAGAGAAAAAAAAGAAGAGGCATGACTGGCTCCAAGCTAAGAGGGGGACAAGACAAATTGCAGGCCCCCTTTTCTCGGTACCTCCAGGTACACGGACAGGTAGCTGGGAGGTACCAGACCAGACCCTTCCGAACAGGAACAGGCCTCATCGCGTCAATCTCGCCTGCTCTACCCAAGGGCATGGGGTTTTCGTCTCTTTTCCAATTTTTTCTTTCTTTTTTCCCTTTTTTCTTTTTCCTTGCCGCCTCACCACTCTTCTGTCTGGTCTTACGAGTACAGTACAATCGGCCTCTTGTTTCTTTTCCTTTTCGTCTCGTCTCTTTTTCTCTTTTTCTCTCGCCCGCTCGTCCAATCCTTTAGCCCGTCCGTTGGCCCTTATCCAAGCATCTCCCTGATCTGTTCTAGCTGGCCCAATTCACCCGTGCTAGCCACAGTCTAGTAGGATATCGCCTGCCTCCGTCCCGATCTGGGCACAGCGTCTTTTCACCATCATGCACACGCTGTCCCCGCCCTCTCTCCCTCTGGCCCGCTACTGAGAGCCATTGTCGAACCAGGAGCTAGAAGCGCATCTGCGTTGCACTTTTTCTTTTCCGATCCTACACCAGTCCCAGTACCACCTCGAACCATTAGTACTTTACTTGACGGAGCGCCTTTCTTTTTTTGTTTTCGTTACCTCATCCTGCGTCGTACCTGCACCCGATTGCTGCGTCTTCTGCTTCTGCTTCTGCACCTGCATCTGCATACCTTACCTACAATACGCCATTCTTTTCCCCCGCCAGCTTTCCAGTCCGGTCCCTCCTTTGTTGTTTGTCGCTCTCTCAGAATCTCTTCCATTCTCTTTCTTCCCTTAGCAACTCCCGCCGCGGGCGCCTTTGAAACAACCCACGCCTAAAGCCACTAGTCAAATGTCCAAGTAAACTTGCGACATTGCACACGCTCCGATTAAGATTAAGAGGCACTTGCTGAAACACGCAAAGAGAGCCACGCTCAGCTCCAAGACATCAATTATCGATTTCTAGCTTGAGTTGGTGACCCACCACCGGCGGTCTCCATGTTCAGTCGACGGCACAAGAGTCAGCATCACGTCGACGGCCGCAGGAGAAAGCAAGATACAATATCAAGTGCTCTGGGCGACCTGGGCCTCATTGCCAGTCCACGGTCAGCACGGTCGGCTGGCCCTCGGTTTAGGCCTGAAAGTAGTGCAACGGATGCTCCGTTCCATCTTGAGGGTATGCATCTCACCTCCCGCGCCAACCTTATATACGCCCCCCTAACTACAATGCGTCGCGACTCGTTTCCCCAACACCCCCCCTCTTCCTCCGTCTCCTCTTTCCTCCACCTGACAATGATTGTTTTCCACCTTCAATTCTCTTCAGCAGAGTCGCTAACTTTGACCTCCTTCAGGCCATTCCCCTAGCAACCCAGCCTCACGCAGCACCGTTACTCTCAACCGAGGGCGGTCTGCAAGTACTACCAGCACCGCTACCGCTACATCTAGAAGAGTAGGCGGTATCGACAACAACGTCATGTCGAGCAGCGCGGACCGAGGCCGCATGCGGCGGGACAGGACATTCGTAGGCAGCGAATGTGCTGTCTGCGAGGAACCACTGGAGCACACGCTGCGAGGCGAGCGCATTCTCCAGTTCTCTTGCTCCCATGTCTCCCACGAAGCTTGCTTCTACGAGTTCATCCGCGAAATGGAGGCACAATACTGCCCAACCTGTGATGCCCCGCTACATCTTGACTCCAGCCGAGGCGGCAATGTCCTGGACATCAGTTCGTCATCTAGACGCACGGAAACGCAGAAGCATGCCGCTAATTCAGACGTAGACAAAATCAGCAACATGGTGCGTACTGCCGGCACCGAGTCAAGGGCTGGCACCGTCACCCCGGCGCCCACCTGGGAAAGCCAGGGGGCGCCCAGTGTAGAGACCCAAAGGCGTCAACAGTTGACGCATACTCCGAGTGTTGGCAGGACGAGCCAGCGCGATGGCAGGGACAACAGCTCAGATCGCTACGCTTCTACGAGACATACTCGCAATGACAGTACTGGCATGGCCTCGTCTAATGGCTATCCTGAGACTGCACAGAGCGGCTCTCAATGGCGCCACGACTACGACGTTCAGACAATGGAGACGACACCCAGCAGCCCTCGCGCCGCTACGAGAAACCCTATTCCTCCCCCGATTGTGACCGTTCGCTCCGAGTTTCCTACCATCAGCAGGTCTCGCCAGCAACAGACGCTCACGTGCCTTGTCACTATCGAAGTTCCTGACAACAAATGGCGGCCGGACCCCGAGGATATTGGATCGCCGGTACAGTCACAATTGGCTGTTAACCCGGGCGTTCCTGAGGTGGCTCCTCGCGCCGTATCACCTGCTCCGACGCCGACGCCGAACCCCCCACGTTTCCATCCTTACGAGTCTCCCGAGGTTTTGGAAGAAATGACGGAGAATCTACGAAGCCGCGTCGATAACTGGCATGGACTAGAGTTCAATAGATTTGGACAGCTGAGACTGTGCGGCACGTTACGAGTGGGCAAAGATAAAGTGTCATGGCAGGAGCTCGAGTGTTATCTCTTCTCCGAGATGCTTATTTGTGTCAAGGAGAAGAAGCTCCCGCCCCACTGGGATGAGTCTGGCGCTCAACGAAAGCAAGCTACTCGCTGCACACTCAAGGGCTCCATCTTGATAAAGAAGCATCTCAATGACGTAACGGAAACGGGAGCTATCGATGAGAACGTCCTTACTCTCAATCTCTCTGTGCTTGAACTGCCACAATTTCATCTCAGGTTCGACAATCGCAACCAGCTCAAGCTATGGAATCAAGCTCTATTGGATTTGAACGCTGTCGATTTTGCTCCTTCTATTCGAAGCCCCGATCTGGACCGCGGAGAGTTCTCTGAGAACGATGAGGACGGAGAATGGGGCCGGGCTGGCCAGCAACGTGTATCCTCCATTGCTTCTTCCTGGGGCCACAAGTCCGGCACGACTGCACCGACCGAGTATACCAATGTGCCAAGCAAGTCCATTCGCCTCCCCAACGCTGTTCACGTCCCAATCGACGTTGTTGTCGTTGTTCCCATCTCTTCGTCAATGCAGGGTGTTAAGATCAACCTCGTCCGTGATGCACTCAAATTCATGGTCAGCACGCTTGGTGAGAGGGACCGCATGGGCCTCGTCACATTTGGTTCTGGTGGTGGCGGTGTGCCAATCGTTGGCATGACCACCAAGGCTTGGCCTGGTTGGTCCAATGTCCTGGGCTCAATCAAGCCCGTTGGTCAGAAGAGCCATCGCGCCGACGTGGTCGAAGGTGCCAATGTTGCTATGGACCTGCTGATGCAGAGAAAGCACAACAACCCCATTGCTACCATTCTGCTCATCAGCGATGTGTCGACATCCGACGCCGATTCTGTGGACTTTGTCGTCTCTAGGGCAGAAGCTGCAAAGTAAGTTGAAATATTCATCATAAACTCGCCTGTTTTATGGAGCTAACAAAGACGCCGCTGTATAGGATCACTATTCACTCCTTTGGGCTGGGGATGACCCATAAGCCTGACACAATGATTGAACTCTCGACGAGGAC